CCCCCCTCCCTATCCCCCCCACCCCCCCACCCCCCCCCCCGCCCCCCACCCCGACCCCCCCCCGCCCCAGCCCAGCCCTCCGCCCCCCCCCCCCCCCCCCCCCCCCCCCCACCCCCCTGGGTGTGTGGTCCTCCGATTCCACTCCCCCCCCCCCCCCCCCCCCCCTCACCCCCCCCCCCCCCCCCCCCTCCCCCCCCCGTCTCCCCTGGTATTTGCCCCCTCCCCCCCCCCCCTCCCCCCCCTCCCCCCTCCCCCCCTCTTTCCTCCCCCCCACCCCCCCCTCCCCCGCTGACTCCCTCCCCGACCCGCCCCCCCCCCCGCCCCCCTCCCCCCCCCCCCCCCCATTCCCCCCCCCCCCCCCCCCCCCCCCCCGCCCCGCCCCCCCCACTCCCCCCCATCCTCCCCCTCTAACTCTTTTGAGCGCAGTGTCCTCCAAGCCCAAAGGGAGTCTTTTTGATAGCCTGAGGGCTCCCTCCAGGTTGAAAGGCCTGAAACACATTTCCTAATGATTGTTAGAAGACCGTCCCAAGGCCCATAGTCAGGGATGACCCTCTGTACCTTTATCTGTCTTCAAGAACTCCAGCAAAGTCCGGATGGCAGCCACTGCTGAGGCCATGTCAGGATCTTCTTTCATCTGAGACTTAAAGTATTCAATTAACTCTGGGGAGGGAGAAAAGTGACTCATTACATTCTCTTAGCAAGATGCAGGGCTGGAGAGCTTGGTAATGATTGTTGACCTTAAGAGAAAAATCACTTAAAAATACATTTTTCCCCTCAGGGTATTTAGTTTCATGGATTTTTTTTTTTTTTTTGAGACAGAGTATGTGGCTCAGGCTGGCCTGGAACTCATGATCTTCTTGCCTCAGCTTTCAGAGTGCTGGAATTACAATTGTGTGCCACCTGGTCCAGGGTGTCTAGTTTCAAGGACATGATAAATGTTGGTGGGACAGAGAGAAGATACCACTTTCCTGTTTGCAAGGACTCTTTTTAGCTTTATTTTTGCAGCACTGGGGTTTGAACCCAGGGCTTCCTGCTTGCTAGGCATGTGCTCTACCACTTGAATCCCTCTTGGCTCTGAGTCACCTTTTTAAACAATTGCTCTGCACCCCTCCATTCTTTGCTAATTCAAATCGTCACACACACACACACACACACACACACGTAGAATTCCGAATTCCACCACCTCACTTCATTATATTAGTTTGCCCTTGTTTCTCACTTTATATGATACTCTGACAGCCACACTGAGTAAGCAAACCAAAAATACCTTATCCCTGATTCTAGTAACAGACTCAGCGAAGCATGGAGTCTTCTCTCACGTCCAACATGAAGAGGGCTGGCGAAGGAGAGAGAAAGGGGAGGGGAGGGATGGGGAGGGGAGGGGGAGTGTGTGTGTACGTGTGGTGGGTATCGGGGGATCCTTTGGGGACCCATCCCCTGGGTATAGGAGCAGCGAGGGGCAGTCGCTTGGAATGGAGGAAACACATCCAGCAGAGTCGGAGACTGGACAGCGACTTCCCGGAGCCCTGGTGCGTCCCGACCTACCCTTGTCATCCATGGTGTCCTCCAGACCGCGGAGCCCGACGACCCTGCAGCCACCCGCCCTGCTTCAAATGCGCCGGATTACCGCGCCGGCTGCAGGCACTACACTGACTGTTTGTGGGCGCCACTCCTATACGTCACTTCCGGCGCCTTGAGTGGGCGGGACCGTGAGTACGGCGCGCGGCCTGGGCCCAACTGCCTCGCGTCACTCGGCCGCGCCGGAAGTAGAGGTGCGCAAGCTTCAGGACGCCACCTGACCACTGCCGGCTCTGCGCCGAGGTGCCGGGGCGCGATGGTCTCAGACGGTGAGGGCTGCGCGGGGCGGGACGCCGAGCGCAGGGCTGGGCGGATGCTGCCCGGCCTGGACCGTCCAAATGGAGTGCATCTTGGGCCGGGTGGAACCCGTTTGGTCTTTTGAGGAATAATCAGTGTATGCATTCATTCATTCAGTGAAGGATTTTGGATCGCCTCCCGTGTGCCAGGCGTTATTTTCTGCTCTGGGAATAGGGCACAGAAGTAGACAAGGAACCATATGGGAGTTACAGTCTAGTGGGTGAGAGAGGCGATCGACAAGGAAAGAAAATTAATTCCGAAGGGTGACAATATAATAGGACGATGTGGTGATAGGATCAAGGAGGATCAACTCTAGTTAGTAAAGGAGGAAAGAGCGAGATACTGGACTAAGACTTGAATGATTATGCGACCCTCCGGCGGAAGTGCATTTTAAAAGCAAAGGCCCTGTGGCAGGTCCAGATACCAGGGAGCAGGAGGAGAGGGGAATGTGGGGAGATTTTCACTCACACGTTAAACCACTAGTTACAAAGTCTGACGTCTTGCAGAAAGAGGAGGCGAGAGGTTGAACAGTATTTTTGAATGAGCGTAAAGATATTGTAAGGGGTTTTGTGTGTTTGAAACAGGGTTCCAACCTCGAACACTGATCCTCCTGCCTCAGCCTCCCGAGTGCTAAGATTACCAGCATGCACCCCCACGTTTGGCTGTTGTAGGGTTCTAGGCAACGAATTGTTGCGGTCTGATTCACAATTTCAGAATATCACTTGGGCTGCTCTGTGGAAAATGGACTGTGGGGGAGCAAGAATAGAATTAGGGCAATGCATTCAGAGGCTATAAGGGGCATTCCACTCTTTAATCGTGCTCACTCTGCATCACAACCCCTGAAGAAGCAGGCCTGGCATTGCTGGTCCACAATGATAGGTAGAGACTCAAAGAAGGAAATTCACACGGACGTTGCATGAGTGTAGACACACATCTGACAGGCAATACTTTTTTCTCAAGCTTCTTGGTTCTTGGTAATACCAAGGAATGAATGGCCCTGACAGTTGGAGGGTGGGGCATGACAGACCAGTAGGCAGGACTGGGAAAGTAAGATTAGAAACATGGTGAACTAGCTGGGCATGGTGGGGTATGTCTGTAATCCCAGCACTTCAGAGACTGAGGCAGGGGGATCATGAGCTCTAGGCCAGCCTGGGCTGCATATGAGACTGCTTCAAAAAAGAAAAAAAAAAAAAAAAAAAAGCCAAAACCCCACAGAAGCACAGCTAACTGTAAACTGAAGTAGTGGTGCTAAGAGTCATTAGCAGAGACTCAGTGCTGTGTGGGCAGAGGCAGGCAATGGGGCAGTGATGAGTCACAGACTCTGGAGTCCAGCAGATTGGCCTCCTTATTGCTGAAAGCCCAGGTACTTAGGGCAGGTGACTTGTGTGCAGAGTAGGGATGTCATCTAGCATATTTCATCTGACCTGAGATGGAATGGGTTGTGAAATATGCCTTTATTCGCTGAGTCACTAAGGAGACGAAACTGCCAGTCTTAACAGTAAGATACCGACTGAGTTTCATCAACAGCTATTTATATATATATAGGGGGGAGGGCTACATCTTATAATTGATGAAACATGACAATATCATGTCCCTTCCTGGGTTGCAGGGTGGGACGGGATTGTGGGGTCACCAATACAGTGCATGGCGCAGAGGATGCTGGCATCTTCATGCCTGCTGAGGTGGGAAGGCCATGACCTTCTGGAAAGAGGAGGTAGCATCGGTCTGAGCTGGGATTGTCCTGCTGTAGGAGCTGGGACTACAGGATGGAGGGTAGGAGGCGGCACAGGCCTTCCTGCTTTGTGCTGTTTTATGAGCATCTCTTGTGACAGCCTCACTTACAGGTCCCCTCTGTCTATCGCCTCAGGTATAGTGTAGGCTTTTGGGACCCAGGACCCCCAACCGCTAATACTGTACTTAGTGTGGATGTGAATGATTCATACAGTAAGGTAGCCTGGTTACTTGTGTCTGTCACTTTGAGGAATGGCCTAACTCCTACTCATAGTAAGATCTTTATATAGGAACTGCTCCCCTTTTGGTTTTCGCTTTTTAAAGTTGGTTCCTAAGCACAACTGGCCTTGCTGCTAGGTAACTGGATAAATATAGGGCCAAAGTGGCTCCTGTGGCTCCCTTTAAGCCTATGTACCTGAATTTCTATCACTGCTGATTCAATCAGGGTCTTCTGTCCTTCACCAGGTACTCAAAGTGTAAATGTCTTTGGGTTCATTCAGTAATTTTTTTAGCAGTACTGGGATTTGAACTCAGGGCTTTGTGCTTGTTAGGCAGATGCTCTACTGCCTGAGCCACAGCTCCAGTCCCATTCCATAGATCTTTAGCTCAGGATAAGCAGTGAGCAGATCAGACAGAAGCCCTGCCCTTGTGGATCGAACTCTCCAGGGCATGCGGCGGTGCAGAGCAGGCATGGGCTTGCTGAGGGCCGACTGCGTCAGCTCTGAAAGAACTTGGCCTCTGTTGACCTCATGACTGCAGGAGGGTAGACATCTCAGGGCAGGTTGTGACCTGAATGCACACGTGGGGTCGTTGGCTTGGGTTCATTTTCATGACGCTAATGTTCTTCTGTTTTATTTCTTGTTAATAATTTCAGAAGAGGAATTGCATCTTCTGGTTATCATAGTTGATACCAACCCGATTTGGTGGGGAAAGCAGGCCTTAAAGGAATCTCAGGTGAGGCTGTGTGTGGAGGCCTTGACGTGGTTCTGGGTTAACTTCTTGTGTGTGTTTGTGGGCTTTTTTTTTTTTTTAAACAGCTTTATTAATGTGTAGTTTACATACTGTGAAATCGATCCATTATAATGTACAATTCATAGATTTTTTTTATAAATTAGAGAAGTTGTGTAACTAGCATCACAATTCCATTTTATTTTGTTTATTTTTTTGGGTGGTACTGACATTTGAACTCGGGGCCTCATGCTTGCTAGGTAGGCATTCTACCACTTTGCCAGCCCATGCACATTTCTCTTTTGAGATAGGATTTCACTATGTGGCCCGGGCTGGCTGCAAGCTCTTCTTCACCTTACTGTCTCTTCTTCCCCAGTGCTGGGATTACAGGCATGTACCATTATGCCCAGCCCTTAGAACATTTCTTTCACCACCTTAAGCCCCTTAGGCCTAGGTGCAGTCAACTGCTGTCTCTGTCCCAAACTGCAGGCGCTGCTTCTCTGTCTTCTGTTTCTGTCCAGGTCACCTTTTCTAAACATTTCATGCCTTGGTTCCATACGGTATGTTGTCTTTTAGAAAACTTTCTATTTTGTAATAATTACAGGCTCACAGGAAACTTTAAAGAATGGTGGAGTGAGGTCCCATGTACCTTCCTTCTTTGTCCCCCAGCAGGAACACCTTACATAACTATAGTAGAGTATTAAATCCAGAAACTGGACCTCAGTGTAGTGTGCAGTTGACGAGTTTGACACACTAATTTGTGGACGTGGGTTACACGTCTGTGTTATTTTATTATGTGCACAGACAAGGTATTGCTCAGGACCTCCTTGTGCCAACTCTTGCTCTTTTAAAATTAATTAATTAATGCAGTACTGAGGTTTGAACTTAGGGCCTCATATTGCTAACAGGTGCTTGAGCCACTTGAGCCACTCCACCAGCCCTGCTTTGTGTTGGGTATTTTTGAGAAAGGGTCTCTGGAACTATTTGCCCAGGCTGGCCTCGAACCTTGATCCTCCTGATCTTTGCCTCCCAAGTGGCTAGGATTACAGGCATGACCCACCAGTGCCCAGCACGCCCCCCCCACCCCCCGGCAGTACTGGGGTTTGAACTCAGGTCCTTGTTCTTGCCACCAGCCTGTAAATTTTCTTCTCTGTGATGACTGCTCAGGACTGCAGCAGTTGCATGTTGGTTTTGTCAAGCTGCTTTGCAGAGCAGTTGCACAGGTCTCCATTCCCACCAGCACTGGAGGGAGCCCTTCCTGGGCTCTCCTTCCCGGCCTCTCCTTCCCTCTGGTAGAGTATGCATTCTTTGGCTTGGAGTTGCAGCACTCCTGGCTCAGCCTCATCATGTAGCCAGCTTCTCCACGTGGGTCTCTATTCCTTTGTAGAAGAACATGTTAGGACTGGGGCATGGCTCAATTGGTAGAGTTCTTAGTGGGAGGCCCTGAGTTCAATTTCCAGTACCACAAAATAAATAAAGAACAGATTAGGCCCCATCCAATTCCACTATGCCTTCATCTTGATTTCATCTGCAGTGACCCTATTTCCAAGTAAGGGCACATTCACAGGTACCAGCTCATGTTAGAGTTCCCAGGAATGAAGACATATTTTCAGAGGGATGCAATTCAACCCACAGCAGTTGCTATAGCAACTATTTGCAGTGTGCACCTCATTTAAATAAAATGAAAAAGCTATTGTTTTCAAATGTTTTTGCTTGAGGTTTTGGAGGAGGGGCGCTCCAGAGCAAGTTTTTCACAGTGATTGGCTGTTTAAAATTTCCGTGAAATCTTAAGACTGTTCAGAGTTGTTAGCGCTGCTAACTTGTTTTCCTCACGTCTTCTGTTTGTTCAACAGTTTACTTTATCCAAATGCATGGATGCCGTGATGGTGCTGGGAAACTCTCACTTATTTATGAATCGTTCCAACAAGCTTGCTGTGATAGCAAGTCACATTCAGGAAAGGTATGAACGATCCTCAGTACAATGCTTCCTGTCCTGTGTCGTGAGGCTTTGACCACTAGGCATTTTCTGTTCCTACTCCATGTCACGACAGAGATTTTTCTGTAGCAGTGAGCAATAGTCAACATACCACAACTCAGTACATGTTCTGACACTCACATGAGTACCGAAAACCTCGTCATATTCAGCTGCATCTCTCACCTCTGCAGAATCTCACCAGCCATCCCCTCACCTGTTTCCTCATTGTGTCTGCCCCAGGGGGGCAGGTCAGGGGATGAGGGGTCCTGCCTTTCCTTCAGCCAGTCTTGGCTCTGCCTACCTTTTGTGGTGTTACACGCACTGCTCTGTGTGTAACTGGTGTTTAGAAATAAGGAATTTTGTTGTGACATTGGCTCCTAAACTCAGGCCAGCTGCTCTGCTAGGTGCTTAGCTAAGAGGACAGTGATCTTTTCTAATGGTGGTATAAAAACTGGCTGCATTATGAACTAGGTATGGTGATAAATGAGTGTTTGCTAAAGGTTTTTTCTGCAATGTGGTCTTGCTATTTAGCCTATGTTGGCCTTGAACTCCTAGGAATACTCCTGGCCTCAGCCTATGGAATGCTGGGATTATAGATGAGGGCCACCATGCCTGGTCTATTTTAGGCTCCTTTTGAATTTTTTTTTTTTTTGGCAGCACTGGGGTTTGAACTCGAGGCCTCACGCTTGCTAGGCAGGCGCTCTACCACTTGAGCCACACCACCAGTCCTGGTCTATTTTAGATATTTCTTAAAAAATGAAATGTAGCTGGGCACCAATGACTCACACCTGTAATCCTAGCTACTCAGGAGGCAGAGGCAGGAGGATCTTGTTTAAGCAACCCTGGGCACAGCTGTCCCAGAAACAAAAGGGCTGGGGGCACAGCTCAAGAGGTAGAGCCCTTGCCTAGCATGTACAAGGCCCTGGGTTCAGATAGAGGGAGAAAGGGAGGGAGGAAGGAAAGAGGGAGGGAGAAAAGGAGGAAGGAAGGGAGGGAGGTAGGGAAGGAATTTTATGTGATTTTGTTTATTCTGTTGAATTTCATTCTGATGATGAGTGAGAGTGAGAGCGAGGACCGTGGCTCCTGCTATACTGAGGGATTTTCCTGCTATTTTAGTCGACTCTTATATCCTGGGAAGAACGGCAGACTGGGAGACTTCCTCGGAGACCCTGGCAACCCCCTTTCTGACTGTAACCCCTCGGGGAGTAAAGATGGAAAATACGAGCTGTTGACAGCAGCAAATGAAGTGATCGCTGAAGAGATCAAAGATCTGATGACCAAGTGTAACAGCTTTTATTATTATTGTTGTTGTTGTTATTTCACAAATGGACTTGATTTGGGAAGTTATTGAGGCCTCCAGTCCCAAGATTTGAGGCTTGTAGATACAACAAGCTCTCTCTCCTCTTTTCTCTTTAAACCCGGCTTCCTACAGTCTCGTTATTTGCTGAGCATTGTATGCTGCTGACCAGCCTCTGTTCTGGAACAGTCCCTGGCTTTTAAGGACAGCCTGTTGACCAGTTTTGTATTTTCTTTCATCTCGTCCTTAAAATGTTTCTAAAATTCTGCACAGTTTTTCTTCCTTTCCTCCTCTGAGTGTTCTCACTGGTTCTGCCTTTCATTATCATGTGTAAATGAGTACTTCCCAGTCTTGTCTCCACTCCAGGGTGTCTTCCTTTTCCCACAGTCTCCTTAATATGCCCAGGCTCATACTTGTCTGCAATGACTCCTTTTCTGTTCTACCTAATTTTCTTTTTTTGTTTTTTTTTTGGCAGTACTGGGCAGTGCTTGCTAGGCAGGCACTTTACCACTTGAACCATTCCACCAGCCCCCATCTACCTAATTCTCAGCTTTCAGTTTTGACTCCTTTCTTCTCTTCACATTCATCATCTAATTAGCTAGGCAATCCTGTCAGTTCAGCTAGGGAGAACCTCCAAACTCTGAGCCCTGGTGTCACTTGCATCAGCTTTGACACTGTTGATAAAATAGTGCATTGCAGGATACTTTAGCGGCCCTCCCGCCTCACCTCACTAGATGCCACCCCCAGTCGTGACAACTACTATGACCTCAGACCTTGCAGTCATCTGGGATGAAAGCCACTGTCCTAGACTGTTCTACTGCTCCAGCTGCTCTTCTGACTCCTGAGTCTCCACTCAGTCTTGCACTCAGCATCCACAGTTACCATCTTAAACCTCAGCTACCCTTCCTCCCTGGCTTATGGACCTTTGCTGGTTCCATTGCCCACAGTGGTGGGTTTCAAACCTTAGTTTGCAAGAGTTGTCTGGGGGGAAAAGTCGATTCTACAGACAGAAAGTGGGTCAGTAGGCGCCCAGGGCTGGGAAGGACAGGGGTGATAGCGGATGAGTCCGAGAGATCTGGGGTGGTGGAAACTGTCTTACAATTAGACGATGGTGCCGGTTGCACAACTGGAAATTGGCTACAAATGGGGTGAATTTTAGGGTCTTCACATTGCTAAGCTGTTAGAAATCACCTGGAGGCCCTTTAAAAGCTGAGTGCTGGTTTACCATCTCCAAGGGGCCCCAGAAGTTTTATTTCTGAGTTCCCACGTGATGCTCCTGTAGCTGTCTCAGAACCCCATGGTGGAAAGCACCAGCCTCCATGGCTGAGTGTCAGCTGCTCAATCCCGTTTTCAGAACCATCCCTGTGGCCCTACTGCGCCAGCAGCAGGTCCCTTGCACAGTCAGTCGGGGCACCTCACCCTCTTGACCTGCAGAGCACTTAGTAAGTTCAGTTGCGTTAAATCCATTCACGTGGTTGTGTGGCCATCACCACCATCCACCTGCAGAACTTTCTCAGCCTCCCAACCTGAAACTCCATGCCCATTCCTCCTCTAGCCCCTGAACAAATACCTGGATATTTTAAGTTGAGGGAAGCTTGAAAGTTGCTCATTTAAGCATTACTGAGAACACCTTGCTGTATATGTTTTAAGGTTCAGTTTGAAAATGTCATCATTTGATTTCATTCATGAACACTTTGTCCTGAAAATGACTTCAGTTGAAATATGTAATTCCCTTTTTAATGCTTTTTATTTGTAGGTGACATAAAAGGTCAACAGACAGAAACTCTACTGGCAGGATCCCTCGCCAAAGCCCTTTGCTGTATCCTTGGAGCTTGAGTCGCTCAGGAGTTTTCTGAAATAAGCAGATTTAACTTCTGACACTTCCTGTATCTTGGGTGTTGTTCTGAGATGGGGTCTTGCTGGGCTGGTCTTGAACCCTCAATTTTCCTGTCTCAGCCTTCCAAGTGTTGAGATTCCTGGTGTACACCACCATGCCTGGGTCTTGAAGTGTTTTTAACACAAGCTCTAAAAACTTGAAAAAGAGGGAGAATGTGAAAACTCTTAGTTTTCCAGTATGGAATATGCTGTATCAAATACTTCTTAAGGATGCTTACTTGTTTCTTATTGTGAGAAACTGGCCCTTTTTTCCTTTGGTTTGTTTTTTGGTGGCACTGGGCACTGACCTTAGCCTTGTGCATGTCAGCAAGCACTCTACAACTTGAGCCACACCCTCAGTCCTTTCTCCTTTTTATTAGTTCGTTTTTCAGGTAGAGTCTTGGGCTAACTTTTGACCTGGAAGGCCTTGCCCCGTGATCTTCCTATCTCTGCCTCCCAAGTAGCTGGGATTACAGGCCTATACCGCCGTGCCCAGCTACACTGGTACTTTTGTAAGTTTTGTTCCTTGAGTTGGGAACAAGGTTTTTAAAGACCATTTCCTGGCCCTGCAGCCTAATTAATGAGTGGCCGCTTCTCCATAGGTGAGCAGGTTGCAATACTTTTTAAGTATTTTCACTTCGTCTGTTCTCTCTATGGTATGGGATGGTTTAATTTTTTGGACAGTCCTGAGTGATTCCTGTGCCTTCAAGTTGCCGGATCATCTTTGTATGGCTATTAAATTTGTTACCTCACTTGACTGGCTTATCGACTTATGGGTAGACTGAGTATCCAAATGTAGGTCTCAGTGAGATAATAGACTGTCACAATATTGGTCATTTTAATCTTCTGAGACAAACATCATATTTTGATCAGATTACAAAGCCCATTTGATTATAGAGCTAGTAATTAAAAACCTCCCCATACCTGGTGTCTGTTATAGTAAGTGGAGAATTTCCTTCTTTCAGATGGATGCTGGGTTTATTTAACTAAGATTTGAAGTTATTTTGCTATTTCCTATAAATATTTGTGAGATAATGTTTTGTATTCCTTAATGCTAAGAAACTAAGACATTCATAGAATGAACAAGGAAGTTAAAGGTAGGTGCCTGTGTTTTTCTGTGAGAACCTTTTTTACTGCGGGCTACTGGGTGGAGTGTCTAAAAATTGGCTAGTGAACTTCATGTGTTTCTTAAGCTACCCTATGATTCAGTTCAATTGTAACCTGTCTTTTCTTTTCAGATAACCAGGAGATGAAGTCGAGGATATTGGTAAGATGTAAAAAATCAGTGTTGTTTCTGTACATCTGCAGATGAGTAGAAAACACAGTGGGAAGGGCCGAGGGGGCAGTGGGGTGGCTCTGTGTAGAGTGTTTGCCTGGCATAAGCAAGGCTCCAAGTTCAACGCCTGGCACCAAAAGGAAAAAGAAAACAATGGGATAAGATCTATTTAAATTTGAAGGAAAGATACTAAGTATCCAGATTTCATTTAATAAGCAATGTGTAAACTGACTGGAATTATGAAGAAAATTAAATTCTGAGAGAACTGAAAGAATCGAATGTACAAAGACCTATACTTGTACTCTTAGATGTGTTTTTCCAGAATCACACTGCAAGCTTGGGGAGCTCTCGGTCAGAATAGCAAGAGGTTCCCCAGCAGGTGGGGAGTTTTTAAAAAGAAATCAACAACTTATCTGGAAGAATGAATCAGAAGGAATAGTTAGGAGCTTTTTAATAAGAAGTACGAACTTGAATTGGTCATTAAAATGCACTATGAACCTACAGTAACAGTGTGTTTCTGGTAGAACAGTAGATAAAGAAATGAGAAAGAGTCCAGAGATAAAGCCGAGAGGCTCAGGGTATAGCTCAGTGGTAGAGGGCTTGTCTGGCACGTGCCAGGTGTGGTTCCATCCCCAGGGCCACCCCTTCTAGTACAGGTCAAACCTTCCGGTGTAAAAATACTAGTCACAACAGTACTAAAAGAAAGCAATTTTTTGTCGGATTTGGGGGTAATTCCACTGTCTATACACTTCAGATGTCACTTAGTGACAATAGATAGGAAGAGAATGGTCATGGTTGTGGCTTGCCTAGCTGTGTGACATTTGAGCAAGAATCCGGGATGCCTGAGTGGAGTAACATGGCTGTGATTTTTAGGTGATCAAGGCTGCAGAAGACAGCGCCTTGCAGTACATGCATTTCATGAATGCCATCTTCGCAGCACAGAAGCAGGTGAATTGTGGACTTCCTTGCTTTAGAACAAAGGGACTGGGTGCATTATCTGAATGACCTACTCACGTATTCTGGCTGAAGATCTTTATTAGGGATTTGAATCCAGAATCCATTTTGGGTCTTTGTCGTGTCTGTGTCGTGTCTTGAGACTGTGACGGGCCCGAGAACAATGCAGGCAAACACAGCTTGGCACACCATGTCAGTGTACTCAGGTGACCCCTTTTGTCTCAGCCTGGCACCCCCAGCTAAGAATCCTGGTTTCACAGTTGCTTGTGACCCTCGCCTCCATTTCTCCATCTTTTCCCTTAGTGAGGTGTGTACAGAGTCAGTATTTTCACTGGGCAATAACTGAAAAGTCCAGATGCAGTGTGACTAACACGTCTTCTTGCTTGGCATGGGTAAGGGGAGGAGCACCTGCCACTTTGGTTTTAACACAGAGTACAGCGTATTCTCCATTGACCCATGGTGGTGTGAGGTAGGAAGGGTGTGGACTTGGGACAGCTCTGCCAGCCCTGTGACCACAGACTGGCTGAGTCCCACTGCTTCGGCTGCCACATGCAGGGAACTGCTGTGCCTGTGGCACAAAGAGTAGAGTGGCACACAGTAGGTCGTCAGGGTCAGATAGTGGTTATTAAATCGCCGTAATATCTTTGAAATGTTCCTTGCAGAATGTTTTGATTGATGCCTGCGTTTTAGACTCTGACTCTGGACTCCTCCAGCAGGTATGTTTCCAGCAGGGTGCAGGGCGGGTCTGGAAAATGATAATTTTATGTCGAGAGTGATAGCACTTTGGATAGAGTGGGTTAAATAAAATGTTTTTTAAATGAATTTTATGTTTCCCCCCTTTTTTATGGGCTACTAGAATATTAACTTAAATTACATATGTTGGGAAATAGTCCTGTCAAGTAGCACTGTTAGATGTTGCTTTTTGGTCAAAAGTTTGAAGCTGAATTTTACTTTTAATTTAACCAAAAATAGGGGAAAACCTGAAATAAGGCTTAATAAGGCTGAAAAAAGTCATCAAATTTTTGTTTTTGTTTTTGGTAGCACTGGGGTTTGAACTCCGGGCCTCACACTTGAGCCACTCCACCAGCCCTAATGATCAAATTTTGATACATTTTTTTTTTTTGGTCACAAGAAATATTATTTCCTAAAAGGTCAGTTAAAATCCCCCTGCAGTCAGGTTACTGCCTGGATGGGGGAGGGGAAAGGGAGACATTAGAAAGTACACAGGCAGAAAAAGGAAAAGTAACAAAAATCCCAACAAGAAAGTGTGCAGGTGTCACAGGTTCTGGGACCAACCTGTTTTTTAAGGGTGAGAGTAGACACATGTCTTCCTCTTGTTATTTTAATTCATTTCCATTTTTAATTGACATAGTAATTTTTCATGTTTATGGGCTCGGGGTGACAGTTCCAATATGGGTTTACAGTGTGTAGTGAGCGGATCAGCGAATGGGCTTATCTTCATTTTATTATTTAAGCCATACCTAACATGGCATGTGTGTAGACTCTCGCATGCATGATTGTATTTCAGTATTAAGATAATAGCCGCACACTCCATCTTGCCTCTCCCATTTTGAAGGGCAGCCCCGCCCCATCCCTCATGTCCGACATCTCTGGTGCCACCCCAGCCTCTCCTGAGTTCCAGGCCTCCATATTCAGCAACATGCAACATCCCTTCTTGGACACCTCACTGGCATCTCAATCCTCCTTTGTCTTAAAGACAGAACTCGAGATTTTCCACGTAGCCTCTTCTTCCCCGGGGGCATTCCTGTCTCTTGAGTGACACTGCAACTCACTGGGCAAGTATGCCCACACCTGAGTCTCCCTGCTCTTGTCTCTTCCTCTCCTTTCCTGTCTGCTAGCAGAGCTTGCTGAGTCTGCCTTGAGCTTAGATCCTGAGACCCTCCACATCTCCCCTCGTAGCTGCTCTGCTCACGTGTGCCCCACTTGCAGCAGTCAGAACGAAGCTTCCAGAGTAGAAGCCAGATCATGTTGCTCGCTTGCTAAGGCCCTCCCCCGGCACCCACCACAGGTCAGCTCGCACCCTTCCAGACCCACATGCTGGGGTGCCAGGGAGCCTTCTGTCCCAAGTCCTCCCTTCTCTATTCACCCTGGCCCAGCAGCCTCCTCACTATTGCTCCCTTTGATTGGGCTGGTTCCTCGTGCTCCCAGAGCCTGCTGCAGACTTAGGTCGCTTCCCTCTTTCTGTGTCACCTTTCTCTAGAAGCCTTCCCTGATCATCCCAGTTCACTTCTCCTAGAAATGACTAACCTGTAGCATTCTTCCTGCATTTACTACCCTGATTTACTCTTTGGGCAGCACTAGAATGCTTGTTTCATGAGTTGAGATACTCGTGTTCCTGCTGTAATCCCTGACCCTGACTCACGTGGGTGTGCTCAAGGAAAGTCATGGGATGAGTGAATGAGCCTCAGACACCAATGGAAGAATCTCTGGGGAGAAGCCCACCCTCTGGAAAAGCTGAGCTGGTGCTGGTTTGGCAGAGAGCCCTCTGTGTATCTTGCAGGCCTGTGACATCACTGGAGGATTGTACCTGAAGGTACCTCAGATGCCCTCACTTCTGCAGTACTTACTGGTAAGGAGCTGCCTCGAGTGTCCTGCAGGACGGAGGGATCACAGGCTTGGCTGGTAGCTGGTGGGCAGGAGTAACTCAGGACTGCCCGAGTGCCCGAGCTGAGGTGGTGGGCTCGGTCCTCTTTGAATGTTGCTTGGCTGTTTATAACAGTGCTCAGTCATCGGTGAATGAATTATACATGTCTCTCATCATGGTTCTTAGTGCTGGCGAGCTTCTGCCTGCACCTGTGCTCTGACTTCCCACACCCTTTCGTCTTTCTGCAGTGGGTTTTTCTCCCTGATCAAGATCAGAGGTCACAGTTAATCCTCCCACCCCCGATTCACGTGGACTACAGGGCCGCTTGCTTCTGTCATCGGAACCTCATTGAAATCGGCTATGTCTGCTCTGTCTGTTTGTCAAGTAAGTTCATGTACAGTTTCTCTTTCTTCTGTTGGGGTGGGGTGGAAAAGCTCCCCACTATGTGGTTTTAAGCCATCCTGTTTTCTGTTTGTTTTAACGTGTAGTCTTCTGCAGTTTCAGTCCCATCTGCACTACCTGCGAGTAAGTACCTTTTAGGGTACTTAACGCCTTTTAGGGTGTGTGGGTGGTCACCAGTAGAGATTTAAAGCACTAAAAAGCATTCTCGGTGTCATTGCAGGACAGCTTTTAAGATTTCTCTTCCTCCTGTACTGAAGGCCAAGAAAAAGAAAATGAAAGTGTCCATGTGATTAAAAAATATATGTGAGGACTGGGGGTATGGCCCAAGTGATAAGAGTGCCTGCCCAGCAAGCACAAAGCCTTGAGTTCAAACCCCAGTACCATCAAAAAAAACCCCTTTTTCTTCCTTGTCTTTAAAAGCTACTAATAGACATTGTATGGCAGAATCTCCATTGGGAATGCTCTGAGAAAATACAGATATGTTCAGGATAGTTTTTAGTTTCTTACAAGAAATACTTTAAGCCTTTACTCTCACCCTGTGCTGTAGAGACTGATTTGCTCAAGGTTCCAGCCCATACACTCGCTCCTGAATCTTCTCTCACTGGGTTTTGTCCAGAAAGGAGAAAAAAGCACAAATGTGTGACTTTTGCTTTGTTTTGTTTTAAGATAGCAATTAGCTAGCTATACAGCAAAAACCAAATGATAACTTTTGTTTTTGGCAATGCTGAGGATTGAACCCAGGGCCTTGCACGTGCTCTGCAAGTGCAATAGCACTTGAGCTCCACCCTCAGTCCTTGCTTTGTTTTTTAAAAGCCTATTTGTATACAACACTTTGAAGATTTAGCTGTGCTCTTCAGACCATCTCAGAAGCTGAGTCTCACTAAATAATTAGGTGTGGGTTAGATAACTTCCAGCAGGTTTGTAGTCTGCATTTGCATTTTGTCAACAAACAAAGATTTTGGTGATCACTTGCAAGTATTTCTTAATCTTTGAGTTTGAGAACCACTTTGTCTTTTAAAAATATTTAATATTTCACGTAATAAGTGTAATGGCAGTAACTATTTTAAGTTTAGGAAATAAAGTATCCTAGAAGTAAAAGATGAATAATTTCAAACAAGGCAGAGGCTTTGGTGTCACTTTTTCATTTAAAATGTTTTCTATACTTGCTTAGTTATGTTCACGTTTTATTTTTAACTATTATGCTTATGATCCATTTTATATAAATTTATGTAATAAAATAATTTGAAATTTCATTTTTGGTTGAATTATTTCCTCTTCTGCATTGTTTTTCTCATGATCTTGCAACATTTCTTCACATGTATAATTTTTTTTAGCAAGAGCAAAATGGACTAGAGGTGCGGCTCAAGCGGTAACAGTGCCTGCTTTGCAAGTGCAAAGCCCTGAGTTCAAACCCCAGGTCTACCCCCACAAAAATAAAAGGGTACTTCAAGTGTATAATTTTTGGCTGAATTCAGCCAAATGTCAGACCATTTTTTAGTCAACTCTGAAGAAGTATAATTTCAAATCTTATGAAATTATACATGAAAATATTGTTATAAATACCATGCCATACTAAATGAGTATGAAGGATTTAATCCAAGATTTCCAAGTAGGAAAGTATTAGACGAGATTTGATGTTTGTATTTTATGTTCACAAGATTAAAATTTCAATCTGTTTGGTAGTGCTAAGGCATTGCAAGCTTTTCTGCCAGGATTGTAGGATACTTCGTTATGCTGTAATTGTTAAAAGCCATGCAATCTTTCTTTTATAAACTGAACAGATTAAGTAGTTACAATTATTTAAACTGTACTTTCTGAAGACTGTCTCTTGGGCTCTGTCTACACAAGAATTCCTGTGCTGTTGCTTTTCTTTCTTTCCTTCTTTCTTTTTTTTAAGTTAGTTGGCTTATTTCAAAATGCTTAGTGAGATTGCTAGTAGTTCCCAAAGGAGTGCATGGGATATCTCCAGCAGCAATGCAGAGGACACAGATACACCAATGACAGTTTCACACTGAGTAAAAACCAGGGCTCTGCATGGATAGTTGAATTAAAAGCTAATGTCCATATTTTATAGTAGTAGAAATTAATTTGTATGTATTTTTGGGAGGTGCTGGGGATTGAACTCAGAGCCTTGTGCCTGCTAAGCACATACTACCACTGAGCTATACCCTGTGGCCAGAAATGAGAATTTAAAGAAAAAAATCCCCAAACTGATTATTTTTTTTTTGAGACTGCATCTCACTATTGGAATTGATAACCCCCCAGTGCCAAAAACACAAGAGACAGAAAATCTTGACAAGGCAATTTCCTCTTAATCAAGAGGTGCAAAAGCAGGTGCTCACTCCAGCTAAGCAAGCATGCAAGCACAAAACGGCTCCTCCTTGTGTCCCTGATGCAGCTGGACCTGCGCCTCACCTGGGATTTGTCCAGGTCAAAGGTTCACAGTCTTTCCTGATCGGCTAAAAGGCTTGGGGGATGGGTTAGGGCATAGAGTTGGCAGGCAATGGAGTTGTACAGGAATCTGGAAGAAGAAGCAAGGACCCTTTAAACATGCAAGTCACCTAAGATGGCAACTTGAGGAATTTTTAAGTAATCTAAGAGGGTGACAAATGCTTTGATAGAAAAGATCATTTCTCTTACACTATGTAGCCCAGGTTGATCCTGAGCTTGATAGCCTCCTCTCTATCTCCCGAGTGCTGGGGTTGAAGGTGTGCACTGCCACACTGCCTGATGTTGACTTTTAATAATATCAGTGTACTTCAAAAATACCATTTTTATAAGCTTTTGAACTTCATTTTGACTCAGACCTCAGAACTTCATAGTTCATTTTGCTACTGTTTAGCTCAATCCAACTAAAATCAGAAAATATAGCACACTTTTTAAAAATTTATTTTTTTTAATTTTTATTTATTTCTTTTTCTGTTTTTTTTTAGGGGGAAGGGAAGGGGGAGGGGAGGGCAGGGGAGAGGAGAATGAGGGAGGGAGGAAGGAGGAAATCGAGGGAGGAAGGAAGGAAGGAAGGGAGGAAGGGGGAAAGCAAAGGAGGAAGGAAGGGAGGAAGGGGGAAAGAAGGAAGGGAGGAAGGGGGAAAGCAAGGGAAGGGGGAAGGGAGGGAGCATAGCACACTTTTAATAAGTACTTTTGTCCTGAATACAATGGAAAATTGTTACTTTCCATAGGAAACTCACAAAAGTGTGTGTGTGTCAGGGGAGGGAAATAGAAAATCCACTTTTCATCATTCCGCCACCCTAGCCGGAGTTGAGAGAGGTGGAGAATCAAGTAATACTGGCTGACTTCCCTTGCAGAGCTTTTTGTACACCTAGGCTCTGAAGAGGAGTCTTTCTGTCTACCCTGTCTTGCGGACAACTCTTGTGCACACACAGCGGGCCTGAGACCCAGTGTCTCTTACATAAGGCAGCAGCATCCACTTTAAAAAGAATGTTCAGGAATTGTCCCCTGGGGAAACTGTCAGCCCCAATTCTTGAACATTCCTTTCACACCCCCCCCCCAAAAGAAATCCTCCCTCTCCCAGCCCTGGTAACCTCACTTCCTGTCTCCATGGGTGTGGACAATTCATATAAACAGGATCCCTCCCTGTGTGGCCTTTTGTGTCTGGCTTCTTTCACTTGGACAGGTCTCAAGTTTCACCCAGGGTGGCCTCGTTTGTAGCATCCCCAGGGGCGCCTCTTTGAAGCTGAGTTCAAGCACTCCCCTGGCCCCCTTTGGCCAGTGGCCACCAAGCTAGTGCTTGGATGAGGCCACATTCTATCTCCTGCCAGGTGAGGCTCAGTTTCTCATGAGTTATGTTAGACTGAAAAGTACAGAGAGCTAGACAAAGAGATAGATGGCTCACTGTCAGCACAAGTTTATTCAGGAGAAGAAACCAGCAGAGGGGGTCTCCAGCAGATGCTAGAGCCCACTGTCGCTTACAGTCTGGGGGTTAAATAGAAAAGGAAGGACCTGGTAAGGGATGGGGGAGTTTTCCCACTGTGGCTTGTCCTTTGTCCATTGCTAGGGGTAGTTAAGGAACTGGGTCTTACGTTCTGGCACAGGTGCTGGGAAACGACATTTCTCTTAGGGGGCCCATGACTACAGGAGCCAAACAACTCTTGGGTCAAGCAGAGTTTAAGATGGCCTGAGTGATGTCAAGTTAAGACCTAACAAGTTACACATTTACGCAACATCCTAGGCCAACCCAATGAGTTACAGAAGCCTCACTCTGTATTCTTTACAGTGAAGAATGGCAGGAACGGAACAGGCCACGGTTATTTACTTATTTACAGGAATTTTTTCTTCTGAGAGGATTTACCTCCCAAGTTTTAGAGTTTGGCCATACTGACTTTATTTGTAGATTCATTTTCCTAAAGACAGATGGGAAATAGCAAAGATTTAAATGTTTCACAACTTTTCTCTTGTAATGCTGTCTTAGGTTCTGTTCCCAGGTATCAAGAAACACTACAGTTTCCCAGAGAGGAGCTGGGTGCAGGGGAAAATTTCATGGCACTGTTACAACTGCAGCAATGCAAAATCTTGCAAGAAACAGATAACATTCAGTTAAGGTGCTTGGAAGGCCTTAACTTTCAGAATATAACATTTGCTGATCAATTCATATATAACTGAATATTAAGAATAATCATGATGCTGGGTGTGGTGCTTCACATCTGTAATCCCAGATACTTGGGAGGCAGAGATCAGGAGGATCATGGTTCAAGGCAAACCTAGACAAAAAGTTAGCAAGACCCCATCTCAACCAACAAGCCTGGTGTGATGGTTTGTGCCTGTCATCCCAGCCACATGGAAGACACAGGTAGGAAGACTGAAGGCTAAGTTCAGCCCTGGGCAAAAAGTGGAGACTCAAAAAATAACTGGAGCAAAAAAAGAAAAGGCTGGCGGAATGGCTCAAGTGGTAGAGCACCTGCCTAGCAAGCACTAAGCCCTGGGTTAAAACCCCAGTACTGCCCCCAAAAAATCATGGCAAACATTTATATGGTGGTCACTACTGGCCAGCAATATGCTGAACCCTACACATGGACTCAGCTAGTGGCCACACCACCCAGATGAGTGAGCATTAACTGAGTGCTTACTATATGCTAGGCATTGACCTAACCTTATTTAATCTTCTCATAATTCTATGAGGGAAGAGCAGTTATCTCCCTCTCTCTTTTTTAATAGATGCGGAACTGAGATTTAGAGACGTTAAGGACTTGCCCAAGGTCACTTCAGAGAATACAAGAGGGCAAAAAAAAAAAAAAACAAAACACACAAGGGAAAGAAAAATCCCAAACCGGGCTGTCCTACCTCTGCATTCCTAGTCACTCAACCATAGGATCATACCCGCCCCCCCCCTCCGCCATCCTCCAGTAGAGTTTTGATACTTTTGCACCTGTCCTGTGGCTGAGAACTCTGTGCCAGGAAAAAAACCCTTCACAAAACTGGGAGAATGCTAACAATTCAACAGTGCTACATAATTACAGTACTGCAGCCTCATCCCCCTTTTTAAACGCGCCGCCCTAAAATCTCCATAAAAACCCAGTTTACTGAGGGGCAAATCCTGCTTGTTCAGATCCTCTTCCTATTTGCGAGCAGAGCAGCAAAAATGCGCCAGGCCTGGTGGGCGGGGCTGGGATGCTCAGGTTTGGACCGAGGGGCGGGCTCTCTTGCCTGTGGACCAATCACCGAACACTTCTCTTCTAGCCGGCTGCGGATTGGCGGTTGCCATAGCTCCGGGAGTTCGCTTGCCAACATGGCGGCCGCCGAGCAGCCGCGGCGGCGGCGTTTCTCGCTTTGGGCCCTTCGCGGCTTGTAAAGCGCGCGCGGCTCCAGGCATGGGCTTCCCGCTGCCGCCGCCCCTGCTGTTGGGGCTGCTCCTGCTGCAGGGCGTCCTGAGGCCGCTGGGGGCGGATCTGGGTGTGTATGGCGGGGCAGTGACCTGCTGGGCCCGGGAAGCCACGACCGCCGAAGAAGCCGCCACACAGCTGGGGCAGTAATTCTGCGGCTGTTAACCCTGCCTTGTCCCCTTCCTTCTCTCTTAGTTTTCATCCCGTCTTTCATCCGAATGTCCGGGTCTGAGGTCAGCGCGTCCCTGGTCGGAGCCACCGAGGGTGTGACCGTGTCCCTGGCCACGCTGCAGGCCGAGGCGGGTAAAGTCTGGCTCTTCTCATGGTGCCGCCCAAGGCGCCTGGCGATGGCGTCACCGGGGCTCCTGTGTCCTCAGCAGTCTAGGGATGGGAGGAGGAGGGGGCATAGAGCCAAGAGGCCAGTGGACGGTGTTGCAGGAGCGCCATTTGCGTGCTTTGCCTGCATTCCCTCATTTTCCTTATCACAACAGTGATAGCGTTTTGTCCATGTGCACATGACGTTCAGAGACATCGCCCGCCACTTGCCGCAATCGCAGTTTGTAAAGGGATCCCATACTAGGCGGTCTGACTCCAGGGCACCCCTTATCCACTGAACGTCGCTGCCCGTGAAGAGGCATTCTCATCTCTCTCTTAGGACTGTTGCCAGTTCCAGCTTGTGGAGTGCCAAGCAATGAGACGGGAAACTGGAGTGTGACTGTGACCTGTCGTGGTGTGGTAAGGCCATAAGCAAACCTCTGTAGCATCTTTCTGCAGCTCCCGCAGACTCTCGCGCGCTCTCTCTCTCTCTCTCTTTCTCCCTCCTTGCCTCTCTCCCTTCCCCCTCTTCCTTTCTCCCCCTTTTTCTCTCTCTGTCCCCCCTCCCTCCACCTTTCTCCCTGGCTCTCCTTCCCTTCCTTCCCCCTGGCTCTCCTTCCCTTCCTTCCCCCCTTCTCCATCTCTTAGACAAGTGTTCTACCACTGAGCTACACCCCCAGCCCAGAAGTGCCTTCTTCTTTTTTTTTTTTTTGTCTTTTTAAATTTTATTTTTGGTGTATTTATTCATTTATTCATAGGTGCATACATTGTTTGGGCCATTCTCCCTCCCCCCCAAAAGTGCCTTCTTGATTTGATTCCATGCACAGAACTGTCTTGGAATTGTGGGCTGTTGGTGTAGACATCCATTCAGTCTAGGTCTCTTACCCCAGGATAAAGGTCTTCCAATGCCTTTCAGGTGGTCTGTGAAGCCCTGTGAACTTGGGTGTGAAATTCTGTGTCTATTCTGTGTATTTTTCTGATGAGACAGTCAGCAGCTTCTGTCAAATTATCAAATGAGTCTGGACTCAGAAAGCCTTTGTAACCACTGACGTTCAAGTCTGCAGAGATTAGCTGTCTCCCAGCAGTGGATGTTCTTCCAGTGCCTTGAGTGTGGCAGCATCAACGATGGAGGTGAAGCCAGCCTCCACTTGTACACTAGGAATGGATGCTCACACATCCAGAGTCAACAAGAGAGAAACTGGGGCTTCCTTTTACTCACTTTTTTGTGCATTTAGTCTTCCACCAGTAGAAGGATAAAAACATGTAAAAAGGTGCTAGGCAAATGTTAGTGTATCTCACCATACGTATCTCTAAGCTATTTGCTTTTATGTTAAGACCATAGGTTTGGGGATGGAAATGAAGAGAATTCCGTCATGTTTCTATGTTAGAAATATCAGGGTGCTGCTGCAATCACAAATCAGACACGTGCTCGAAACTGATGGATAAGGCAAAATTTACTTCTGCTGACCAGAGTCAGGCAGGCCAGCTCACCGAGCAGGAAGTCTGCTCAGTTTTTATCCCATGCAAGTCTGCCCCTCACCCTGATGGATGGGTTTGGGTTCACAGTCTTCGTGATTGACTACTTAGAAAAGGGCATATGGGGAAAGGGGGCCTTGAAGCAGGGAGAACAAGAAAATTCTTTTGGGCAATATTCATCTTTAAGCAAGCAGTTTGAGATTAGGACATCTGGTGATAAACAGCTCTTTGTTTGACCACAAGAACCTTGCAAGGTCAAGCAACAGTTCACAAAAGTGCATAGGCAGCAATTCGGGGAGGGTAGCTGCCATCTACACGGTGATAGACATTAACTCCTTTGACAGAAAAGACCTGACTTTAGTTGATTCTCACATTACATACAGATCTCCTTTTGGAAAATGAGCCAAGGCTACCATGTGCTTTTCTGTGTTTTCCATTATGTGTTCTCATAAATTATAGATGTTGTTTTGAGTCACTCTAAAAGCATAGCCATGTTTTCCTTTCAGAATGTGCTGGAAGTGACAGTCCAGTTGAAGCAGGACCTACAGTGGTGTCCCTCTAATGACACAGATTCCTTCTCAGAGGTCCCATGCATCGTCCAGACGCTCCTGATCTCAGCATCTCACAATTCTTCCTGCTTAGCACATCTACTCATTCAGGTGGAGATTTATGCCAATTCTTCTCTGACCCACAATGCATCAGGCAGGTACCGTCCTTGTCACAACATCTGTGTCAAACATTGTGTTTGATTAGAAGTGTGGCCATAAAGTTTGTAAAGTGTGTTGAAATTTACTGTTGAGTCTGTCTTCTCTTCCTGAATGTATTATTTTTGGGTTCATTTCTTATTTTAAATGCACTATTTTCATTTAAAAGATTTGTCTTACTGTATGTTTGCATCTTTTGTAAACCATTTTAAGTCCTTTTTAGGAGAAGGGGAAATTTGTTTCTGGGCATTGATAACCATGGCTTCATCATAAGAGGGGATAAAAGGAGGGAAAAACTCATGAATGAGTTTATAGAAAACTGGTGGATTTCCAGTAAAAGCTTTGGGCCTCCATCTCTCCTTTTCAGGAATCAGCCTGCTAACTTAAAAGCATATACACATTTACTTTTTATACCTTCTAAGAATGATATAATTAGAAATTATTGTATATGTACATGTGTAGGGTTTTGTGTGTATGTACATGTTGGGTATCGAACTCAGGGCCTCATTCATGCTAGGTAAACATTATACCACTGAGCTATAACCCTCGGCCAGACACCAAGTTCTTTTTAATAGCTGCGTAGTGTTCCACTGTGTGGATATACTGATGCTATATAAATCATGTCTAGCTTTTGATACTAGAACTAGTTCGATAGCAAATATCATGACATCTCTCTCTCTCTCTCTCTTTTCTCTCTGTCTCTCTGTCTCTCTCTCTCTCTCTCTCTCTATATATATATATATATATATATATTTTTTTTTTTTTTGCAGTACTGGGGTTTGAACTCAGGGCCTTGCACTTGCTAGACAGGTGTTTTACTGCTTAAGCCATGCCTGTAGCTCTTTTTTTTCTTTAAGTCATTTTTTAGGTAGGGCCTCATGTTTTTGCCTGGGCTGACCTCAGACCACGATCTTCCTACCTACGGCCTCTTGTGTAACTGGGATCACAAGCACACACAAGCACACATCACCACGCCAGCTGAGATGGGTCTCACTAACTTTTTACCTGGACTGGCCTTGAACTGTGATCCTCCTGATCTCTGCCTTCCTAGTAGTTTTTGCCTGGGCTAGCCTCAAAAACTGCAATCCTCCTGATCCTTGGCTCTGAGTAGCTAGGATTACAGGTGTGAGCCATTGGAGCCCATTATGTTAGTCATTTTTGAGATAAGGCTTAGCTTTATGTGTGGGCCTGCCTGGATAGATCCCACATAGCTGGGATGACAGGCATGCACCACTGTGCCCAGCTTTCAAAAGGGTTTTGTTTTTTTGAGGGGGAGGAACTGAGGTTTGAACTTTGCTTTACACTTGCAACACAGGTGCTCTACCACTTGATCCACACCCCCAGTCCATTTTGCTCTGCTTATTTTGGAGATGGGGTAGTGTGAACTATTTTCCCAGGCTGGGCTCGAATTTTGATCCTCCTAATCTCAGCCTCCCAAGTAGCCAGGATTACAAGCATCAGCCACTGCTACTTGGCTTCAAAAGGTTATTTTTAAAAACATTCCCTCCCCCAGCCTTTTGTTCAAACTCCAGTACTGCAAAAACAAAAACAAAAAGCAAAAAACAAAACCAGTGTGCTGGGCGCTGGTGGCTCACACCTGTAATCCTAGCCACTTGGGAGGCTGAGATTGGGAGGATCATGGTTTGAGGCCACGTACAGGAAGGATTAATGGTAGCTTTGCTGTTTAGATTATTGCCTTTCTCTTCCCTTTCCCTTTGACAAATACACCTGGGTATATTTAGGATATATTTTTGAATATCCAGCTCTGGAACTTTAAGTCTTTGTATAATTGGTAATTATGAGATGTCTGCTCTGACCCTGTGAAGGTGTGGAAAACTTTACACCCAGTCAGACAGAGATCAAAACAAGGAAAAGCAAGGAAGGACAGACAGGAGGTAAGTGTTACGCCTAGCAGTAGTGAAGCCAGCCAGCAGTGGAGGGGCCATATAGACAGATGTGCCCCCGTTTGTCTATATAACACACAGTAGAACCCTCTTCTAAAGCCTGCTGCTGACTGTCACACTGGCGTCATTACCTGGAGGGTCAGCCCCTCAGCTCGATGTCATTCACTTACGAGGGTTCTACTGTGTTCCAGCGTGGAGTGTGTAATGGTCGCTCGCTAGCTGCTTCTTCCCTCCCATCATTCGATGTTGTGTAGAGTTGACACATGTACCTGCTATGTAGCTTCTAGTGTATCAAATCCTAGGACAAAAGTAAAGCTCACCAGACTGGAAGTGGTAAATTTTGTTACCGATCTGGTAAAGTAAACCCTTGTATCCAGTAAGTGACTGCAGAAAAACGAGAGCATTACAACTTCTGGCTTCTGAGCTGGGAAGCTGAGGTGTCACGCATTCCTTGTTCAAAGGGAGAAGCCTGCAATGTCCTGAAGTGTTGCAAGCCACCATCCTGCTGAGTTTTACTGTCTTAGAGTCTTTCGTTGTGGGAGTGCTGGGGTTTGAACTCAAGGCCTTGTCCTTGCTGGGCAGGTGCTCTACCACTTAGCCCCAGCACTTTTGGATTTTTTAAATAGGGTGTTGTGTTTTTGCCATGCTGGTCTGATCTAAGAACCTCCTGTTTGTGCCTTCACTTAGCTGGGGTGACAGGTATGCACCAACATGCCCATTTTTTTTTGTTGAGATGGGGGGTCTTAATTACTTTTTGCCAGGGCTGGCCTGGATTTTGATCCTCCTGATCTCTTCCCACATAACTGGGATTATGGGTGTGAGCCACTGCACTCTGCTGATTTTGTCTTTTTTAGTATTAATACCTTCCCTGGGCTCCACTTACATTGTCCCCAAGTCCAGCAGCTCTCTCTTGAGTTATTGCATCAGCTTCTGAGTGGCTTCTCTGTCCACAGCCCACCTTCTCCTGGGTTGCTCCCTCTGTCCTCTGCTTAGAATCTTCAGTAGTTCTCACTCTATTTCTGGCGGCCAGTGTCACCCCAGGCGCATCCATGAGAGCTGGAAAGCTCTCTGAGAATTTGAAATTTTTCCATTGTGTTGATAATTTGCGGTAGAAAGAAATTTTCATTTAATATGATTTAAGACCCTGAGATAATTATTTCTTACACTGGGTTATGCCCTCCCAGGGACTGACCTCCCAAAGTCTGTGACCCTTTTGAAAAGAGTCTATCATTATTCCCTTGGGAAGTAGTATGAGTTGGGCTTCTAAAATGTTCCCTTTCCAAAAGACCTGGAATTCTTTTTCTTTTTTTTTCATGGTACTGGTATTTGAACTCAGGGCCTCATGCTTGCTAGGCAGGCAACTCTACCACTTGAGCCACTCTGCCAGCCCTGTTTTGGGATGAGTTGGGTATTTTTGAGTTAGGGTCTCGAGAACTATTTGCCCAGGCTGACTTCAAACTAAGATCCTCCTGATCTCTGCCTTCTGTGTAGCTAGAATTTCAGGCATGAGCCACCAGCCCCTGGCAAGACCTGAAATTCTTACCAGAAAAAAATTAAAAATATGTCTTATTTTCGGATCTTAAAGACACAAGTCTAGGAGGCTGGGGTGGTGAAGTGGTCACATTCATCAAATGAAATGTAATTTATTAAATAAACTATGTAATTGTTCTAATACTTCGTCCTGAAAATGGAGACTTTTACCAAGGACTCCTGTCAAGGGAGGCAGGGATTAGAACACCTCCTTGGTCTGTACTGGGCAATTTTCCTATTTCAGGCATAGGCCCTACACCAGTGGGGCTGGAGCAAGGGAAGCAGGCACAAGGTGGAATCAGCTATAGAAATGCTTTCTCTTGACAAAAGCTTCCACTTATTGGAGGTTTTGTGTGTGCTAAGTTTTGGTTAAGCACTCTTCTATTAAAAAAAAAAAATTAGTTGGTGTGGTGGTACACACTTCAGCACTTGGGAGGCTGAAGCAGGAGAATTCCTTGAGCACAGGAGTTTGAGACCAGCCTGGGCAACACAGTAAGATTCCCTGTAAAAAAAAGTTATTGCCGGGCCGGGGGTGGGGTGGGGGGGTGGTGTAAAAAAATTACTGAGGTGAAATTCACGTAACATAAATAAGCATTTTAAAGTGGATGTGGACGGCTCAGAGGCATTGAGTTGATTTGTGGTACTCTGTGGCCACCACCTCTGTGTGGTTCCAGAACATTTCTGTCCCTCCATACCTTTCCAGCCACTCCCTACTCCCTGGGCCCTGGCTGCCACCCACCTGCTTTGTGTCTTGTTGAGGACATTTCACACAAACGGAACTGTGCTGCAGATGACCTTGTGTGCCTGCCTTGTTTTCATTAGTGTAGCGGTTTTAAGGTTCATCCTTGTAGCATGTTATTTGACCTTTTATGGTCAAATAACAGCTAGTGTGTGAACGTATCACCATTTGCTCATCCTCTGTCAGCTGGTGGATATTTGGGCTGTTTCCACCATTTGGCTGAAATGAACAGCTTTTTTTTTGATGCTGGGACTTGTATCCAGAGCCTTCACCTTGAGCCACTCCACCAGCTCTATTTTTGTGAAAGGTTATTTTTGAGATAGGGTCTCGTGAATTATTTGCCGGGCTGGCTTTGAACTGCAATCTTCCTGATCTCTGCCTCCTGAATAGCTAGGACTACTGGCGTGAGCCACTGGCACCCAGCTGAACTGCTACTCTTAATGTTTGCAGCATCTGTGTTCAGTAAACCCCATGATTCCATGTTGGAATAGTGAGTAGGAAAACCTACAGAGAGGAGATGCCGGGTTGTGGTGGGTATGGGGAATGGGAGATGACAGCTAAAGGGTCCAGGTTTGTCCCTTAGACCATGACAGTGTCCTAAAATCCACTCTGGTGACGGTTGTGGATATTTGTGATTATGCCAAAATCCACTGACATTGACACTTCACGTGGATGAATTGTGTGGTATGTGAGTTACGCCTCAATAGAGCTGTTCTGAAAAACCCCCTGTGCCCAAGCAAAGAATGCTGCTTGAGCCCCTGTCATGGGCCAGGCCACCTGCTGGGGCTGGGGTTTCAAAGAGACACACTCAGTAGGATGAACAGACAGGAAGCGGAAGTCAGGTATCAGGGCACTCTGTTGGGGGGTGGTGAGGGAAGAATCTGCTAAGGTTGGGGAGGCCCTTTCAGCTGAGGAGCTGAAGGAGATGGTGGAGGGGAGGATGGGGGCTGAGGGCCCCCCAGGGAGAAGGGCAGCATGTGCAAAGGCCAGGAGGTACCAGAGCACAGAGAGCAAGGTGGGGTTTCAGGAGAGGGGGCTGGGGCCACATCTGGGCCAGTGCGTGGATTTTGGTAGAAGAGTGATTTGGTTCCATTTTCCAGAAGTATTGGGTGGGACAACGGACTGGAGGGGTCTGAATTTGAAGAGGGGAAGCCTCAGCTTTGTGGGAGCAAGGAGCTGATGTATTGTGCACTAAGATTGCCCTGGGGTTCTGAGAGCTAATCTCCCCCAAAGCTTGAACAGATTCACTATGCGACATTTGGGATCCAGTAAGATAGGACTCGACATTGAGCATGTAGCATAATTTTTAAAAATGTCCTTGTGACTAGATATGCTGTCTGAGATGCCACGGTGGCTTACTTTATCTGAAGGGAGGGAATAAGTTAAAGGAATAAGTACCTAATGTCAGTCTTATGAAAAGAATTGTTCAGAGCATTGAAAAATAAAATCAGTGATTACTTTTATCCTAACTTGTAACTTTTAGTCAATGAATTATCTTCAAGATCGGCTGTGACTTCCTTAGTGAATGTTGGTTTTCTTTTTTTGTTTTTTAGTTATCTTTTGCATAGGGTCTGGCTGTATGCCTGGGCTGACCTGGACCACCCTCCTCCTGTTTGTGTTTCCTGAGTAGCTGGAGTGACAGGCACATGAATTCCCACCCAGCCTTTTTTATTGGTTGAGATGGGCTCTCACTAACTTTTTGCCTGGGCTGTCCTGGAACCCTGACCCTTCCTGATCTCACCTTCTGAGTAGCTGGGATTATAGACATGAGTCACTGTGCTCAGCTTAAATTTGGTCTTTTGTTGGAGAAGTAGATGTTATGTTTTCTGCATGGCTCATTTCAAGGATCCATCATGGGGAGGGTTTGGCAGTGGAGATTTCTGAAGCATAATGATTTAGCTTTTTCTGGAACGTCAGTGTGACCAAGCCTTGTTAGGTTGTCACACAGCTGAATGTTTTGTCTTGTGTGCACTTTTCAGAGAATGCAACTGTGATACCTAACCAGGCATATCAGCCTCTGGGTCCTTGTCCTTGCAATTTAATAGCTGGAGCCTGTGACATTCGCTGCTGCTGTGACCAGGTACATATGTGACAGCATGTGGAGAACACCAACACTTCCCCCTCGTTGGCTTTTCTTTTTGGCAATACTTGGGTTTTGAACTCAGGGCCTTACACTTGTCAGGCAGGCACTCTACCACTTGAGCCAAACTCCCAGTGGCTTTTTAATGGATGGTCTTTCCTTTCTTTTCCTTTTCCTTTCTTCTCTTCTTGTCTCTTTTCTTCTCTTTCTTTTTTGGTGGGCCTGGGGTTTGAACTCAGGGCTTCTCACTTGCGAGACAGGTGCTCTAGCATGTGAGCCATACCTGCAGCCCTACATTGGTCATTTTTGAGATGAGGTTTTGCTTTATTCCCTGCCTGGCCTGGACCTTGATCTTCTGTATCTCTGCCTCCTGAATAGCTGGAATTATAGGCGTGACCTACCATGCTTAGCCTGGGCTAGGGGTTTAGAAGGGTAATGACAGTAAAAAAAGGCATTTGCTTTGTGATGGACCCCATCAGGCATCTCTTCAGTGCTGTCTGCTCCTTGTGCTGAGTTTTGTGGGCACATCTTATGTTGCTAGTGCAGCTGATTTCTGAAGGCCCAAAGTTCCTGACATGGAACCTCCATAGAGAGTTGGCTAAAGAAATTCCAGGACTATTTCTCGTGGGCACACAGCACTTTGGAAGGAAAGGAGACTATATTTGCTTCTCACCTACTGCCGGCCTCTCACCTACTGCTTCTCTCATCTGCCGGCCTGACATCTCTCATAGCCCGGAGCTGCTACCCTGTCTCCTCACTGCTACCCTGTCCCTTGTGTCTACTTTCAAGGAGTGCTCAGAGGAGGTGAGAGAGCTGTTCAGGCCAGCCTGCTTCACGGGTGTGTTCGGGGGAGATGTCCGTCCTCTGTTTGACCAGTTCTGCACCGCTGGGACCACTTACCGGGTCTCTGACTGGTTTCCCCTCCTGTGCGTGCAGTCATCGCCGGCCAACTCGCCCTTCCTGGGCCTCTTCTACCATGGTGCTGTGTGAGTACCCAGCCACTGCAGGAGGGTCTCATTCCCTGGCCTGGGCCACATCCAGGGGTCACCTTTTTCTCAGTACATTAGAGAATGTGATTCTTGGGCTGGTGGAGTGGCTCAAATGGTAGAGTGCCTGTGTAGCAAGGGTTAGGCCCTGAGTTGAAACCTCAATAGCAAAAAAAAAAAAAAAAAAAAGGAAAGGAAAAGATAAAAGGATTCTATTATGGCTCCCAGTTGTACAATACCATTTTCCTTAAGTGTTGGAGAAGTCGAGCCACACTGAGAATGAACTGATCCATACAGCAACTAGGTGACGGTGACCATGGGGGGAGCAGGTGGGAAGGAGTGGCAGGCCCAGGGGAACTGAATTCTTTGTACTTTAGTTGTGTATTGAAAATATACGAGCATCTATGGTTTTTGTAATTTAAAAAAAAAAGTGAAGAAAAGCTTGACGGGAAGGTTACGTCTCTGCTGATGACAGCCAAGAGCGTCAGTGACAATCTTTCTTCTGCACATCAGTTCTCCTAGGCACGACCCTGCTTTTGAAGTCTGTCTTCACTCTGACCTCAGAGACTTTTCACACAAGGACTTTTACAAGCAAGGAGATCCAATTCTGACCCCCGACAATGCATATTTTACTGTTCCACAGGTGAGGACTGCTTCAGTCTAGGTATGCCAGCCTCTTCTCTGATTGCCCCGTCCTGCTGTAAACTCATATTGCTCTAGAAAACCTCTTCCTAAGCTTCTCATTTTTCTTCTGTGGATTTTCCAGGGACTTAACTATTAATTTTCTCTGGATTAAGAAAAGAAAATCACTCTTAAATTAATCTCATCTTTGCCAAATCTCAGAGTAAACTTGTAAAATAAACCCAAAAGATCGTAACCTCATGGAAGTAATGGCCATTTTCCTTTCCATCTTTTTTCTCACTTTGTAATTCAGGCTGGCCTCAGCCTACCAAGTGCTGGGATTACAGGTATGCATTACCATGCCTGGCTTTAATAGCCAATTTCTAATAAACTCTAAATATATCATTTTGTATAACATTCTGGAATTCCGAAAAGTATTTCAAGGTTGTAGTTTTATTTAAAAAAGTTTTTTTTACTTAATTTTTTTTTTTTCAGTTTTGGTGATAAACCTAGGACCTGGAGCATGCTGGGCCAGTGCCTACTCCCTGTATGGCACCTCTAGCCCTTTATCTTAATTGCAGCATTATTAGGGAAAAAATATTTGTGGGAAGAAAACATAGAATGCTAAACCATTTCTCTTTACTATGGTATTAAAAAATGGGGTCTTTCCAGGCACTTGTGGCTCCTGCCTGTAATCCTAGCCAGAGAGGCAGAGATCAGGAGGATCACAGTTGGAAGCCAGCCCAGGCAATAGTTCTCGAGACCCTGTCTTGAAAAACCCTTCTCAAAAATAGGGCTGGTGGAGTGGCTCAAAGTGAAGGCCCTGAGTTCAAACCCCAGAGCTGCAAAAGGGGTCTAGGGGTGTAGCTCAGAGGTAGAGCACATGCTGAGGACATATGGGGCCCTGGGTTCTGTCCCCAGCATCCAAAAGAACAATCTGGATATGATAAGAGAAAATGAACTCAAATATATCATGTTTTTGCAAAGTAAATGAAGCGGGGAAAGAATTGTCCCTATTTTCATTTATTTGTTAGTCAATCTGGTTTCTAAATATCGAGCCCAGTCTGTCCTGGAACTCATTGTCCTCCCCCTCAGCCTCCCAAAAGCTAAGATTATAGTCGGCCGCCACCACAAGGCCTTTAGTTTTTATTATTAATACTTGTTTTGACTCCTTAGCCAGTGGCTTCCAGATCAATTAGATGTTTTGCCAAAGTTGGTCATCTAGTCAGTGGACTAGCCATTGTTGAAACTACACCAGCCCTAAGAGCAGGAAGCAGAAAGAACGAGTGGAAGGGCTGCCAATCTGTTCTTATGACTAGAAGAAAGGCCACAAATCTGTGGGGTTTTAACTTCAGGTGTCCCTGGTTGGTCAGTGTCTACAGAATGCCCCCGTGGCATTCCTCCAGAACTTTGATATCAAGTGCACTACGAACTTGGAAGTACTCCCAGAGCGAGATGACATCATCAACCTGAAGATACGGAGGAGTGCTATAGGAGGTACGTGCCATTGTTGGAAGAAAGCACAGACTTGAGTGTCAAGGTGAGCTATGATACATGTCATCTCTGCTTTACCAGCTTGAGATAACAGTTCACCTGCCATTGAGGATGGTGTTTTCTTGGAAAAGAAAGCATCGGCCGTCATTCTTGGGTGAGGATTTTCACATCTCCCCGAGGCTGCAGTCAGAAGCTAAGAACAGAGGGCTCTGGATAGGGTGTTGGAGCGGGGAGTGTTCTGCTGTCACAGGCAGCCAGTGCCATGTATGTTCAGTAAGTAGATGTGATCCTGTCAGACCATGCGGTCCTGCGGAAGTGAATCTATGTCTTTTTAGGCATAGTCACACCAGCAGTAATCTATGAAGAAGCAAGTGACCTTCACAAATTCATCACCAGCACAGGTAGTGTCACACTTTTTTATGTCATTTCTTATAAGTGTTACATTGGTCCAGAGTACAATAACACCCCATTCCCACATTTTCTTTTCTTTTCTTTTTTTTTTTTTTAATTTCTTGGCAGTATGGGGGTTTGAACTCAGGGCTTTGCACTTGGTAGGCAGATGCTCTAACACTTGAGCCACATCCCCAGGACTCTTTTGTTTTGTGATGTGGGGGAGTTTTTGCTGTTGTGCTGAGGCTGGTCTTGAACTCCTGGGCTCAAGTGATCCTCCTACCGCAGCCTCCTGAGTAGCTGGAACCACAGGTGTGCACTACCACACCCTGCTCAAAATACATTTTTAGTAAGAATTTAGGGCCGGACTGGGGGCATAGCTCAAGTGGTAGAGCACCTACCTAGCAAGCTCAAAACCCTGAGTGCAAACCCTAGTTCTGAAAAACCAATAAAGAAGAATTTAGGGCACTTTCCCAGAGTCCAGAAGGTGTCCCAGCAGCACTCCAGTTGCTCCTTTTTCTGCCCAGCTTGCTTCAGGACCCTGTGACTTGAGCTGGCTCCTTCGTGGGCCTGGATCAAATGAGTTGCAGGGTGTGTCAGGTTCCAGGAGCCTTTTTGTACACGTTTGTGAGGTAGTGAAAGAATTCTTAAAGTCAGGTGCAGTTGGCTCACTCCTGTAATCCTATCTACTCAGGAGGCAGAGATCAGGAGACCTGTGGTTCGAAACCAGCCCAGGCAAATTGTTCACGAGACCCTATTTAGAAAATACTCAACACAAAAAGGTGTTACAGCTGGACAGGTCCCTGCTATGGAGCTTATACCCCATGACCTTTCCTTTTCCCAAGTTTGAGGTCTGCATCAGCTATGAGCCGGGTGCTGGGAAGGAAAGGGACAGATGTCACTAGGGTACTATGGCCAGTGCTGACTTGGATGACCAGAGTTAGGGTGTCCCTGGAGGAAGTGATGACTATGCTGTATTGGGGAACTGGAGTAGGCAGGCAGGGGTGGGCTGTGGGGAGCAGGGGAGGCACGCAGTAACAGATGAGCTCAAAGAAGGTCTTTGATTCATGAAGGTATTCTTGTATTTGCAGAAACACTTTTGAGCAGTGGATTCTCCCCCCGAAATGTGAATGTGGAAGAACATTATGTTTTCACGTGGCATAATAACACGATCACTGAAGTAACTGTCAGAATTGTTAGAGTGGAAATCAGCACCCGACAGAGAGGTGACTTTGATGTGGTAGTGAGGATGCTTTCAGCTTAAAGTATTTCTTTCCTTTCTTCAAGATTCTCAGAACATATAAATGAAGTCAGATTTGTTTGTGTGTATGATTCAACCAAAGAGACAGTATTTCTTTTGCACATCAAAATACAATTAAGGGAAAGAAAATGGTGTCATAGGTGTACACTGTGTCTTTCTTTTGATTTATTTCTAGGAATAATGACACAGAGATTTACAGTGAAGTTTTTAAGCCATAATAGAGGTAATGGAAAGGAATTATCTGGAAATCCAGGTGAGATGAATACAGAAGTCATGGGTCCTCCAAACTGATCTTAGCAAGTACTCCTGGGCCATCCCATGGCTCTGGGACTCTCTCCCCAGTTTTTGTTGGTCCTCCCTCCCTTCCCCTTCCTCCCCAGGGTTTAAATCCAGGGCCTCACACATACTTGGCAAGCGCTCTATCACTGAACTACCTCTCCAGCCCCCTTTCATTTTATTTTGAGACAGGGTTTTGTTAAGTTACCTAGGCTGACCTCAAACTTCCAATCCTCCTGCCTTAGCCTTCTGAATAGCTGGGACTACAGGTGTATGTACCACATTCAACTTAGGGTTTTTGTAGAAGTTCTGAGAAACACTGTCAGAATATGTGAATGATGTTGAAGTTCTTATCAAAAAAGGAAAATCTGGGTAAGAGCCGGAGATGACAAGTTAGAGAAACAGCTGGTGTGTACTGTGATGCAGGACAGGGTTTTAGAAGGACTGTGTGCCAGGAGCCCATCTTCAAAGATTTAGCTGTCTTACTTGGGAAGACAGCACCAATCTGAGCTCACTAATGAATGAGTGCTGGACTAGTGGGCAGGAGCCCTAGACCTTCAGCACAGAGAGCTGGTCATTCAACCCCATGTCCTCTTCCTGAGGAGCTATGCTGAGGTGGAGGTAAAGCTGTGAGCAGGTGGGATCCCTGTCCTCAGCAGGTTTCCACTCTGAGGTCATGAGGAGGATGTGCCTTAAAAATCAGAGGTTGCACACTGGGAACAGGAATGCCCTGGGCGAAGGCAAGGAGGCAGAAGTGAGCAGGAAGTACTGGGCAGGGCTGGGGTGCGGGGAGGCTGGCGTTCAGGAGCCATGGGAAATGATGTGGGAAACGCAGAACCACTGCACAACATTGCTCGGGTCCTGACTGTTGAGCAGCTCTGAAGCACACTGGGAGACACACGGGAAGCATGAGGATGAACTGGCTGTGAGGCTACCGTAAGGGACTGTTGATTTCCTAGAAGGGATACTGGAACTGGGGTTGGGTAAGGAATGTCTTTAATTTCAGGAGTCGTAGGATGGAGATTTTTCTCGAAGCGTTGTGATATCTGCAGCTTGTTTTCAAACAGTCCTGTGAAAGAAATATTTACACGTTTACCTGAACTTACGTTTATGGCTAGACACTGAGTTGTGGATTCCAGGTGGTGGCTCTGTTGGTGTTCACGGTATCACCTCACAGGGGCGATGCCAGGCTCTGGGTTGATGGGATTCCTGACAGTGGTCCCTTCTGACAGTAGTGTCATCCATCCTTCAGCAGTGTTTGTTAACTGGTGGCCTGGCCGCTTTGGTGTCCTTTGTGAGATGGACTTTACAGATTTTATTTCTGAAATGTATTTTTAAAAGTCACATGAATGGTCTCATCTGTTAAAAGCAAAACCAAAAAAAACCAGTGCAGGGGGTCACCTTCTCTCGGGGTATTTTCAAAAGCTTTTATGCTGTTTGATGCACCAGCCCTTCTAACCAGTGTTAGACTGGCCTGTGAAGAAAGACTGATTCTTCTCCATGTTTTTTAGGTTACCAACTTGGCAGGCCTCTCCGAACGCTGGACACCAACAGGGTGGATAGTGGTACAGCTTTACACCTTTGGCAGTCAGGTAATCTTTGTAGACCAGAATTGGAAGTATTTCCATTCTGTGAACCTAATCAAGCAATCAGTTAGTTTGAAGCTGGTTGGAGGGGAGCGGGGTTGGGGGGTGGTGGGGAGGTGCTGCTCTTCTGCTTCCATGGCTGGCTTTGTTTTTCTTTAAGGAGTGTAAACATTGTGCACATCTGCTTATCACTAAGAGGGTTGGGTTTTAGCAGCCACTTGCCTTGAGACTTCCTTTTCGCTGCCTACAGCTCAGCGTGGCTCTCACGGGGGACGTAGAGCAGCTTCCTTCTCAACCAGGGAAGACAGCACTGTGGTCATTATGCACTGGGCCAGAGGCATTGGATTTCACCCTTGGAACAAACCACCCATCCTGCACGGTCCAGGAATTCTGATCCGGAAAGGCGCCTTTGTTCAGCTTTGAAAGGCTTAGAGCCACAATAATCTCAGTTTTTGAAAGCTGGAAACTTTATTTCTACTTACTGTTTTCTCTGTTTTTCAGGAAAACTTTGAAGGAAATGTTTACTTTTGTTTAGCAGAAGCAGTAAGAGGCTCATCTTTTCCTTTTACAGCTGGAAGGGGTCTGTGTACGTCAGTAACTTTCAGACCTATTTTATTTGGAGAAAACGTATTGTCTGGGTGCCTTTTGGAAGTTGGGATTCAGGAAAATTGCACTCAGCTCAGGTGAGCTTCACTCATGGCTGTGTCTGCATTTTGAGTGATTTACTTACAATCAGTTCTTTTTTTTTGTCAGTACTGGGATTTGAACTCAGGCCCTACACCTTGAGCCACTCCGCTAGCCCCTTTTTAGTGAAAGTTTTTTTTGAGATAGGGTCTCTTGAACTATTTGCCCAAGTTGCTTTAAACCGTGATCCTCCTGAGCTCTGCCTCTGAGTAGCTAGGATTAGAGGTGTGAGCCCCCTGCACCTTAAAATAATTTCTAAAGACAATGTGAGCATGAGAGGTTAGAGCGATTAGAACTGGTGTAGAAGCAAAGTGGGTGATGAATCAACACAACTCGCCCTCAGACCTGACTCAAATACCCATAGAAGGGAAAGCTGACCTTTCTTGGGATGAAAGCCATTTTGTCCACATAAAGCAACACTCTGCTGAACTGTGTTCAGATTGTTGGATCCTTACACTCTCGCAACTGTTAAAAGGACCAGAGTCAGATATAATTGGTGTGATTAACATTTGAAGAACAGTTAAGCCCTGTTACATGGTGTATAAAGAACTCTACTTAGGGTGCAGTGGCTCACGCTTGTCCATCCCAGCTACTCAGGAGATAGAGATTGGAAGGATCAAGGTTTGAGGCCAGCTGGGCTGGGGCAAAAAGTTCTTGAAAAAGTTCATCTCAACCAATAAAAAGCTGGGCTTTGTGGTGCATTCCTGTTGCCTGCCATCCCAGCTATGCAAGAAGCATAAAGTAGGACGATTAACGTCCAGGTTGGCAGGGGCATAAAGTCAAGATCCTATTAAAAAATAACTAAGCTGGCGCTGGTGGCTCATGGCTATCTATAATCCTAGCCACTTGGGAGGCTGAGATTGGGAGGATCACAGTTTGAGGCCAGCCTGTGCAAATAGTTCACAAGACCCCTTCTCCAAAATAACCAGAGCAAAATGAACTGGAGGCTGGCTCAAGTGGGAGAGCGCCTGCAGAACAAAACAAACAAGCAAGCACCGCAGGGAAGAGCTTTGCCCTTGAGTGTATGGGTGCATTTGGAAAGTGCGTTTGTGGATACATGCGCACATTCTTTTGAAAAATAATTGAGGGGAAATTCACAAAACTCATCGTTTTAAAGAGAACAGTCCCGGGGCTTTAGCACATTCATGGCGTGGCGCAACTGCCACCTCTGCCCCATCACCCGAAAAGGAAAGCTCCGCATCCTCCCGCCCAGCCTGTGGCCGTGAGGATCCTGCCGTCCTGCCGTCCGTCTGTCTGTCTCTGCGGCTTTGCCTGTCTGGATCCTCGTAGCCAGGGGACCGTGAGCAGGCAGAGGGAGCGCGTGACTTTGGGCCGGTTTCCCGCTCAGCGCAGTGTTTCTGGGGCTTGGCCGGGTCGCAGAGAGCGTCCGAGCTCGTCCTTTGCGTGGCTGCGCCGCATCCCGTGTGCACACAGCCCTCAGTTGATGGACACGTGGATGCACACTCACGCACAAGTTTCTCTTTGCACACGTTTTCACTTTTGGGTTTTTTTTGGCAAATGCTCTTCCACTTTAGCCGCACCTCCAGCTCGTTTTTGTTCATTTTTTCAGATAGGGTTTTGTGCCTGGACTGCGTTCTACTTCCACCTGCCAAGTACTGAGATTACAGTTGACCACCATGCTCGGCTTGTTTTTGAGATATGGTCTTGCTAATTTTTGCCCGGGCTGACCTCAAACCACAGTTCTCCTATCTCTGAGGAGTAGCTGCAATTACAAGCATACACCAGCAGGCCCGGCCCACATTTTCCGTTTTTTTTTTGTTTTTTGGTGGCACTGGGGTTTGAACTCAGGGCCTCATGCTTGCTACACAAGTGCTCTTACTACCTGGGCCACGTCACCAGCCGTCTTCTGTTCTTGGGGTGTGTACTCAGGAGTAGAAGTACTGGGTTAATGGTAATTTCCTTTAGTGTTTTGAGGATCCACCCAACTGTTTTCATGCTTGGCTGCATCACTGCTCTTCCTGCCAAGGGTTCATTTTTCCCACATTCTCCTCAACCTTTGCTGTTTTCAATTTTTAAAAAAATAAGCTCCTAGGGCTGCAGGTGTGGCTTAAATGGTAGAGTGCCTGCCTAGCAATTGGGAAGCCCTGAGTTCAAATCCCAGTGCTGCCAGAAAAAAAAACAAAAACCAAACCAACCCCAAACCCCAAAACCTCCTAGTAGGTATGAAGTGGTATTTCTCTGTGTTTGATTGCATGCATGTTTATATACATTTCAACTGTTAACACATCCCAAGTGGTGTAGCTCTTGGGGAGCAGGTGGGGAGGTTTTGGGAAACCAAGTTAGACTGTGTAAGTCCTGGACAGCAGCCCCTAGCACAGGCTGTGAGGAATATCCTCTCTCTGCAGGAAGGATGTCGTTGACAAACTTCATTCATTGATACAGGCAACTCATGTGGCAACACGGGGCAACTCTGATGACAGTGACCTAAGTGATGGCTGGGTGGAGATCATACGTAAGTCACAGCTGTGACCTGGTGGCTATGCCTGTCAGCTGCAGTTGTAGCTTCACAGCCTGGTGCGTTAGGTCATGTAAGGTTTTTTTTTTTTTTTTCTTGCTGACTTAACCACACATCTGTCACCTGTCCAGGCAGGATGCTGTTCACACTGTTCACCTGTTTTTCCTGGTGTCTTTTGTTTTTAAAGAGGAAATTCAGAAGAAGTTCTGATTTCTCAGTTATTTTATGAGCTAAAAATCCTTTTTGGAGAACATAAATGAGGCGTGGAGATTGGCACTTTGCATTGCTCCTTTAGATTGGCAGGAATATGGCATTTGAGAATTGGTGTTAGAGTTTATGGAGCACCTTTGTTAATTAAAGAAAATGATGAAATTGCAAACCTTGTGCCAAGTGAAAGAAGTGCAGGCACAAACAACCACAGTGTGCGGCCCCGTTCATATGTAATGTTAGAACTGCCAGTGTGGACAGACAGAAAGCAGGGGGTAGCTGCAGGAAGTTGGGGTGACCGCTGTGGGAACAGGGTTGGTGTTCTGATCCTGGGCCTGGGCTGAGGTATAGCTCAGTGACAGAGTGTATGCTTAGCAGGTGAGGTGTGAGGTCCTGGGCTCCATCCCTAGAACTAACCCCCCCCCAATAAAAAAACACCCAACAAAACAGAAAACCATAACCAAGAAGAAACACTGTAAATCTCATGACAGCTGCATAACTCTGAATAACCACTGAATTGTGCACTGTAAAAGGGAATGGGTGGATGGTAGGGTATATGAGCGATATCTTAAATAAGCTAGAGAGAGAGAGAGAGAGAGAGAGAGCGCATGGAGCTCAGATAAAAAGACTTGACCATCCAGTGCTTTTGCCAGAGGTATTAGCAGGTTGGGTTGGCAGGGGGATGTATACAAAGACAGACACACCGCATGTATGTGGAGTAGAAGTGAGCCAGATTCAGCTGGTCCCCACCAGGAAATGATCCCACAGGTCACCTCCAAGCCATAAATGTCCATTGAGTCATTGAGATTTGGTTCATGGAGTTGTCCATGGGCAGTTATCCATGGGTGAGTCACAGGTGCAGCTGGGTCAAAGCGCTGTCTTCCTCCGTGGCAAGTCAGGCACCGGCTTCCAGTTCTGTGGGGAGTCTTGGGTGTGTACACACCTGAGGAGCAAGCTACCTGCATGACTTCATCTGTGTCATTGCCTTCCAGACCAGAGAGAGCTGGATGTGTCCACGGAGGAGAGGGGTCCTGATGGTCATGAGGTTCTCAGACTCCCATCTGCCCATCCAGTCTGTGCCCAGGGCACTCAGCCCAGAGGGAGTGAGGCTTCCCTTCCCCTGGGCTCTGCCGTCCAGGACAGCAATCCCAAGCTATTTGGAAGGCAGAGATTGGGAAGAGTGTGGTCCAAGGCTGGCCCAGGAAATAACTCTGAATAACCTAAAGAATAACTAAAGCAAAAAAGGGCTGGGGGCGTGGCTTAAGTAGTAGAGCCCTGTGTGAGGCTCTGAGTTCAAATCCCAGTGCCACTCTCCCCCCCAAAAAAATCTAGGTGGACTTCAGGGTGGAGCATGCACACTGAACCATGATTTATGGGGACTGTTATAGGGACCATGGCTTTTAAAGTCGAAGCAACTGGTTTCCCGTATAAGGAACACTTTAAACACACGGGTCAGTTAGCACCTCCTGAAGGGTCACACAGCTGTGGAGACAGACCTACTGGAGATTAAAGTGTCATAAATGTGATTCCTGTCTACTCTAATTTCCCATGTTTGATAACCTGCATGGCATGGTAGAAAAGTTATTTATTTTTTAGGCGGTACTGGGGCTTGGACTCAGGGGTGTGAGCTTCCTAGGCAGGCGCTCTATTACTTGAGGCACTCTGCCAGCCGTTTCTGCTTTGGTTATTTCTGAGACAGCGTCTTGCTTTATGCCTCAGCCTGCCTGGATTGCAGATCCTATTTGTGCTCCCCGTATAGCTGGGATGACAGGCGTGCACCACCCACCCAGCCACTGTTGAGACCAGGCTGTTTGCCCGGGCTGGCCTGGAGCCTCCATCCTCCCACTTCTGCCTCCCAGCTAGTTAGGGTTACAGAGAAAGCCATGATTACTCTTTCAGAAATGCCTAATTCTTCATTCCCACAGGTGTCGCCGCCCCCGACGGTGCCAATCTGTCGGTTAGTGACGCAGGTGGCGCGTGCCTGGACGTCCCCGCGCAGCTCCACATCCGGGTCCTGGTGGGCGAGGCCGGCGCGGTGGAAGGGGTTGCGCAGCGGGAGGTCGTGGGCGTGGAGACCAGGTGGGCGTCCGTGACAGGGTCGCGGGCGGGAGGGTGAAAGGCCCCGCAGGCAGGCAGCGCTAAGTGCCGCTAAATGCACGTGGAGTGCGTGTGGCGCTGGGGGGAGGTTCTCCGGGGGTTTGGGTGAATGCGCGGTCAGTGAAGGCGATCGAGTGCCGATCAGAGCGCCCTGCCGCTGCCTAGAGACTCGGGTGGCACGTATCGGGTTCGATCATGGCGTCCTACTTGAGAGCAGTGTGTGATCGCGGGCTATGACTGCAAGCCGTCATCTATAAAACGGTGATGGGGCCGGAGGTGTGGTTTAGTGGTGGAGCGCCTGCCTAGTAAGAGTGAGGCCCTGAGTTCAAGTCCCAGTACCACTACCAAAAACAATTTTGTGCTGTAACAGCAGCCAGGCATGGTGACACATGCTACCAGCATTTGGGAGGCTGAGGCAGGTGGATCATGAGTTCAAGCATAGCCTGGGCTACACAGCAAAACTCTCTCTCAAAAAAACAAAGCAAAAAAAAAAAATGGTGGCAATTCCTTTACATACCAGGCGTCTATCAGTGATAAGTGACAGGATTCCATTAAGCAGAAAGGGGAGTGTGTGGAAAAGTCCACACCTGGCCAGTTCCTGGTTCCTGGTTCCCATGTTTTATCTCTTGGCTCCTCTTCCCTTTGGGTGGACTGCATCCTCAGGGAAGTCCTGTTCAAGAGATGTCAAAGAGAACCCAGCAGTTCCCGCAGGGTGGCAGCTTTCCACTGGACTCAGTGGAAAGACAGGTGCTTTCTTAAGATAGATATGGGCAGACTTTCATTGGTTTACTTTGGGCTATGCCCTCCGTTCTGAACCAATCCTATGGCTGAGGCAATAGACAGCTCTGATTGGCCAGGCTCAGAGGATGGACCCACCCCTAAATTCAGGCTGGTGCCTTCTGGTCCACTGAGCTGACAGTGGTCAGAGGTGCTTTCCCAAGGAAAAGTTGGGATGCAGTTACCAGAGACGAGATTCTGGTAACCACCAAACTCACTTCATAGTGGCCTTCCCCCCCAACACACACACCAGGTGCTGGGGATGGAACCAGGGCCTTGCACATGCTACATCCCCAGCCCCATGGTACTGTTTTGAGGATCATATGTGATGGTGTGTAAAGCTCCTTAGCTTGCACTTAGAGCAGGGAATGTCTTCAACAAATGGTTAGCTGTTGTTTTTATTTTCTTGTTTGAGACAAACAAGTGATGAAACAAGTTACCTTTTACAGCACCGACTATAGAGTGAAATGGCGGGGGACAACAGAGATGGGCGTGGGTGATAGGTTGGTGAGGGTTCATCACATTCTTCTACCTTCTGGTGTCTCTATTTGAAAATTTATACAACGTAAAGATTCCTGGATGTGCTCAGCAGACTAGAAATGAACAGTAGCTGTGTTGCCGGCATCTTTTCCTCCCCAGGTTCTCCACGGTGAACTGGCAGTACCAGTGTGGACTTACATGTGAGGATAAGGCCAGCCTTCTCCCCATCAGTGCATCAGTCCAGTTCATTCAAATACCTGCACAGTTGCCCCGCCCCTTGACAAGGTAACCCAGTGGCAGACCTAGTAGACATTGTCAGGAAGCAGAAAAACTCGCTGTTGAAACTAGGAAGCTTATTTCTGTAGTCAAGTTTTGATGCTGTTCACCTGTAGTCATTGTAACCTTCTAAAATGTTCTGTAGATTCCAGATCAATTTCTCGGAATATGACTGTAATAGAAATGAGGTGTGTTGGCCACAACTCCTATATCCCCTGACCCACTATTACCAAGGTAGGAAACCAGTTTTGTTGCAGTGGTTATCAGTTCTGTTATGCATTTAAAAAATCTAAAAGTAATGTGTCAATGTCACAAAAAACTTAAAATACATAGATTTTAAAAGAAAAATATTGGGCTGGGGATGGTGCTCAAGTGGTAGCGCACTTGCCTGGCAAGGATGAGGCCCTGAGTTCATGCCTCAGCACTGCCAAGAGAAAAAAGCAAAAAAAAGTCCCTGTACTCAAGAACTTAGAGATGATGACGATTAATGGTTTGGCTGACCATAAACTTACCAGGAAAGTCAAGAAATGATATGACTCTTTCCGGTGTCTTTCAGGGGAGCCTCGCTCCCAGCGTGTGGCCAACGGCTTGGTGCTGGTGTTCCTCCTCCTGTTGGCCATGCTCCTCAGCCACCCCTGGGCCCGAGCGTGCCAGGCTCGGCGTGGGGCTGCTGTGTACCACTAGCTCTTCCTGGAGACTGCGGACTTTACTTCAGTAGGGTAGTCCTACCTGCCTCTCTGTGACATTTTAATAAATGAAATGCTTTATTTTTTTAATAGAAAATCCTTCTTAAGTGTTCTGTGAATTGATTCCTTTATGTAGCTAGCCAGATGTTTGTGACAGTGCACAATGACATGCTGATGGCTGGACGGGGCAGAGCAAAATACAGAGTTGGAAAGAACAACTTGGGTCTATCAGTTTTCAAATAAAACTGATACAACACGAAGATGGTATTGAAGATCATTGTTGATGGGTGTGCACAGTGGCTCATGACTGTAATCTCAGCTACTCAGGAAGCGGAGATTGGGAGAACCACAGTTCAAGGCCAGCTCAGGCAAAAAGTTTGTGAGACTCCCATCTCAACCAATAAAAATCTGGGTGTGGTGACTCATGCAAGTCATCCCAGCCAGGTGGGGAGCGTAAATAGGAGAATCATGGTCCAAGCCAGCCAGGCAAGTGCAAGGGCCTGAGTGCAAAACACTGCAACAAGACCATTGTTAGAACGATCCACCATAAAAGTCAGTGTTAGACATTTTAACTTATCACAAAGTACTGACGTTATATTGGTTTTATTAATAGCACAGTCATTCTTTTCTTTAATTTTTACAGTTTGTGTTGATTAATTTCCCACATTCCAGAGAAAGGATTAAGAAATGTGTAATGCCTTAAAAATGCTGTAATACAGAGGTCAGAGGTGCAGCTCAGTGGGGCAGGGCTCAGCCAGGATGTGTGAGGCCCTGGGTTCAGTCCCTAGCTCCGAAAAAAAGAAGGAAGGAAGGAAGGAAGGAAAAGAAAAGAAAAGAAAATGCAAATGATACTAAAGCATTAGGTGAGTTGATAAGGAAAGACATAGGGGCCGGGGAGAGAAGGAAAGGAAAACAAAACTGGGACTATTAGTCCATGAGAGTATATGCCAAAGACTCCACAGCTAGCAGAGGCAGACCCCCCTCTAGTCTAATCACACCAAGTGTGATCAGCTGTGAGAGTCTCAGTGATAAAATGGTTATCAGTGAAGCGTTCTTCCTAGCTGAGAACCCTTCCCATGGCTCCTCACAAGGGGACAGGCAGCCTGATGCAGTGGGGGATGGGCCTGAATAGTCGCCCATGAGTTGTTCTGTGTGCTGCTAATGCATGGAGTCATCGTACACCATGGGTGAACCCAATTCTGAAAAGTGACCCTTTTGCTTTTTACTTTTCGGTTGAGCTCTTAACTCCTCCTGATGTCCCAGCACCATACACAATGTGCCACAGTATTGCTACTGTTCACTGCAGAGTACCTGTCCAGGGGGCAGTTTAAATCCTCCTTCCAACTGAAGTCCCCTCCCCTTCCTCCCTCCATTCTTTCTTCCCTCCTTCCCTCCCTCAGAGTCTGTGCTTTCTAGGCAGGTGCTCTACCACCTGAATCATGCTCCCAGTCTTTTGGCTTTATTTTTCAGATAGAATCTCGTGGTTTTTCCCTGGCTGGCTTCACATCCCTGATCTTCCTATTTCTGCCTCCTGAGTAGCTGGGATTATAGACATGTACCACTGTGCCTTGGCTAAAGACCATTTTGAAAGAAGTACATAGCCAGTCATGGCACTGGTCATAATTTGAGCAAGCTTGAAATCCTGTCACTTTAAGCTTCTGCTCTGCGGTGGTGTTGGGTCTTCTCCCAACCCCAAGGTAGGGCTGTCTTGGGAATCTGGATTGGTACTGGATCATTGGGGCCAGGGTCTGGGCCATTATCCAAACTGCAGCTGTTTAATTCACTTCACACCCCTTAGTGTATATGAGTATCACTTGTGCTGGTAAACTTTTCCTTAAATAGAATTATTAATCAATGATATTTGTGGAACTGTGGGTTTGATGTATTTTTTCCTAATTCTTACTAAATGCGTAGGTTGGAGCCATGGATTAAGGGGTACAGTCTCTGCCTACCAAGCATGAAACCCTGAGTTCAAATCCTAGTGCCACCAAAAAAAATTGAAATGATTGTTTGGGCTGTGGGTATGGCTTAAGTGGTAGAGCATGAGGCCCTGAGTTCAAATCCCAGTACTGCAAAAAAAAAAAAAAGACTTACCTAATTCATTCTAAACATATAACTGATGACACCCCCCAAAATACCACTATTTGTATTATGTCAGGGGTGTGTGTGTGTGATGACACCCAGTAGAGTTATCTTCTGTCAAAGGAATGAAAGGACCCAGTGGTGAATGGCAGTGTTTTGGAGAATTTCTGTGACAGTGAGTTTAACTAGTTTGGGACTTTAGATACATGTTTGGATAATTAAAATTTCCAAGTGACAAGAAATTTTGCTTGATTTAGTGGGCTTTGTTAGGAGGCCTCTTGTACTTAAAACTGAGAAAAATGCACGCAGGTCTAAAGAGACTCCGAGTACACTGATGTGATGTCAACTTTTTAGAGTCTTTACACTCACGTATACATTGAACTATGTATTGGGTTGGGGTGTAGCTAGGTGGTAAAACTCACCACGCCCTCGGACGGACACCCCAATATTGAATGGCCTCTGGTCGCTGGGCCCTGGAGGTACCACTGTGAGGAAGACAATGTCCTTGTCGTGCTGGAGCTGCTGGTCCACCAGACAGGACAGTTCCAGATGCTGGAAGTGCCATGAAGGGATTAAACCCGGATGTGATGTGGCAAGGCCGGGCGGCATCTTTAGCTACGGGCCAGGGTGAGCCTCAGGAAGGAGGGGACATTTGAACCCAGAGCTAACCAAGCTAGCCCTGAGAAGGTCCAGGGATGGTGTTCCGAGCTGAGGGATTGGCAAGTTCACGTGCACCGACCAGGAAAGAGTCAGGAGGCGGGCGTGGCCGAGCCGCGGGAGCCCAGCTCCTGCGGGGTCCTAGCGGTGGGCTATGGCCCGCGTTTGGATGTGATTCGCAATGCAGTGAGAGAAGCCAGAGATGTTAGCACATCGCACCAGGCTTTCGTGTCGTGTCGCACACAGCCTAATCCCGTCGACTGCACAAGTGCGGGGCTGGCAAGTCACCGAGGCAAAGTCGTGAGCGGCGGAAGCGGACTGACCGCAACCGAGCAGGAGTTTTGCGAAGTGTTGGTCCTGTTCTCAGGTTGGAGGGTGATGACAACTGCACTTTAGGTAACGTCACTAAAACTCACAGAATTGCATATCTGGAACGAGTTGACTTTATGCCATGCAAACTCAAATATACTCATTAAAAAAAAAAAAAAAGCCATAGAAAGGCCGGGGACCATCTGCGCTCCATCAGTACCCGCCAGGTTTGCGCCGATTGGCCGGGCTAAAGCACAGAAAGCCCAACTCCAGACGTCCATTGGTTGGCTGTCGGCCGCAACTCCGGCCGCCCATTGGTTGGCTCGGGGGGCGGAACCGGAACCGGCGGTGGCTGTGGGCGGGGCCTCGCTGGCGGCTGTGGTGGCGGCTGAAGGCGCGGCCGTGGTGGCAGGATCCCGGCCTGCGCTGCAGCGCGGAGCCCCATGGTGCGGGGCTGCGGCCCGGCGGCAGGAAGAACTCAAGGCCCGGGCTGCTCCGGCTGACCGTGCGGGCCGCGCGGCCCGAAGCCACCGCCGTCTATCGGGCCCCTCGGGGCGCGGGCCGGCCCGCCATGGGCTCCCTGTTCCGGAGCGAGAGCATGTGCCTGGCGCAGCTCTTCCTGCAGTCGGGCACGGCCTACGAGTGCCTCAGCGCCCTGGGCGAGAAGGGCCTGGTCCAGTTCCGAGACGTGAGTGTCGCCCGGGAGACGCGGGTCGCTCGCTCGGGGTCCTTCGGGTCGCCCCTGTGCAGCGCTGTGCACCGGGTCGAGCTCATCAGACGCTGTGCCAGGCACCGGGCTGAGCGGGAGAACGAACCCAGTAGAGGCCTCTAGGGGGGCGAGGGGCACCTGAGGCAAATGAATGCTAGAAAACGCTCTCTATGAAAGAGAACAAAACGGGGCGGTGTGATGGTGACCCGGGTGGGAGGCGGTCTCGGAGGGCCTCCCGAGGAGGTGGCCTTTGAGCTGAGCCCCCCCCCCCACCATGGGAAAGTCTGGAGGAAGAAGGTCCCAGGTGGAGGGACAGAAGCACAGGTAGAGTCAGAACTGGGGTTGAGAGAGGCGTCTGTGTGTTTTGTTCACTGATGGGTGAGGATGCACCTATTTTGTCCCAGGAAGGACGGGAGCGCAGTCAGCATCAGTGGCTTGCAAACTGTGTCCCCAACAAGTAATAATAAAACACTTGTTCATGCAACTTTTTGCTTGTTTATTGTTTGTCCCCATCCTCCGGGCAAGACCTTGTCTGACTGGTCCCTTCCTCATTCTGTAAGACTTAGGCTCATTCCCTGGCATTTGTTGGCATTAATAGGCATTTGAATGAATGAACAAGCTTTTACTGAGTGCTTGCTGCCCTCAGGCACTGTTTTTGGTGCTGGGGACTCAACTGCAAGCCAGGCAATCAAAGTCCCTGTGCTTTTGGAGCGCACAGTTGGGGAGGGGACAGAGTAAACACACCCTGGTTAGGAGCCAGATCAGTGCTGTGGTTGCAGAAAGGCATGGAAGGGAGACAGCATGGAAGGGAGACAGTGGAACCGGAGCAAGTGCTCCCTGATGGAGCTGACGTTCCCCCAGACACACCTTGCAGTCTCTGGCTGTGTCCTTAAATTCAAAGGGAATGACCTTACCTAGATGTGGTGTGCATGGTCCTTGCAAGGTCCTTCTGGTGACAGGGGAGGATGTGGGGAGTTGGGGAGGAGGGTGAGATGCAGCCAGGTGGGCTCCAGCATGGGACTGCTCACCTGTGTCATTGCTGTGGGTATCAGGGAAAGGGCAGTGTCAAGGGAGACGGGCTCCTGACTCAGTGGCTGCCCCTTGTATCCTCCCAGACCAGCTCATTTTAAGTAAGTCCAAGATGTGTGATTCCATATTTCAGTAAATTTTTAAAAGGTGAGGACTCTTAAATTCATAGCTGTGATGCTGAGAGTCGGTGAAAGAAAAAGTATTCATCTTTTTGTAGAGGAAGATAAAACGAAAATGCTACAATGAGCTCCCCTTGCGTGGGGCTGGGTTTCAGGTGTCTGTAGGCCAGGGAGCTCCTACAGGCTTTTCTTTTACTAACCTTGGAGAGGTGGGGGCAGGTCGAGAATTTACAGTGACAAGACCGCTAACCAGTGGGACTGGGAAGGGAAAGGTCATCTCTCTCTCTCTTTTGTACAGCCAAAACAAAACAACAACAAAAAAGGGATCTAGAGCTGGATGTGGTAGTCCATGGCTGTAATCCCAGCACTCAAGAGACAGAGGAAAGAGAGCCTTGTGTTCGAGGCCTGCCTGGGCCTCAGGCTTACATTAGGGAGACTCCCATCTCAAAAAGCCAGAAAAAAGAATCCATGTTGAGATGTACCTTTTTTTTTTTTTTTGACATGTTCTCACTATGTAGCTCAGGCTGGCTTGGAACTCATGGTCCTCCTGCCTTATCCTCCCTAGTGCTGAGGTCATAGATAGGTGTGTGCTACCATGCCCGGCTTGAAATGTACTTTTATGCCATTAGCTCTGAATTAAGTGACTACCACCAAAAAAGAAAAAAAAAACCAAACACATATCACATCCAGTCGCGTCATTGCCATAGGAGTTTACCTTTTCACAAAGCTTCTGCTATTTGTCGAACCATAATATTCAATTAGAGTTAAGTTTTTGCTACTGAAGAAAGCAAAATGGAAGATGAGAAGCAGTGTCCCCCATAGGCGGCTTTGGTGTGTGCTTCCTTTCCCCTTAGCTCTGTGGGAGTGGGTTGTGTCTGATTCCTTAGGACCTTGGGAATGGTTACTTGGGCTTAGTGTGACTCCATAAGTGAAAGAGAATGTGGCAAGCAGAAGTGAAATTGGAATTTTGTCTTTCTTCTGGTTCAAAAAACTGAACCAGAACTGAGACTTAGGGAGTGGACACCCTCAGGTTGTTTGAACAGTTTCATGCTGAGTTGTGGTCTGGTTGGTTTTTTTTTTGGTGGAGAGGGGCAGTAGTGGGGTTTGAATTTAAGGCCTTACACTTGCTAGGTAGGCGCTCTACCACATGAGCCACTCCACCCCTTTTCTGAGTTTTTTTTTGAGACAGGGGCTTGTGAACTATTTGCTGGGGGCTGCTTCGAACCTCTGTCCTCCTGATCTCTGCCTCCTTGAGTAGCTAGGATTACAGGCTTGAGCCACTGGCTCCCACCTTGTTTGGTTGTTTTTTAAGAGTGCCCAGTACAAATGTTGGATGGAATAAAGGTCCAGTTCTCACCCAAAATGCCTTCAACGTGAATGATTACTATAATCTTATTAAAGTAATATATGTGCAGTGGGAAGTTTAGAAACCCTAAGAATGAGATAATATCTTGACTGATCCTAACACCTATAAATAAGCACTTTAATTTTTTATTTAGTATTTAATCTGTTTTTATATGCAAATCATGAAGAATTTCCTAGCCCTATCAAATACTCTTTTACAATATTTTTATTGTTTTGAGCTCTGTGGTATAAGAGTTCAAGCAAGAGGACAGCGGGCTCCTCCTGTCCCCATCATGTAACCTCGTGGCTGCCCCTTGTATCCTCCCACACCAGCTTATTTTAAGTAAGTCCAAGATGTGTAATTCCATATTTCAGTAAATTTTTAAAAGGTGAGGACTCTTAAATTCATAGCTGTGATGTAATTGTTATACCTAAACATATTAAGAATACATTTTTTAGTGTGATAAAATACCTGGTCCTTTGAAACACTAGTTCTAAGAAGTGCGTAAACACTTTTATACAACCTTATTGAGGTGTATCATAGAATTCATCATCTCAAGTGTACAGTTTATGATTCTTTAGAAAGTACCGGTCACGCAGCCATCACCACAGCCCGGTTTTAGAACATTCCATCACCCCAGGAAGATAGAGCCCTTGTGCCCACACAAATCAGTTCTCATTCCCACCCCAGCCTGGGGCAACTGCTAATCTACTCAGCACCTTCTATCAGTGGAGGCCGAGTCACGCTAGCCTGGTGGTTCTGAAAGCCAGCTGCGCTGTTGCAGGGCTGTTCGTTTTATTGCTGAGTAGTATTCCATGGAGTGGAGAGTCTATAATTTCCTTCCCCAGTTTCCTGTTGTTGGATTTTTGAGTTAGTATATTTCCTCTGTCTCTGAAGTTGATGTTCTGATAAGGTTTTGCCCATAATCATGTTTCTTTTTCCTTAAATTTCCTCATGGGATATTTCTGGGCCAAGGAACATTTTTTGGGTCTTTTCAGATAATTGTTGCCGAATTGCTATCCAGAAAGTCATTTCTGCTTGTACCCCTTTTGTAGTAGATGAGAGTATACTTGTCCCTGAACACTGCCAGTAATATTTTATTTAAAAGATTATTGACCAGTTATTGCGGCACACTCCTGTAATTCTGCTACTTGGGAGGTGGAGGTAGGAGGGTCATGAGCTCTAGGTCAAAAACCCAAAAGGGCTGGGTGCATGGCTCAAGTGGTAGAGTGCTCATCTGTCATGCCCGAGTCCCTGGGTTCAATCTCCAGTTTGGCAAAGGGAAAAAAATTATTTCTAGGGGCTGGGTGTGTGCAAAGTCCTGGGTTCCATCTTCAGCACCAAAAGCAAATAAATAAAAATAAATTTAAAGGCTGGTAGAGTGGCTCAAGCAGTAAGATCTCCTATCTAGCAAGTGTTAGGCCCTGAGTTCAGACCCCAGCACTGCCAAAAAATAAAGAGATGAATAAATAAACTCAAGAACTTGAGACATTTTAGAAATAAAAAAAATTTCATCTTTTCCTCAGCTCAACCAGAATGTAAGTTCTTTTCAAAGAAAATTTGTTGGTGAGGTGAAGCGGTGTGAAGAACTAGAACGAATATTGGGTAAGTTTGTTTTCCATTTTAATAACCTAAATAATTATTTTATAGGAGCAAACCTGTTCCTTTTAAAAAAACTGAAAGTACAAATGGAAAGGAAAAGAAAGTACTCATATTCTCACCATTCAGAGGGAGTTGTTGTGTGGTCACATCCTATTTTTTCACACTTTTATTATTCTTATGTAAAAGTAAGGATTTATGTACATAATGGTTAGGTTATTTTGTTATTAGTCCTGTCTTTTATTTAATAGTACTTACCGTAGCATTTTTCCCATGGGTATAAACACAAGCCCATCATTTTTGATGGGTGCATAGTATTTCATTATATTAACTACCTTGACTTTTTTGTTCCGTTCCTTATAGTTTTATATAACTAAAAAACAATGTGTACCTGTTAATATATTACTGAGTTTAAAAGTCTTATCAAAGAACACGGGAGGCATTTTTGATAATGTTGTCTGTTTCCTTGGGGCTTCCTTGTGAATGACTTTGATCTGTGGTATTTGGTTGTTAAGACAAAGCTCAGTGGCCCAAGGCTACATCTCTTTTCTCTAAAATCTGTAAGAGCTTGGCCTGAAGTAGTCATTGTCAAGTCAGGCTTTAAGTTCTCACTGAAATAGAGAGGAAAAGTGACAGGTACAAAATTTGTTTTTAGAAAGACAGTCAGAAAACACGGGGGCGGGGGGGGGGGTAGGGAGAATGAGTATGACTTTTGGAACGATTTCTGAGAGCTAATCATTATTTTGAGTTTAATTTTTTTTAATTTGGGATTTTTAACATTACCAAAACCTTTTAGTCATCTGAAGTTTATCCCTTTGCATCTTGTTTGAGGTCTGAGTTATCTGTGTGGATTGTGTATATTAGAGTGGTATCATTTTCCAGTCTTTGTAAGGTGTATGAGTCTGACAGGTTGTGCATTTGGAATGAGGATTTTGAAGGCAGGGCAAAGGTGGTAACACATTAGACTTGTCCAGGACTTCCTGTATCTTAAACTATTTAGAAAAGATTGTAGACTTAGAAAATTAAAAGGAACTGACAAGTGAATTTGGGGATTGATTGGTTTATACATTTGCATCTATTTCTAGAAACCTCTTCAACTCTGCTTCTTTTGCTGTCTTGTTGCTCAGATACAGTTGCTTTTTTTCTCCCTTTCCTCCCTCCCTTCTTTCCTTCTTTCCTTCTTTCCTTCCTTTCTTCTCTGTCTTCCTCCCCCTCTTCCTCTTTTTCCCGAATACTGTGTCTGGTAATGACTCTAACAGGTGTTGTGATTTTTATTCTAGGGACCAGGACTTTTCATGAAATTGAAAATGTGAACTAAAAAGTAGATTAATTTTGGTTGGTGTAATATACTTCCATGAATCTGGTTTTTCAGTATAAGTGCCTGTCACAACATCAGGGCCCAGTGGGGAATTGCAGGAGAACCTGGCTTTGTCCTGTCTTGGGTGGTTTCTTTGGCTGGGCTGTGGTAGGGACTGTGTGGGTCCTCCCATATCCAAATGTGTCCCCAGTCTGCCTGCATGTCAGGCACAAACTTGAAGCAGTGTACTCCACTGCTCTGCCAGGCTCCCTGCTGCGTTATTTTGCAGATTTTTGGAGCAAAGTTGCAAAAAACCGACCTCAACTCAGTCCCAGCAAGCAAGATGTGGGTGCATTTTAAAAGTTCCTGGTGAAATGTACTCCAGTAAATTTCGTGTCTAACTTTGTGTGCCTCTTGTGTCCACAGTGTATCTGGTGCAGGAGATCACGAGAGCTGATATTCCCCTGCCTGAGGGAGAGGCCAGTCCTCCTGCGCCTCCGCTTAAACAGGTTCTAGAAATGCAGGTAGGGCTCTGCACTAAGCTGAAGCTGCTTCACCCTTCACCTCAGGGTGCCCATTTCTAACCAGAATCTTGTGAGATTGGCCTGCCTGGCTGGTTAGGGTCACAGCTGTGTTAGCTCAGTGGCAGAGAGCTTCTGATTCCTGCTGAGGTCTTTGTCTCCAGAATGCAATGAATGCAGTTCACAGGCAATGGAGGGTGCGAGTGTAGACAAGAGTTTATTAAGAGAAGGGACAAAGAAACTCCCTCGTAAGGCAGGGAAGGGTTCTGAGTGAGCAGGGTGCCAGCAAACTTTGGGTTGGGGGTCTTCGACTTGTTTGCTCCTGGGCGTAGCCCATTTTCAATGATAATTAGGTGTGTAGAAAGCAGCAGAAAGACCTTCTGATCAGACCTTGGCCTTACCTGTTCTCATTTTGGTCCTTCCCGGCTTCCCCCTTTCCCACCCACCTGAGTTGGGGGGGAGGAGAGCGTTGAGAGGGAAGTGAGTTGATAAGGGGTGTGGTGTTATCTCTCCCATCTGTTGGCAGCATAGGTTACTATGGAACTTTGGGGAGGGAGGGCTTGGTTCTAACTATACCTGCCTAATTTCAGCTAACTACCTAGTCTGCCTTGTTCTGTCTAGTGCTTCTCTGCCTTTCTCCTCAGAAGTGGTGGAGAATCAAAGAACAACAGCCTGACTAGTCTCATGAGAGACTGTTCACTATGGTTTTGACTGTAATTCAGTTCTCTTTTCTGGGGGAGGCGTGTGCTCCCATTCCAGGTGCTGGTAAGCAGAGGTGCAGGAGCATTTGGTCATCAGTTCTGTCCTGTGATGTCTCCTCAGTTCATTCTGGGATGGTCCAGGCCTTCAATAATCAAGGCTTCAGTCCAAATTCACCCTAATGCTCTCCTGGTTTTCAGAAGCCTGGACGAAGGCAATAGGTTCTTACTGCAGGAACCCAACGGGAAGCCTTCAAACCCCGCCACCCCCCAGGGGTTCAGTGTTGTAGTTAAAGCCCTGCTCCCTTGTGAGAGCACTCATTTCACAGCTCATCACTGACAAATAGGCCCTTCATTGTTCTTTTAAAACAATGATCCTGGTGCAGCTGTGTTCTCTTGCCAGCTGCACTATTTGTTCATCTGGGGGGGTCATCTACCACTGGTATGTGAAGGGACCCCAGAGAAGTATGCAGTTCAACGAACAGAAAGCAGCCATCTGGTTTGGCCTGTTGGATGGGCTGGTTATGGTGTAATTACAGACATAGCGATCACTGTTTATGGTTTTATAAGGCAGAACACAAATAATGAGGCTAGTACCCTAAGTGATTTGCTTGAATACAAGTTTTCATTGTCTGTGTTTTATAGAGTTCTGCCTCTATAAATATATTTATAAGGATGCTTGGTATGTAACTATTGAAGATTCCGTCTCAAGAATTTTTATGCCTTCATCCTTGTGTTAAATGTGAAAGCACAGACACTCTTAAGCTAGAGACCAGGAAAATGTATTTAGAAAAGATGACCTAAAATTTCTTGTGGTGCAAGTAAAAGGAAACAGATGTTTGATGTGTGGTGATGGATAAGCAGCTGAAGGAAAACCAGAAGAAATGACAGGGACTGGAAACTTGAGTCATCATACCTGTGATGCTTTGTGTCACATTGTGGTGTGAACTTTGCAGGAATTATTTGAGCTTTAAAGTCTTGACATGTTTTCATACCCTACAAATGTCACATGAATTCTGCTCTTTAAAACCTCCACTGGCTTTTGCCAATTCCCACTGTGGGAACCAAGCCATCTCTTAAGTGATTGTTGTAATATTGTAGGAGCAGCTGCAGAAGCTCGAGGTGGAACTGAGGGAAGTCACCAAGAACAAAGAGAAACTGAGGAAAAACCTGCTGGAACTGATTGAGTATACTCACATGCTGAGGGTGACGAAAACCTTTGTCAAACGAAATGTCGAGGTGCGGGGCAGTTTGGAGAAGTACACCTCTTTTATTGAAATCTTGCTCTCAGAGTTGTGGGCTTGATTATTCATTCGTTTAGATGCGTTGCTTTTTTTAAGTGATAAATTTCAGTCTTAGCTTTATTTTTCACTTGGATTATATGACGTTGGAGGAAGCTTCATGGGCCTTTCCTGCATTGATTTGTTGGTTTACAGTTGGAAAAAAAACTTTATGATCATCAGAAGAAATTGAGCAGGGGAAGTTGGACTTATCTAAAATTTGTTTTTCCAAATTGCTAAGGGTTAAGGAAAAAAAAAATCTCTAACCTATAAGAGCAAAGAACAGTCTGTATTGTAGCACAGGCCAAGTATTCCTGGTCCCAAATGCTGGAAGCAGAAGTTTTTCAGATCTTGAAGCTGTGGGATGTTGCAGTCTTTGCATGGACCTTACCAACTGAGCCCCCTAAATGCTCAGAGCATTTCTGAGTTCAGACTTTTGCATTAGGGATGCCATACCTGTATTATGCTGAGCAGGGAAGAAGAGGAAGTCTGTCCTTTCTGAACTCAGTTTCACTTGATCTAGTATGACCTCTGATAAAGTGATTCTATTTGGAATTAAGCCATGACTTAATTTATAACTATTCTGTTCTGTAGCTGTCTCCAAGTGGCTTACAGATAAGCTGAGCTTATCTTACCAGAGCTAAGCACATGTTTGCGTCTCCTTGGCCTCTGCACCCAGATCTAAGTAGTTAGTTAGGATGCTCCTTACACTGTCTGGAAACATGACATGAAAATAAAGTGTCATTTTTAATGACAAGCTTGGTTTTGTATGTCTCTTTCTAGTTTGAACCCACTTATGAAGAATTCCCTTCCTTGGAGAATGATTCTTTGTTGGACTACAGCTGTATGCAGAGACTGGGAGCAAAACTGGGGTAGGTGACAATGATAGGCATCCAATCCTTATGTACAAGGGAGATGAGCTCTGTAGACGGGGGAGTGGGCCCACATTACAGACTGGCTGTAATGTGAATATCTGCTTAAGCAAACAGTGTGCTCCTGTACAGGGTGAACTGAATTACTGAGCTGTGTTGATGTTTTAGCTAAATCCAATGGAAATTTCTTCTTTTGGTGTGTTGAGTTGGGAAGAAGCAATGTTTATGTCATTCACTGTTAACTCTGTAAACCAATATTACTGGGCATAACTGGAAGCGGGCTGAACTGAGCTGGTGAGCTTCCTGATAGGCCATGCTATGTATCTGCTTACCTGAACTAATGACAGCTCATTTCTTGGTGTGGTTGGTGATTTTTTTTTTTAATGAATTTATGTTCCTTAGTTCCTTATCTGAGGACATGCAGTGAGTTGTAGTTCTAAGGATATATTTCTCCAGAGAGAGTTTGTTTTTACATTCATCAAGTATCTGGAAAGTGCTCTGCCAACCTGGAATTATTTACATTATTTTCTCCACAAAGGATGTTTGTTCAGTGTGTGTGTGTGTGTGTGTGTGTGTGTGTGTGTGTGTGTGCGACTCAGGCAAGGCAAGCGTTCTACTATTTGAGCTGTGCCCACAACCTTTTTGTTCCTGTTTTTCTTTCTTTTTTTATTTGGTGGTATTGGGGCTTGAACTCAGGTCCTCATGCTTGCTAGGCAGGCACTATACTGCTTGAGCCACTCCTCCAACCCTTCTTTTGTGATGGGTTTTTTCAAGATAGGCTCTCTGAACTATTTGCCCAGGGCTGGCTTTAAACTATGGTTTTCCTTATCTCTGCTTCCTGAGTAGTTAGGATTACAGGTGTGAGCTTTCCATTTTTGAGACAAGGTGTTGCTGTCTTTGTCCAGGCTTCCTCAAACTCACGATTCTTTTGCCTCTACCTCCTGAGTAGCTGGTATTACAGGTGTGGGACACTTTTTTTTTTTTTTTTTTGAGACAGGGTCTCACTTTGTAGCCCAGGCTGGCCTTAAATTCAACAATCTTCCTACCTCAGCCTCCTGAGTGCTGGGGTTACAGGTGTGTGCCACTATACCCAGCACAACTATACTTTAAAAGGATGTTTCAGAATATTTTACCTGGAACGTGAGACATTTTATAGTCGGAGCGCTTTCAGACTGACTTTACCATTTTGTAGGAATGGAAACCTTCATGATTCTTTAATGCAATTGGATGACATCCACTGCTTCCAGTCAACCATAGGTGTCTTGATTATCTCATAGATTTGTGTCTGGCCTAATTCACCAAGGAAAAGTTGAAGCGTTTGAAAAAATGCTGTGGAGAGTCTGTAAAGGGTACACCATCGTGACCTGTGCCGAACTGGATGAGGCGCTCGAAGACCCTGAGACTGTGAGTACACACCACAGTCACCTTTAACAGTGACAGACAACAGCACAGTTGTAGGTACAGTACATGGTTGTCACATATCTTTCGTGACCCAATTTTATTCCCCAAATGTGGAACTCTAGCATGGCCTCTCCCCTGAGCACCAGGCTGGGTCTGTCTGTTCTGTGTCTTCTTTTAAGTGTCCATAAGACATTGCCTCCTCATGCCTCAGAACAGGACCCTGGTCCTTCCCCTGAGACCTGCCTTCCAGACGCCCACCTCTTCCTGCCTCACAGCAGCTCCTGTTTCTAAAAGCTTGGTCAGAAACCTGGAGTCATCCTGGTGGCTTGTCTCACCCTCCCTCGAATCCATTGGTGACCTGCCTCTCCACTTCCTGGTTAAGGTCTGGGTCTGCCCCACCTTGCCCTGGTCTCTTCTCTTTCCAGCATCCAGAATGATGCATGACATCTTTTCACTCCTCTACTTAGGACCCTCTAACCCTAAAGCACCTTGTCACAGCTCTGACTCTCCGGTACTGCTGTCATCCTGTCCATCCCTCTTCAGCCATGCTGGCCTACTTGCTTCTGAGCATGTTTACACATGCTTTTCCTCTTGCTTAGAAAGACCTTCCCCCAAGACTGTGCAGCTCCCTTCTTTACTTCTTCAGTTCTCCAACTCAAATGCTACCTCCTAGGGGCCTGCCTTGCCCACCCTGTTTAAGATCACAACACCCGCCCTCTCTCCTCCCCCTCCAGCCTCATTTGCCTTACAGTGCTCATCTTTGTCTGGCCTTGCTCTGTCGTGTCCCTTGATGTCAACCTGAGCAGGTCAGGGACTTCATCTCTTGCTCACTGCTGTGTGCCTCATGCCTGAAGTATGCCTGGCAAATAGGGAAAACACTTACTCAGTTTGTTGTTAGTGCTGGGAATCTAACTCAAACTTAGTCTTTGTGCACTAGCTATCCCAGCACTCCCATTTAGTTGTTGTGGAGTTCTCTTTTGTTGGATATTCGAAAATCCAGTTGATTCTTGCTATCGGCAGTAACATTCCTTAAAGTCATGGTGATACTGTGTCAGAATATGTAGAGTTGTTCCTTATAGAGGAAATACAGGATTCCATTCCTGTGAGCCTTTGATCCCATTTTCATCAGTAATCAATACATAACCTTGTTTTATGTGTGTTTCTGTTTAGACCTCTTATTTACTATGTGTCTTCATTTAACTCTTGGCTGACAGTACTGTAATTCATGCTGAGCAAGAATTATCTAATACCTGGATTTCCCAGCAAGGCCTGGCTCAGCCTTCTTGCCCAAAGGATGCTAGCCAGCATTTCCACATTCACCTTGGTGGCCATTTTAAATGTCGAGTCACCAATAAAAACTCTGCAGTGAACAGACGGGGGAAGGACAGTTGGCTACGGGGTGACAGCTGAGGGAAGGTGGAGTGTCCCTTATTGGAGCTTCTGGGTCCCGTGGGCATCAGATGCTGACAGGTTCCTGCAGCGGTACAGATTCTGTGAAGGTGGTGCCAGTATTTGCTTGGGGTTGTTTTAGCAAGTGGATGAATTTGCAGTGAAGGAATCTGCAAATAATAGGATTGGCTATGCCTGTTGAGTGAATGAGTGAACTCAGTCGTGGCCCAGTTTGAGCAGCCAAGAATGTAGACATCACGCTCAGAGCTAACAGTTATCCTTGTTCTTTGTAGGGAGAAGTCATAAAGTGGTATGTGTTTTTGATCTCCTTTTGGGGAGAGCAGATTGGCCACAAGGTCAAGAAGATCTGCGACTGGTAAGGAGCAGCAGTACCTCGTGCTTCCGCCCTCTCCCTCTGCTCAACAGGCACCAGCTTTCCTTAGCGACCCTGCTTCAGTCAAAGAGGGGCCTCAGTGCCAGGCTGCTCATCTTTGTTATGTGATTTCTTTGTTTAAGACCAAGTTAAATGTTTAAGAAACATTTGATTTGTCATCTCGCTTGCCAGGGCATTACCCAAAATGCTTAAAAGTAGAGACTATATTAATGTTCCCAGACGTGATTTTCCCCTTGGGAACCAAGGCTGCCGATCAGTTGAAGAAGGAACTGAATTTTCCTGTTTTGTGCTTTGCTGGTGCTTTTAGCCGCACAGGAGGCTCCCATCACCCCTGAGCACATGGTGCATCTTTGGGCACTCTGGGGAGGAGTGACACATGGGGAAGAGTGTGTTTAGAGCCCCACTCAGCCACCACCTCACTGGGCTAGCTTGGACAAGTGACAAGCCTTGGTTTCCTCATCTGTGAGGGAGACAGCAAGTCATTTGTCCTGGTGCTGTTAGGGATCAGGGAGACAAGGCAGGGGACAGGCATAACTGCAATACATGCCTGCCTTTGGTACACGTTGAGCAGAGTTGCAACCCGAGCATGTCCATGGCTTGTTCCTGTCAGAAAATGGGCAACAAGAACTTCAGAGACCCTCTGGCTTCCAGTGGGCGTTTGAGGTCAAGCGTGTCCTGCAGAGTGCTGTGATATGTGGCTCTTCCCTGCCACTTTGCTTCTCAGTCATTGGTGTCACCTGCTTAGACCTTTGTTATTTTAATAGACCTTTATTTATTTTAGTAGATTAGAAGGCTACACCCAGCTCAGCGAACCTGTGACTTCACAGGTGTTACTGCTCAGGAGAAAGCTAGCTATTTATTTTACCTTCCACAGTCAGAATTTTAAGTATCAAGTTTGGTGTTATCTGCTCTGGGAATGGCTGCAGCTGGGAGGCAGCTTGACGTTCCCAATGTAGTCGGAGTGTCTCTGGGCCCCTGGGAAAACACTGGCTCTGTGAGGTCCAGGAGACTGAAGGACATGTCATGGAGTGTTGCTTGGAAACCTGAGCTATCTTTTCCGGTGTCTTTTTTATTTTTGCTGTACTGGGGTTTGAACTCAGGGCTTTGCGCTTGTTAGACCAGTGCTCTGTGACTTGCCTCACCCCAATCCTTTTACTTTTAGTTTGTTTTTCACACATGGTCTTGTGCTTTTGCCCAGGCTGGCCTTGGACTGCAGTCTTCCTACCTCAGCCTCCCAAATAGCTGGGGTTATAGCTGTGTATTGCCACACCCACCTTGTTTTTGAGATAGGCCTTGCTAAGGCTGGTCTCTAACCACAGTCCTCTTATTTCTGCCTCCAGAGTAGCTGTGATTACGGCATGTACTCCAGACCCAGAATGTCTTTATTTTTGTATTTCAGCCTGTTTAATGACTCCAAGCTCCAGGACTTGGTAGATTTCAGAAAGATTTGGGAACAAGCTTCCCAGAATCATGGGTGGCAGAAGTGGAATTTGGATCTCAGAATTTGCAAAATGCTTTTAATTCATTCAGCTGTATGCTGAGTGTCTGTGCAAGGCCTTACTACAGTAGATGCTTCTCAGGTTCTGCTCTGGAAGGGGGTGTGCCTGGTGGTGTATTGATTCCAGTCCTAGTGTTAGGAGATAGGTCATCTTCTCCTGCCGGAGGTGAGACTTCAGTTCTGTCTTCCAGCTACCACTGCCACATCTACCCCTATCCGAACACTGCTGAGGAGCGGAAGGAGATTCAGGAGGGGCTGAACACTCGGATCCAAGATCTTTACACTGTGAGTGAACCAGAAGGAAGCTCTAACCCCTTTACCTGAGGCTGGACAGCACTTACAAATCCATTTGCTTTTAGTTGTAATATGGAAAATTGTGGTTGTAGACAAAGCAAGATGTCTTTGTGAGATTAGAGTGTTCCTTCTCTCCCTCCTCTTTACACAGATTTTATTTAGCAGTCTGTTACAAACCTAAGGACTTTACAACTTTGGGCTGGAGTTATAGCTCAAATGGTGAAATGCTTGCCTAGCAAGTGTTGAGGCCCTTGGTTCAATCCAGTACCCACCCCCCAAAAAAAAAAAAAAAGCAAAAGATTCTTTGAATTTCGGTTCTTGGCCATAGAAGATGAACGATCCTCATGGAAGTGGTGCATGTCACTCTACCTGCCCTGCTTGGTGGCAGGTGGTGAGAAGCACATTCATTTAAGCAGTGGGGTTTCTTGGCTGAAGGGCTGAAATGAGAGTCAGTGGCTCTAGGAGTCATGGGGCTGGGCCATTTGAGGATGGGTAAGCCTGGGTGCTGTCAGAGGCCAGCCACGCCATCATGCCGCACAGTGACGATTACCCTGTGTCCTTGGGTCTTGTTCTTGGAAGTCTACCTCACGTACTCATTGGCTGAGCTGTTTTGCCCCTTCCTGGTAGTACGGCCCCAGGCAGGACCCTAGAATGATCCTGGGTTGGGTGAGGAATTCCCCTAAGGAAATCAGGTGCCGGATGGGCAATCCTGGAAAATGTCCCTGGTGCTGAAAGCCTGCGTGTGCTCTTTTCTGCTCTCTGTCAGGTGCTTCACAAGACTGAGGATTACTTACGGCAAGTGCTGTGCAAAGCTGCGGAGTCCGTCTACAGCCGGGCCATCCAGGTGAAGAAAATGAAAGCCATTTACCACATGCTCAACATGTGCAGCTTCGACGTGACCAACAAGTGCCTCATCGCCGAGGTCTGGTGCCCCGAAGCAGACCTGCCAGGCCTGCGCCAGGCGCTGGAGGAAGGTTCGGTAGGCACCTTCCCACCCTGCTTGGGCCCAGTGGAAGGCCAGGACTTGTAAATTTAGAACACTCAAGAAAATGGGAAAACCAGACACAGTGGCTCCTTCCTGTAATTCCAGCTACTCTGGAGGCACAGGTAGTTAGAGGGCAGCCCAGGCAAAAAGTTAGTGAAACCAAATCTCAACAAGCCAGGTATGGTGGTGCACCTGGCATCCCAGCTATGTGGGAGGTGTAAATAGTAGGATCACAGTCCAGGCAGGCTCCAGCAAAAATGTGAGACCTGATCCAAAAATAACTAAAGCAAAAAGGGCTGGGGTGTGGCTCAAGTGGTAGAGTACCTGCTTAGCAAGTGTGAAGCCCTAGGTCAAACCCCAGTACCACCACAAAAAAAAAAGAAAAAGAAAATGGGAAGACTGGAGGGGGTGGGAGGGTGTTAGTGTATTCCTGTAGTCCCAGCAATTGGGAGGCTGAGGCAGGAGGATCTTGAGTTCCAGGTCTGCCTGTGCTACACATCGAGACCCTGTCTCAAAAAGCAACAAAAGAGTCTCATGGAGTGCTGAGAGGCTGGCTGCTGACCAAGTCTGTGCTTCAACAGAAGTTGTAGATTTGGTAACTTGAGATTACATGTCTGTCTTTTTCTTTTTGTTTTTGAGACAGAGTCTTCCTACAGTAGCCAAAATTGGCCTTGAACTCTGTCCTCTTGCCTCAGCCCTGAGTGCTGGGAATAGAGGCGTGTGACACCACGCCTGCATTTTAAATTGCTCCTTTGAATAAGCAATGTCACGTGAATTAGAAGTAAAAGTGTACAAAGAGAAAGGAGCCAGGTGGGATTTCCTCCCACCTGTGGTCTCATTTGTTAACACTCAAAGATAGCTATTGTTTCAGTTCTGTTCTAGCCTCTAGTTTCTTCATGGTGATAAGCAGATAGGCTTAGACACTCTTTTCTCCCCTTTATTTCCACAAAAGGTTGTGTGCTCTTCACAGTTCTATCACTGCAAAACTTCCTTTTTTAGAACTAATCATCTTGTAAGCATACACCATGGTTTATTTAACCAGTTCCCTGGTCACTCAGGTAGTTTCCAGTTTATGAATACCAGTGCAGTGAATGCACTTGACCTTCGATATTTGTCTGAGTCCTCCAGTAGGATAACTTGCTGAAGTAGAACCGCTGGCTCAGTTCGGGTGGATGTTGCCAGCGATCACTTCTCTTGGTACAAGTGAAGCTGAGGCCTTTTCATACACTGAAGAGCCTTTTGAGTTTCTTCTTTTTGTAAATGGGCCATGGCCTTTGCTCATTTCCTGTTAGGTTGTTATTTCTTACTCATTTCTGTTCACTTCTATTTCTCATTATAAATCAATATGCATTTTGGAAGAATTGTAAACATTGAAGGGAAAAATTGCATATAGGATTTTTGCCATATTAATTCAATTAATGTTGGCCTTTAGTTTTTATCTGTTTTCCTTGTTTTTTTATTACTTTTTTTTTTTTTGGTGCAACTGGGGTGGGGTTTGAACTCAGGGCTTCACACTTGCTAGGCAGGTGCTCTACTGTTTGAGCCACACCTCCAGTTCATTTTGCTCTGGTTATTTTGGAGATAGAGTCTCTCACACTATTTGCCCCAGCTGACCTTGAACTGTGTTCCTCCTGATCTCAGTCTCCCAAGTAGCTAGGATTACAGGCGTGAGCCTCTAGCACCTGGCAAACTTTCTCTTTCTTGACCATTTCTAAGAAATAAAATAAAGTCTAAATTTTGGTTTTTTTTTTTTCTTTTTTTTTCCCAAGATAAGGTCTTGCTATGTGGCTGTGAGATCCTCCTGCTTCACCCTTCCAACTGCTGAGATTATAGGTGTGGTCACAACACCCAGCCCAAATCTCAGTTTTACGTTGGTGATGCTGGGTTTCCGCTGGGTTTCCTTTTACCTCATCTGCTTCACCCCCAACTCCTCCATTCATCCCACACCACAGCTCTGTTCCTGCTCTTCCTTCTGGAGGGCCACAGGTGCTGCCCTCCTGAACAGGCATGCCTCTTCCTTCCACTCCCACTGTCCCTGGGCCTCTCCAAGGACATGTCACTGCAACCATGCTCCGGGTGTCACTAGAGCAGTGACCAAGATGTGTTGAATGTAAGTTCCTAACTTTTCTCTTGAACAGTCGTGTTTTTCTCTTTTGTATGACAGAGAGAGAGTGGTGCTACAATGCCTTCGTTTATGAACACAATCCCCACCAAAGAAACCCCGCCAACCCTGATCCGCACCAACAAGTTCACCGAGGGCTTCCAGAACATCGTGGATGCCTATGGCGTTGGGAGCTACCGAGAGGTGAACCCAGGTGGGTTGTCCTGTGCCTCGGGCCTTACAGTCATGTCAGTGTGAGAATGCGGGAGCTATTTGGGGAAGTAGCCTTGCTGCTACTTTTTTGTTACCCTGCATAGTAAAGCCTTAAGTTTAAGCTCAGGGTTGTATCCTGAGAACTCTGGAGACTCAAGATCACTACACAGGGCTGTGTGAGAGTGAACCCAGCCTTCTCTTTGCTATACATGAGAAATCTTGCTGCCTTTTTCCTACAGCCCTCTTCACCATCACCACCTTCCCATTTCTGTTTGCTGTGATGTTTGGGGACTTTGGACATGGCTTTGTGATGTTCTTATTCGCTCTCTTGCTGGTGTTGAACGAGAGCCATCCCAGGCTACAGCAGTCACAGGAGGTACATGTTTCTTTTCTGTGTTTGGGGGCTTAGTCCAGGACTGAAGAGGGCTGGCTCTGGGTGATAACTGTGTGCTGCACAGGTGCGGGCCTGGCACGTCTGGTGACAGACGTGTGTTACACTGGGTGAAGGGAGTGGCTGAGGACAGGCCAGCGTGAGCGATCATGTTTTCCCGCTGTAAATTGCCATCCTTGTGGTTGCTGTTCACAGGTCCTGAGAATGTTCTTTCACGGTCGCTACATCCTCCTGCTCATGGGGTTGTTCTCAGTGTACACCGGCCTCGTCTACAACGACTGTTTCTCCAAGTCTGTGAACCTCTTTGGCTCCGGGTGGAATGTGTCTGCCATGTATAGCTCCGGCCGCACTCCGGGTGGTCACAAGAAGATGGAGCTTTGGAAGTAAGTCCTGTTACCCAGGGACAGTGTAGGTAGGAAGAACGCTTTCCTGAGACCCCCGCCCCACAATGACCTCCTCCCTCTGCTTCCTTTCAGTGACAGCGTCGTCAGACACAGCAAGATTTTGCAGTTGAACCCGAGTGTTCCCGGAGTATTCCGAGGCCCTTATCCTTTCGGGATTGATCCCGTGAGTGCACCCTCCTCTCTGGTTGCTTTTAACTGTCACAGTGTGTTCTAGGCTGCCCAGGTGTTGGTGGCAGTCTGGTCCTTCCTTGTCCTGAGAGTCGGTGTTGCTGATGGAGCTGGGACTGTTGGGCTTCATACATGGCCAGCACTGGATCGCTCACAGGGAGCCAAGGTCATTGTGGTGCTTTCGTGTGGTTGTGGGAAGGGGGAGCAGTGTATCAGGGGAATAAAGACGTAGCACCCCCAGCCGCCCCCCACCCCCTCAGGTCCCACGAGGCTAAGGCAAATGGTGGGGTTCCCTACACCATCTAGTCTTTCTCACTCTTTCTCTTTGTTTTGTTTTTGAGGCTGGGTCTTACTGTACAGCCCAGGCTGTCCTCCAACTCACAGTCCTCCTGCCTCAGCCTCCCTAGTGCTGGAGTTACAGTCATGAACCACCATACCTGACCAGAATCCTCCTTTTTTTTTTTTTTATGCTGTACTGGGGTTTCAGCTGGGCCTCATGCTTGTTAGGCAGGCACTCTGCCACTTGAGCCACCCCTCCAGTCCTGGGATTCTTATCTTGGGAGAGGATCTTAGAAACAATGCCCAATGGGTTGGGAGAATGCGGGTGTAGTGGTACAGCAATGTGCACTCCAAAGTGCTGACTGAAAGTAAGCCTGATGGCTGTGATCAGAGTTCTTGCAGTGCTAGCATGATGTGACACGGCCTGCTCGTTCTGGCTCTGCAGAACTTGTGTGGTTAGCATCAGCATCATTGGAAATGTGAACGTGTTGTAACTACTCCAGCCAGAACACTTAGTGCCATGTTCTGTAGTACTGTGGCCCTTCTGTAAACAAAGGCACATTTCTGAAGAAAGGAGCCAAGGAAGAAAGCTCAAGTGGGTGTTTTTTGGGGGGAGAGGGAGAAGTGAGGGCATGGTTTTGTTGTCATTTTGCTTTAATTTAAAAAATATCTGGGCGTCAGTGGCTCATGCCTGTAGTCCTAGCTACTCAGGAGGCAGTGATCAGGAGGATTGCAGTTAGAAGCCATCCCTGGGCAAATAGTTCTAGTGACCCCCATCTGGGAAAAACCCCTCCACAAAATAGGGCTGGTGGAGTGGCTCAAGGTATAGGCCCTGAGTTGTTTGGTTTTTTTTTTTTTCCCAAAACAAAGACATACCCTGAGTTTATTTATAAATAAATAAAATAAAAATAGACATGGCATTTGTATGGTTCCAAGATAAACTGCAGACATACATAAGCAGTTCCCCAAAAGCCTCCACTTCCACCAAGTTTGCCAGGAGCCCATGTCTGCCTGTCTGAGCTCTGTGAGGACGCAGGTGAACACAGGCTGTTCTCTATTTCAACCCTGCAGGAGGTGGTTCTGTACCAGCTTGGCTTTCACCAGCAGCCACAGACATTGGAAATGTCTGTGGGTTACACCTTGGTAGCTCCCACCCCACTTCCTGGCTTTCTTTTCTCTGCCCCTCCTTCTTTTCCTCTCCTTCCTGACTGCTGTATTTAAACCAGTGAGGTTGACTGGCCCTACTTTCTTTTTCTAGTTCCTGGCCCTAAATATCTCCTTCTACAATCTTATTTTTGCTTTAACAATCATTTTTTTCTGTCCTAATAGGCCCTGTTTCCCTTTTTGTAATTCACCTAAAGGGGACTATGGGAATTAATTTTCAGAGCAGAGAAGCAGTCACTGTGGGAACTGGAGCAGGGATCCACAGGGGACCACATTCTGGTGCTGTGCTTTGTGCCCCGTCAGCTCTTCACACCTCTGCTGCTTTCAGTTTTGTCCTAAGTTACATATACATTGAAGGGACTGTGTAAAGCTACCACCCATGCGCTGTGTGTCCCCTGTGGGGACACAAGGTTGTAACCCCCAGGACTGTGAAAGTGCCCTGGCCAGAGAGAACCTGTTCTCTGCACTCCTGCTTCCCTCTGCTTTTCTTTCTGCCCACACCGCAGTGTGTCCCTAATGTCTGATGGCTTTGAACTTTATAAGGACAGATTGTTTTTCTACAGTCTGTGGCCCTGGTTTGAGAAAATCAGTGGTTCCTAGGGGGAAGCATCAAGAGACCAGTTAGGCTTTTGTTTTCTTTGTCATTTTAGAGCTGCCTCACCATGGAAGATGGAACGTTCTGCAGCTTCCCCTGTTGGAAGAAGTTAAAGATTTCTTTTTTGTTTTATTTTTAGATTTGGAACTTGGCCACAAATCGCCTCACTTTCCTAAATTCTTTCAAAATGAAGATGTCTGTGATTTTAGGAATTATTCACATGACTTTTGGTGTCATTCTGGGAATATTTAACCACTTGTAAGTACAGGTGTTTCTCAATCTCTGTTTATAAACCAAGCTTGGCAGTTCTTAAACTTTGCTCCTTAATGATGGACTGTGCCAACTTGGGGAGGGCAGCCAGGAGGGAGATGTACTGCACGGTGTGACTGTTTCTCTAGGGTTTTGTGCTCAAGATTTATTTATTCAGCAAATATTTATTGGGCACATACTATGCCAGGTGCTGTCCTGGGCTCTAGGGACTCAGCAGTGAGGAGGACAGGAAAAGGCTTTGCCCTCAGGAAGTTTACATCCAAGTGGGAGGCTTCCAACGTGTAAATTCATAGTTATTTCCAGGGTAACTTTTGTCATATTCCTTTTAATTTTATACATTAGAAAGCTTTTTTTATTTTGTTGAGTAGAGCTAGCATATTAAAAATATAGATTGTGTCCTCTTTCCCTAACCAGACCTGCTCATTCTCCTTGTTAAACTTGACTTATATAATTTAATGTCATGCCTTTAAGTCTTAACATAATTGGAAGCCTGAAAAACTTTTATGACAATTTCTTTATGACAGAGTGCTTTGGAGCAGATTCAGTAATAATTTGTGGCCTGCCTTTAAGGAGCCAGGGAGAACATTGGAGTGGGGTTTGGAGATGAAACTGTGGCTGCTTCTAGTTCTCTTTCCTGTGAGGCTGGGCCTGCAGCCCTGGCGTGGGCATCACAGGACACATGGTGGCACCTTGAAGCAGCCTGGTCACTTTAGCTACGGACATTTCAGGTGGCTTACTCTTGAACTTGCTCTGCCCTCTCCTCTGCAGGCACTTCAGGAAGAAGTTTAATATCCTCCTGGTCTCTGTCCCGGAGCTGCTCTTCATGCTGTGCATCTTTGGCTACTTGCTCTTCATGATCGTCTATAAGTGGCTGGTGTACTCGGCCGCCACTTCCAGGGAGGCCCCCAGCATCCTCATCGAGTTCATCAATATGTTCCTCTTCCCAACCGGTGAGGCACACGGCCTCTACACTGGGCAGGTGCGTGACCTCACCTGCCCCTGTCCCTGGCACCCTTTCTGGCATCGCCACAGCCAGAGTGTCAGCATCTTGCTGTGCATGCTGCACCCCACAGCCCACCACACTGGTGGGGAGAAACTGTGCTGCCAGAAGGTTCCTGAAGGCTGCCTGGTCCCTATCGGAATGAGCCCAGCTCAGGCCTCCACAGTCCTCCCTGTAACGGGTGTGTGACGTCAGTGTGGGCCCGAGGCTCACTGTTCCTCGAGAGAGAACTTTGATCAGATACCTAACACCTCTGTGCCTCAGTGTCCTCATCTGTAAAGTGCGAATAAGAAGAGGACTCAGTTCAGACCATCAAACTCAGATGTCTTTGTCAATGCCTGGGTTTCTCCAGAGCCATGCCTTAGTCTTGGCCCTCTGAATGGAGTGTACAGCTTATTTTTCACACTCCATTACTGCTAGAAAGTTCCAGTCTGGATTGGAAGCATGATTTACAGAACCCTGGGCTTTTTGTGCAAGTCACATAGTTGTATTCTTTTTTTATCTTTTGGGTTTCTGTTTGTGTTGGGGGGGGTGGGGTGGAGACACTAACTCACTGTGGAACTCAGGCTGGCCTCAACTCTAGATCCTCCTACTTCCACCTCATGAGTGCTGGGATTACAAGTGTGCACTGCTGTGCCCTTCTTCCTGTGTGTATATACACTTCTTGTGTGTATATCTCTCTTGTCCATGATTGTCTAACATTGTATTTTAGCATTATTTCATTGAAGCTTTGTAGAATGGCATAGATACAGATAAACGCAGGGAGATGCAGGAAGACCAGTGAAGGGGAACCAGCTTTATCTAGCACTTGCTGTATCCCTGAGGCCCTACTGTCTTTACTGTTCTTTCTTGGTTCTCACAGAAGTCCACAGGCGGGGGTGGTGGCCATTGTACTAATGACAGTCAGGAGCTAAGAGTGGACCTTGTCACCTAGGACTGGCAGGACCAGACTTTGAACCCAGGTCCGCCTGACTCCATAGCCCAGGACTTCCAAGGTGACTTTTGCTTCTTTTGGTGTTTCAAGGGGTGAATTGTGTTGATGGTGTGAAGACAATACAACCTCACACACAGGTAGCATAGGTGACCCTGGGAACCTGTTTTTAACACAAAGTCTGGCCTAGAGGGCAATAAGCAGAGGGCAGCACATGGCTTGTTCATTTGCATGTCCTCCTCTGCATCCTGAAAGCCACACTTGCTGTGGAGCCTTGCACGTGCTGAGCAGGTGCTGTGTGGCTGAGCTGCACCCCAGCCTGTTTTGTCCTTGAAGTTGTGTGAACTATCTGCACATCGGCATTTTCTCTAAGCCAGTGTTGGTTCTGTTCTGAAGGTGGTTTCACTTCTTTTCCACCTGTACAAGTAAATCCACTTGTTATCCCTCACATTCCTCAGGTAGCCACACATGGAGAGTATTGAGTTTCTGTTGTCCCATTGTCAGAAAGTTAATTTTTTTTTTTTTTTTTTCAGATTGGGGCTTGAACTCGGCCTACACCTGGAACCCCTTCATCAGCCTCCCCCCGCCTTTTTTTTCCTGTGAGGGTTTTTTTCAAGATAGGGTCTTGTGAACTATTTATCGAGGCTGGCTTCAAGCCAAGATCCTCCTGATTTCTGCCTCCTGAGTAGCTGGGATTCCAGGCGTGAGCCACGGGGGCCAGGCTTGAAAGTCACTCTAAATGGAATTCTGTCACCTTGTATAATTCATGTTTCTCGTGGGTTTGAGTGTTCTGCTCTGAATTTCGGAAAGGACTGAAGAGATCCCTTGGCAAACTGTTTCCTGTCCCTTGTGAGGAGTTGTGTGTCCTGTTCTGCCTGCTGGGTATTCATGGGTCCCCCTTGTGTACCAACAGACGCATGTGCAGAGAGTGCTGCTGGTGGTCACGGTGCTGTCAGTGCCTGTCCTCTTCTTGGGAAAGCCGCTGTTCCTGCTGTGGCTGCACAACGGGCGCAGCTGCCTGGGACTCAACCGGGTGAGTGTGCTCCTGTCCCCAGGGCCTGCGGCAGGGCGGGAGTCCTAGTCCTCAGCACAGTGATTGTAGAAAATGTGGAAAATGAAGAATATGGTGTTCTTTATTCCAACTGTAACCAGCTGCCATGCATTGAGGTTATTTTCTGTGTATCTTCTCACTTTTTCTGAAAAAAGTTTTGGCAAAATATACATAATGTAGAATTTACCATTTTAAGTATGTGGTTTGGTGATACTAAGTACATTTACAATGTCATGTTGCCATCATTACCATCCATCTCCAGAAATTTTTCATTTGCAAAATTCAGGCTCTATTCCTCTTAAACACTAGCCTCCACATTCCCCTGCACGATCTGTTGTCTATCTCTGTGGATTTGACTACTCAGTTCATGTATTTGTCCTTTTGTGTTTGGCCTCTTTGACTTAGTGTGATATCTTTAAGCCTCACCTGGGCTATAGCATTTCCCTTTTAAGGCTGTATAATATTCTATGTGGATATACCACATTGTGTTTATTCATGTGTTATTTCCACCTTTTGGCTGTTGTGAATGAGCTGCTATGTCTCTTTGAAGCCGGCACTGGCTACTTGTGAGGCTGAGATTGGGAGGATTGCAGTTGAAGGTCAGCCCAGGCAAATAGTTCATGAGAGCTCATCTCCAAAATAACCAGAGCAAAATGGACTGGGTTTGTGGCTCAAGAAGTAGATCTCCTGCTTTGTAAGCACAAAGCCCTGAGTTCAAAGCCCAGTCCCGCCAAAAAACAAAAAAAGTCTTTGATGTCTATTTTCAGTTCTTCTGGGTATATGCCTAGAAGTGGAAGTGCTGAATTGTCTAGTAATTCTGTGTTTATTTTGAGGACCAGCATACTTTTTCTACAACAACTGCACCATTTTACATCCTCCCAGCAATGCTTGTGGATTCTGACTTCTTCACCTCCTTGCCAACACTTGTTCTCTCTCTGATAATAGCTGCCCTCACTTTCGTGAATGCTTATTTGCTTTTGGAGAACTTGTTTAGTTACAAAGCTGAATGGCTAAGAAAAATGGTAGCTTTCAGACTGACATAACCTGGAAGTGTTAAAGACATCAACTCTGTTCTTTTGCTTGCTAGAGTGGTTACACGCTGGTAAGGAAAGACAGTGAGGAGGAAGTTTCTCTGCTGGGAAACCAGGACATAGAAGAGGGCCGCAATCAAGCAGAGGACAGCTGTAGAGAAGTGATGTCTGAAGAGGTAACCTTTCCCTCAGCTTCTGTTTAAATGCTCCTTTCTCTGCACGGCACACAGTGGTGCCTTCTATGCCGGTGGCGGATGAGGTCTGCCTTGCATCAGATGTTCGTGAGGCTGACTCAGGATCTCACCCAGCTCTCCAAGGCTGTGACCATTATGGCATTCACCATTTACACAGGAGGAGTGGAGGCTTGGGTGGGGTGATGGGGTTGGGAGATGGGAACGTGAGCCCGTGCTCATGAGCTGGTCAGCGGAGAGCTGCCAGCAGGACTCAGATCCCAGCTCTGTCCTCACCTTCCATGGCACTCCCAGCTCGTGGTCAGCCTTCATGGCGGTGCCACGGGGCCTTCACTGTGGGGCAGGCATGTGATGTGGCATCTGACACTTCCCTGCGGTCTCTCGCAGTTCAACTTTGGGGAGATACTGATGACACAGGTGATCCACTCCATCGAGTACTGCCTTGGCTGCATCTCCAACACCGCGTCCTACCTGAGGCTCTGGGCACTCAGCCTGGCGCACGCGCGTAAGTGCCACTTGCCTTGTGGCCCCTGACCTCCGTGCTAAGCCAGACAGCTGCTGGGCTGTGGGGGTTGAGAAGCTTCAGATAGTCTGTGAGCTACAGAACCTATGGGTACCTTGCCCCTTGGCCTAGGCGTGCTGTGAACCACTGTGGAGACACGGGGCTCTGGGACTTTGATGTGGACCCTTCCACTGTGTCACTGCTGTCATGGGTTTTGTCCTTGCTGTTGTTTCATTCAGTCCTACCTTACTGAGCATAGTTAGTTGTTTCAAGTAAGTCCTAAAGCAACACTGGCCTACAGTGTTCACTATAGGCCATCCCCTGCTTCCATGGTTCTGATGCTGAGCAAGCTTTGTTTGCACACTTACCCCCACCCTGGCTCAGACTTCAGCCCCTGTGGCTCACCTGCTGTGCACACACATGAGAAGTGCACGCTTAGCCACCAGCTCTTTAGTCCACACTGCACCCATGTGCTTTGCGCTTTGTGATCAGAAGTGTCTATCTCTTCTTCCGAAGCCTGGAGCCATGGTCACTGTGCTGTTCAGTTTAGGCACAGACAGCAAAGCACATAGTCATGCTGCCTCCCCGTCAAGTGGCAAACCCATGGGACATTGGCAAAAGTGCATGGTCGGAAAGGGGACTGGTGACAGAAAGGTGAGAGTGCAGCAGAGGAACATAGGTGATGAGGACAGAAGCCCAGAGGGAGCTGAGACAGGTCCAGACCGTGAAGAGTGAGGCTGAGTCATGGCTCCGGAGGTAAAGCACCTGCCCAGCACGTATGAGGTCCTGAATCCAAACAACAAAAAGACAGTGGGGGTGCAGAGGCTGCAGTGTTGGACACTGATCCAGACTAGAAAACATGATGATTTCCAAGTATTAGACACTGCCCCATATTTGGTGCCCAGCCTGCCAAGTCACAGAGTGGAAGCTGCCAGGCACTGTGCTGTTGGGCTGTTAAGTTTTTTGTTTTTTTTTTTTTGGCAACGAAGAACACATTAATACTCCATGCTGCTAATCTTTTAAAAATAAATTTACTGTTTTTGTCATGTGCTTATACATTTGTAACCAACGGTTACAAGCAAGGTGGTGTTCAGTATCTTGATGAAAAGTGCACTCTCCAAACAAACTCTTTCAGAGCTGTCTGACGTGCTGTGGGCCATGCTGATGCGGGTGGGCCTTCGTGTGGACTCCACCTACGGGGTTCTGTTGCTGCTCCCTGTCATGGCGCTCTTTGCCGTTTTGACCATTTTTATCCTTTTGATCATGGAAGGCCTTTCTGCATTCCTTCATGCCATACGCCTCCACTGGTGAGTTGCAAATGTATCCTTGGAATTGTTATTTGAAAACATAAAATCCTCTCCAAATATATTACTCCCCCTCCCCCCCAAATCCAAATCTGATGCTCAGCGCGGGCCAGTTTTCTTTCCCAACATTGGCATCTGTGTTCAGGTCCTCTGAGTTAAGTTTAGAAATCAAACCAGTTTTACACTTGACAAGTAGAAGCAAGCTTATGCTTGTAAAACAATTGTGTATGTTCTTTTGGGTCTGGCAGATTGCTTTGTTTTATTGTAAATTAGCTTTTAGGTATTTCTTAATGTTTTACAGTTTGTATATCCAGTGCATTCAGTTACCTAAGTGGAGAGAGAGAGTGCTGTTATTGTGCCCAGTCCTGCTGTGTGTTTCGTAGTGTGACAGGTGCTGGGATACATTAGCCTTTCTGTCACATACCAGGAAACTGGAGGGGCTGAGGAGGGGGCCTCTATCTAAGTAAAAACACTTGTGTCAGGAGCACAAAAGGAAAGAAGCAATTTTATCACAGGAACTTTTGCTTTAACTTACAATTGTTGTTTTAAGAAAGTAAGAATTACACACACGCACAGGAAATCAAAGTGAGTCAATGCCCTGTATAGCTATCCTTATCTCAACCAGCAAAAACCCTTGTTCCTTCCTATTATTGCTTGTACTCTCTCTACAACAAAATTAGAAATAAGGGCAAAATAGTTTCTGCTGGGTACTGAGGGGGTGGGGGGGGAGAGGGAGGGGGCGGGGGCAGGGGGGAGAAATGACCCAAGCCTTGTATGCACATATGAATAATAAAAGAAAAAAAAAAAAGAAAGTAAGAATTAAATTTCACAATCTTCCACTAACACACATTCTTTTTTTTTTTTTTTGTAGGGTAGAATTTCAGAACAAATTCTATGCTGGTGCAGGCACCAAATTCATTCCTTTCTCATTCAGTCTGCTTTCATCCAAGTTCAGTAATGACGATGACCTGGCATGATCAGATTGTTGTAACCAACAGGCTTTCAGATTTATGGAGAATTATGTTATAGAATTTTATCCATGTCACATTTATGATAGGGAAGATCCCACCTTCATTGATTGCCTTATGATATAGCCAAATAATTCTGTAAGCTGTACCTCTTCCTCATATGTTAAATACTTTGTAAAGTTTGCCAATTTCAGTATATAAATTTCTTTTGGTTTTTATTATGAAAAACATAAGTTAATGCCGAATGTTATGTTCAGGTTATTTTCAAATATAGGATTGGGGGAGAAGCCAATTTTGATTGGCTAATTAAAAGTGATCTTAGATATTTGATTCCTTTTAAACTTTATTAAAAACATACAAAGAGTTATTCTGTCACCTGAAGTTGTCAGAGAATACTTTCCAACAGCTGAAGCTAAGCATAGTTTTTTAAAAAAAATTAATGACAGATAACCAGAAGATTAACATTTATTCCCCTTAATTAAGAATATGCAGCTGGGTGTAGTGGTACATACCTGTAATCTCAGTACTTAGGGGGGCTGAGCCAGGAAGATCAAGGGTTCAAGGTCAGCCTGGGCTACACAGCGAGATTTGTTCTCAAAAAAACAAGGGCTGGGGGTATAGCTCAATGGTGGAGTGCTTGCCTAGCATGTACAGGCCTGGGTTCAATCCCCAGCTTAAAAAAAAAAAAGAAAAAAAAAGCATATGCAAATTATTGTATGTATCTAGAACTACCTGTGGAGGGTTATCTCTACAATTTTTATCTTATTTTAGTAAGTGGGGAAAATGGGAAAAAGGAACACATGAGAAATGGTTATCCCACTGTTATCCTTACATCAAACTTATGCTAATTATACATTTAGAAGATAAACTATCCTGAGCCTTAACGCCCAGCGTACTGGAGAAGCTGTGACGTGGGCACAGGTTGAGCTCAGCAGCTAGCTTGACTGATGCTTCTGTACCAGCACCATTTATACTGAGTGAGACAAAGGTAAAAAGTTTTATCTGTATATTTTTGTAGCAAAATATAAATTCAGATATTTTACCATGAAAAGATTAGACTTGTCCTTGAAAACAGTATAATTTTTTACTTTCAGACTAATTCTAAATAAAGGTCTGATAAAAGTAGTTAGAATTAATTTAAACTTTCCAACACTAGTCAGATCAGTCACAAACTAATTCTTGTTAAGCCATAAATTTGTAATCTTGAATTTAAATTCACCTATTCAGTTGACATCTAGTTAGCTTTGTATGAATTTGAGTCAGTCCTGGGAATATTTTGATCTACTCCATACCCTGTAAATTGTGTTCATTTTGCACATTCTACTTGAAGTGATTTTAGATGATTATTTTCAAAAAGAAATCTGACATTTTCATGATTTTACAACTTTGAGTAACACACTAATGAAAAGACCTGCTGTCCCTGTGCCCCTCCACTTGTTGAGGGGAGAGTGGGGCCCTTTCATTACAGCGGGGTCAGGAAACACTAGTGGAAGCCTACCTTTCCAGGTCATTCTGAGGCCTGTTTGCTGAGGAGCATAACCTGAAGGTCACATAGCCGTGAGTCTGCCACCCAAAGGCCAAGTTTGGACTTGCTGCTTTATGTCCTTCACGTTTAATTCCCCAGCATAAAGTGACTCTGCTCTGGAGTTAAGTTACCCCAGAAAGGGCCATATTGGACTTCCTCCTGTTGATAGGATGTGCGGATTTCAGACTCACTTCTCACCGTGCTCAGTGTCCCCATGAACTGTCATTGTGTTCCCATACTCCCAGGATCTGTGGTTAAAAACCAGGGTAACTAATGTGTGTCTAGGAAGCCAAGGAGTTCAGTGCCCTGTACCTGGAGAGCAAAGGAGACAGCAGTATCTGCTGGAACCTTCTATTGAGCCCAGTGGTAATTGTCATGGGGGTACTGGCCAGTTCTGATGAACTTACTAGGGTACAGAATGACGAGTGAAGAGTCCCCTTTTAATATTGAGGTCTATATTATGTTATGCCCAATGTAATTATGGAGAAATGACTTCTGTGAAAAGAGCCCTCTGGAAGCCAGTTAATAATGGTGTCTGATACCAGGGGAAGTTTCTTTTATTAAGTGATGGCCCCAGTGTCTGCTGTGCATACAGTTTTTTTTCTTTTATCATTTTTACATTTACTTACATGTGTATACGTTGTTTGGACACACCCCTCCTCCCTGTGCATATAATTTTTAGGGACATTTATTCCCTTGCAGATATCCAGAGAACTGGTAGCTGTCTTCATGGTGCTGAGTGATTATTTTCTTAAGATACGTGTGGTGACAGTCATTTTTAATATTTACTGCTGTGTTTTAACGGAGTCCTGAAATAAAGATCCAGGGGACTCTTCAGTGAAGTTGCTGCCAGGGTGGGAGGCTGCTGAGAGCAGTGTGCTGTAAGCCTGTGGCCTCTGGACGCTGTGAACAGGCGCCTTTCACTGAGTACTGGCTATCTTTACTTCTGGATGCTATTTTTGAGATGTGGTGTTTATATGTTGCCAGCCTGACCTACAACTTTCCATCCTCCTGCCTCAGTCTCCCTAGTAGCTTAGATTTGCACCAGGCACTTGGCTTGGAATGGTATTTTATGGCATGCTCTGCGCTCGTGTTCAATATGCTCTATAGCTGAATGAAGTTTTAGGGCTTGGCCCATTTTGGGAAACAACACTTCTGCAGCCTGCATTGAAAACCCGTACATCTCTACCAAAGGCGGGATTGTCTTCCAGCCACATGGCCGCTCTTAGGCCTTAGTACATCTTCGTTAAAGATGGAGGGCGGGAGGTGGGGCTCGCGGGGAGGCCTGCGGGGAGTGCAAGGCCCCGAGATCAAATCCCAGTACCGCCAAACCCAAAGTGGGACTCGGGCGGTTTGGAGTAACGCCGGCCTACAGGCGGGACACTGAGCCGAGCATCGCATGTGTTCCTGGGACGTGGGCGCGGGCCCGGGAGGGGCGGCGGGATGTCCCTTCAGTGTCGCCTCCTTTCGCTAATGACAAATAAACCCTGTGTGTTTCTAAGGCGTGCTGTGCTGCTTTGCTTTCTTGAGGCTCGGCACGTGGTCAGCCGGGGACCCTGCGGCGCCTTCCTGATCCGTGCGACCCGGGAAGGACGCTCTGTCCCCGGCCGCCTCTGGCCTCGCGGGACACTGGCTCGCGGTCCAGTACCGGGCAGGACAGGACAGGGCGCGGGGCGGGGCGGCCCTGGCGCCGGCGCAGCTGCCCGGACGCCTGTTGTTAAGGGCGCCGTTGCTACGGACGCCCGCCGGCTCCGGGTCCAGTTCCCGCGCCATGGACGACCTGCGGGTGCTGTGGATGCGCGACCGCGTCTATGCGGCCTTCGGCATCACTGACCCCTACCTCTTCGAGGACATGCTGAATCGCGATGACGCCGAGGCCGAGGACCTCATCCTGCACTTCCTCAACCACCGGACGGAAGAGGAGGGCGCCGCCACGCTCTTCTTCCACCGCGTCCTGGTGCCCGAGGAGGTGGAGGTGGAGATCGGTGAGCACCCGCGGCGCCCACTGTGTGCAGGCTGAGTGGCCCCGATGGTCACAGCCGCCCCTGCCTGCCCTTGTGGAAGGGCAAACCTGGAATGAAAAACCTCACCAGCGCTTATTTAGCCCTTACTGTGCACAGGTGTGGTTCAAATGCTTCCTTCAACTCCTTAAGCCTGTGAGGTTGGGTGGGCTGACATCCAAAGGAGCAAAGTTTCCAGAGGCCATGGCCCAGGGAGGGACCGGTGTCATCCTCGCTCCCTGACAGTGCCAGGGTCTCTCAGAGGTCAGCAGAGAGGCCTGTGCTACTTACCATCGCCATGGGGGGAAGGTGGTGCTCCCAAAACCAGGTTTTAAAAAAATGGCAGTAGGCTTTCTCTGTTTTGTTGAACCAGTCAGTGACTGCAAGCCCAGAGCCCTCTGTGACAGGCGCGGGGGCACAGGACTCCCGGAGGTGCAGGACTGTGAGCACCGCTGAGGGCTGTGTGACCCACCTCCCAGGCTAATCTTCCACTCCACAGAATTTCTGGATCACCTGCGGACCTCTCGGGACTGAGGTGCAGAGCCAGGCAGACCTTCCTTCCTTCCTGAGAGAGGGCCTTTCTCTGTACTCCAGGCTGGGCTTGAACTCTTATCCTCCCACCTCAGCCTCCTCGATGCTGGAGTTACAGTCATGCTCAACTGTATCTGACTGTCATTAATTTTAAATCGGTATTATTTGGTTGCACAAAATAATACATGCAGTCATTATAGAGAAACGCAAAGTCACAAATAAACAGCAATAACAAGTTATCTGTGGCACCAGAGAGATGACCACGCAATAATGTTTTGGTGTTCTTTTTTTTTTTTTTTTTTTAATGCGGAGGCACTAGGGTTTGAACTCAGGGCCTCACACTTGCTAGGCAGGCCCTCTACCACTTGAGCCCTTCCGCCAGTCCACACTAATGTTTTAGAGTCTAACATTCCAGTTGTGTATTTCTCCACCCAGGCAGAACTTTGGTCCTGAACATTACCTTACCCCAGGACCTTCAGAGTGGGCAATTTCGTTATCATCAAGTGAAATTGCAGATAACAGAGGTTCTATTTAACGTGTTCCACAGTGTTTGTAACCTTGATTTGGTATACTTTTTTTTTGGTACTGGGATTCGAACTCAGGGCTTTTACCTTAAGTCACTCCACCAGCACTTTTTTGTGATAGGTTTTTTGAGATAGGATCTTGAGAACTACTTGCTTGAGAACTTGGAACTGCGATCCTCTTGATCTCCGCCTCCTGATTAGGATTACAGGTGTCAGCCACCAGCGCCCAGCAGATTTGTTATAATTAAAAAAAAATTACAGCTGGGAGCAGTGTCTCAGGTCTAGTTGCTCAGGATGTGAAGATCAGGAGGGTCATGTTTTGAAGTGGGGTAGAGAGTAGGGGAAAGTTTGTGAGACCCCATCTCAACCAAAAAGCTGGGTGTGATCGTGCGCGCCTGTCATCCTAGTGAAAAGTGTAAAATAGGAGATGATGGAGCAAAACTCTATTTCAAAAATAACCAAAGCAAAAAAAAAAATTACGCCAAAACCTTAAAAAATGGATGCTATTTGGGCTTCTTTTGTGTCCCTGTTAATAGCTAGGTGGCTGTTTGCTGCTCTGTGTCCACAAGTGCATGCTTAGCACACTGCCTTGGGCTGGATGTACTACCCTGTCAGAAGCGGGTTTCAAGTCTCACTTCAGAGCGTCCCCAACACCTTTCTGTTCTCTACCACCCATCTGTCTGTCTGTCTATCTATCTACCATCTATCCAGTGTCTATCATCTGTCTATCATCTATCTGTCTGTCTACATACCCAGCTGTCTAGGTATCTATCATCTATCTGTCCATCCATCCACCCACCACCTGTCATCTATTGTTGTGTGTGTATGTTTCTTTCTACTCCCCGTAGCTTTTTCTCTCTGTATAATGAGCTGTGCATTATAACACATAGACTATACATGGAGTATCTAAAACCACAAATAAAATCATGCTACACGTATAATTTTGTGACTTGTCCTCCCTCCTTCCGCATAGCTTGCTGATTATTTCTGCCAATACCCATAGATCTACCTTGGCAGTACTATTAGGTCTTGCAGCTTTTTTTTTTTTATTTGGTGGTAAATCCAGGGTCTTGCACTTGCTAAGCAAGTGCTCTACCACTTGAGCCATGGCCCCAGCTATTGGTGATACGAGGATTTGAAGTCAAGGCCGTGTGCTTGCTAGGGGGTGCTCTATCACTTAAGCTGCACCCCAGTCCTTTTTGGCTGTGGTTTCTATCCGTGTAGTGTCTCGAGTTTTTGCCTGGGTTGGCCTGGATCATGATCCTCCTACCTCTGGCCTCCTGCTTATCTGGAATGGGAGGTGCGTGGAGCCACGCCCAGCTTTTATTGATTGAAATGGCGTCTCATAACTGGATTTCAGGTACTTTGATGTCCCCACTCCCTGACTAATGGACACAGCTTTTCAGAGCATTTCGTTCCATGGAGAATACCAGTGTGTTTGCCTACCTCTGCATGCTCTGAGCATTACTTTAAATAAATTCGGAAGGGTTGGACTGCGTTCAGCCCCCAGCCCCAGCCACCCTGTTCACACCACAGTAGTGACAGCTCTTACAGTCTTTGCCAGTAGGCAAGCTTACCCTTACATAATCACTAATGGAGCTGAGCCTCTATTACTTCTTCAGTTTTGAAAACCTTGGTAACATAGCATATAATTTACATTTCTGGCCGTGTGCATTCATTTATTTTGAACTCAGGGCTGATGCTTGCTAGGCAAGTGCTCTACCACTTGAGCCACTCTGCTAGCCCTTTTTGCATTGGTTACTTTTGAGCTAGGATCCAGCCTGGACCTCATTCGTTCTATTTGCGCTTCTCTGAGTAGCTGGGATGACAGGCACCTGCCACCACCCCCAGCTATTGGTTGAGATGGGGTCCCTAGAACTTTTTTGCCTATGTTGGCTTCAAACCACGATCCTCTTGATCTCAGCACCCCCCGCCCCTCCCCCCACAAGTAGCTAGGATTACTGGCCTGAGCCACTGTGTCTGGCCCCATGTTTTGTTTTTGACATAGATCTCACAATGTAGCTCAGGCTGGCCTTGAACTTGTGATCCTCCTGCCTCAGCCTCTGTAGTGCTGGGATTACGGGAGTGACCATGGCATCTGGCTCCAGTTACTGCCATTTTTAAATGTACACACGGCCCAGTACATTGGTAATATTGGGCAACTATGAGCTTCTTTCATCCTTGTTGGTCATTTGTGCTCGCTCTGGGTTGGTGATCACTGGTGGTTCTGTGTCCTTCGTGTCTTGACAGAATCAGCAGAACCTGCTGTCTGCAGAAGCTGGCCTCAGGCCTGGAGCACCCACAGATCCCTTGGGGCTGCATCTCAACCCTTTGGCCTCTGAAAGCAAAGGTGCCAGGTATCACGTGGTGAAAATGACATTTTATATTTTTTTTCCATTTATGTGACAACCAAGACAACGAAGCATCTGTCCTGTCTGAAGAGGAGAATGAAGAAGAAGAGAATGATTATCAAAACATAGATGTCACAGATAAAGCGTCAGGTGCGGTATCAGGAGGGCACTGTGTGGCAGGGGACAGACTCAAGAAGACTCTCACCTGGGAGGGTGGTTTGAGGCCAACTCAGGACTATTTCTATACACAGAAACTGTAGAGTTGTCAATAGATAGGTGGATGAGGGTCCTGTGGCCATGTCACAAGTAACTACAGACTGTATGGCTGAACAGAATGACATTCATCCTGTCCATGTCCTGGAGGCCCAAGTCCAAAGTTAATCGCAGCACAACCGTTGAAGGCTCCAGGTGAGGGTCCTTCCGGCCTGCTGCAGCTTCTGGGGCCATCAGTGTCCCTCAACATTCCTTGGCTTGTGGCTACTCTCAGCTCCACCTTTCCTGTGTCCTCCCCTGGGTACCTGGATCCCCCTGTCCCATGCTTTGTGGACAGGAGGTTGGGGACATTCAATTCACCCCAGGATGGCACACACTGTAAAACACGCATTCTTACACCGTAGAGCCTCTGCTGGCCTCATGAAGGATGCACAACTCTGTCTTGGAGGGCTGTGTGCCCCCCACCCTGCACCCCACTGCAAACTGCAGCTGCAGGGATTTGTAGGCTGGAGTCTGCATTTGGAGACAGTGCCATGAGTACTGAGGGGGCCCCCTGACCCTTGACAGGCTGTGACAGGTTTCTCTTGAAGTGGCAGTGTGACTTTTGACCACTTGTTGAGAGTGGAGTGGTGGTTTTTCTTTTTTCTTTTTTTTTGGCAGTAGTGGAGTTTGAACTCAGGGCCTCTTGCATGCTAGGCGGGCAGTCCACCACCTGAGCCACTCCATCAGCCCTCAGCAGTGGGTTTTTGACTGAGGGTGATTTTGCTCCTGCTAAGAGGACTCTGGACAATGTCCTGAGATGATCTTGGTTGTTAAAAGTGTGTGTGTGTGGGGTGACTGCTACTGACATCCAGTGGATAGAGTCCAGAGAAATCGCCGAACACCCTAAAATACACCACCTGGGCAGCCCGGCAGCTGTGTGATGCACCCCAAATATCTGAGATCCAGCTGTGGACCAGCAAACTGTCTGCAGAGCCAAACGGCCTCCGCACCCCCACTCAGCCACGCTTCATCTGCCCTGCCAGAAGCAGAGCTGGGGAGGAGACCCCACTTTACACACTGAGTGTGGGGGACCCAAGCCCGTACGGAGAGCTCTGCTAGTTCCTTTTAACCAAAAATGTAATCCCCTCAAGTTAAGTAGCAAAGACTGCAGGGAGGGGAGCACAAGTTTAAACGTAAAGGCCATTCTGTTTGTTTATTTGTTTATTTATTTTTGTAGCACTGGGGTTTGAACTCAGGGCCTTGAGCTTGGTAGGCAGGTACTGTCCACTTGAGCCACTCCACCAGCCCCAGCTCCTTTTGTTTTGGGAGAGGGTCTCATGTTTATGCCTGGGCTGGCTTGGACCTCGATCCTCCTGTTTAGCTTCCCGAGTTAGCTGGGTTGACAGGAGTGCACCAGAACACCCAGTTTTTATTGGGAGAGGTGGGGGGGGGTCCCAAGAACTTTTGTCCTGGCCTGGCCTCAAACAGTGATCCTCCTGATGTCCAGAGTAGCTGGGATTACAGACATGAGTCACTGCACCCAGTGTAACAGTTCAGATGAATGCCACACACCTGTCCCCGATAATGGTGCACAATGGGCTTCTTCTGTACAACATGAGCGATGGATGGAGGTGCTGTGGTAGGAAGGCAGGCAGGCTGGCCCGAGCTTTCTGATGAGTTCCTCTTGCTCATGGAATTGTGTTTTGCAGCAAAGACTTTTCAGGTGAAAAGCAATTCCTTCACACTGTCCCTAGCCGGCATGGAGGATGAGGAGGTGGACCAGGAGCTCTCAGACAGACTCCCTGCCACGGTACGCACGGTGACAGACCTCAGATGCGCCCTCATGAGACAGGGTTGCTGGGGTGGGGCATCGTCGTGGGGTGAGGACTGTGGATGCCTGGGTTGGGATTTCCAAGGCCACCCTTAGATTCAGTGGCAGCCTAGAAGGACTCACAGAACCCAGAAAAGCTGTCACAACCTGGATGTGTTGGTTACAGAGAAAGGGTGTGGGTGGAAGAAGAAAAGGCAAAAGGTGTAGAGGGCGGAGACCTGGAGACCAGGCCTGAGGCTCCAGGTGCCCAGCCAGGGGAGTCTGTGACAGTGAACCCTCCCAGCAACTGTGTGACAGCACACACGGTGCTCGGCCCCGCTAGTCTCCAGCCTCTGCCTGAGGTCACTCTGATACAGCGTGGCCTAGACCCCCAGCAAACAAAACCAGGCATCCGCCATGGGCCCCAGTGTTAGCATGAGCCATGAGGGGTGGCCGTGACCCCAGGTACACAAAGACGCCACATCAGGCAGGGCCTCTAACAGTTTAGGAGTTATTAACCAAGGGCCAGTCATGGGCCAGTCCTTTCTTCAGCAAGTACAGTGCGTTTAAGGTCAGGCATGCCTGTACTCTTATCTACTCAGGAGGTAGGGATTGGGAGAATGAGATTCAAGACCAGCCTGGGTATAAAGTTAGTGAGACTCCATCTCAACCAACAAGCTGGGCATGGTGGTTCACATCTGTAATCCCAGCTAAGCAGGAAGCATAGGTAGGAGAATCACAGTCCTAGATTGGCCCCAGGTGAAAACTCAAGACCCTGTCAGAAAAATAAAGCAAAAAAGTGATGGTGTTATGACTCAAGTGGTTGAGCACCTGCCTCGTAAGCACAAGACCCTGAGTTCAAATCCCAGTACTGAAAAGAAAGAGAGAGAAGGAAGGGAGGAAGGAATGAAAGAAGGAAGGAAAAGAGTAGGGTGTGGACCCCAGGCAGGGTGAGCTGGGACTTAAGCACTCAACCAGGAGGAAATTCCTGGTGGCTCATGTGTGTGTCTCACCCTGGGAACAAAACGCAGGCGCGGTTTGCGGTGATGGGGGAGCAGAGCCCTAGCTAGACCTTATCTAGGCAGTTGAGCCAGTTAACGGAAGGATCAGGTTCAGAGTCCAGGGTCTGGGTGCAAGTCAGCCCACGTGCTTGCCCACTGTGTGGCCGTGGGTGCTTCTTCAGGAAATGGGGCACAGTGAAGACGGGGCTCTTTGCTGATAGATGTCCTGTCCCCTATCAGAGGGTGGTGACACACATCGTTGAGAAGCCACAACTGCAGGTGTTCTACACGCCTCTCCCGGAGGATTTCCAGGACCAGAACATGGTGTTTTTTCTCCGGAACACGACAGGTACCTTTGCGGTGTGTGTATGGAGTGTGTTGTGCACACACGTGCACATCAGGTTCTTATACTTTTTTGGGGCAGTACTGGGGTTTTGAACTCAGGGCCTCAAGCTTTCTAGGCAGGTGCTCTACAGCTTGAGCCACACCCCTAGCTCTTTTTGCTCTCCTTTGTTTCCCAGACAGTGTCTCATGCTTTTGCCTGGGGCAGCCCCTGACTGAGATCCTCCTGCCTACACCTCCTGTGTTGCTGGGACCACAGGCATGGGTCATCACACCCAGCTTGTTGGTTGAGATAGGGTCTTGCTACCTTTTTTGCCTGGGCTGGCCTTGAACCATAATCATCTATCTCCAGCTCCAGACTAGCTGGGATTACAGGTGTAAACCACTGCACCTGGCCTGTTTATGCCTTCTTGATAAGTTTTTATTAGAACAGTTGCTCTCTATCTGTCACAGATTCTGTACTTGTGAATTAATCTACTCGCTAAAGCTTGTTCATCACCCCAAAAGCAATCCTTGCATCCTTGCAGTGCCTTCGAGGTCATGGGAGGACACAGGCAGAGTGAAGACAGCATGTGTGTTCCCGCTGAGCGGAACAAGGCAGCACTTTGTGTTCTGTGTCAGCTCCTACTGTAAGCAGGTGTCCTTTCCCCCCCGCCTATTTGATGACACTATTTTTGAATTTTGGGGCTTTTTGTTGGTGACTTCATTATTTAAATGTTCCCCAAGCATAGTGCTGATATGTTGTCTGGTGTTCCCAAGTGCTGGAAGGTGACAGTGTGCAGGGAAGTAGGTGTTAGATAAGCTTCCTTCAGGCATGAGCTCTTGGTCACCTGTTGGTGAGTCATTGATCTATATTGGTGATATATATATATATATATATATTTTTTTTTTTTTTTCCCAATAAGGTGTCCCTAAACAGACGAGCCCATAAAACAAGGGTTGTACTCATTGTCTGATGAAGTGCTCTCACCAGGGGCTCCAAGTGTCAGGAGGATGGAGAGCAGGTCCTTGGTCTTAAGGAAGAAGGAATTCAGGGGCAGGGTGGCCACACAGGCGTGTTCAACAGAGCCGATTCATTTCAGTCAAAGCTACATTTTATTACAGCAGACATGGTGGTAAAGCCACCGTGCACCCCAAAGGAATCTGAGGCTAGGCAGCTTGGCTATGAGGTCAAGGCCCCAGCCCCAGCCCCAGCCTCAGGCCCTTTTCTGGAGAGGGTCTGAGGACTATGATAATGATCATGCTAATGAATATGCTAATGAGTATGCCAACAGTTAAGCTGGGTTTGTGCATATAACTTTGGAGATTTCTGGGGTACTTCCCAGAGCTGGGGACAGGATTGGTCCATCTAATCAGGTGTCCTCAGAGCCAGATGGTGATTGCTGGGGAGGTATCTGTGCAAAACTGCAGCTATAAAGAGATGTCGGTGAGGCCTCTAACTGAACTCAGGAGTTGGGGAGCCTCTGTCGGGGTCCCTGCTGGGAACCACTGGCTGCTGTACCAAGCAATAGCTGCCCATGCTCCAGGACGGGGGTGGGGGGCAGAGAGTCTGGTGCTGATTCTGGCTATGTAACCCCCTCAAAGGCTGTGCAACTCCCAGTGCAGACGCTGTGCAGAAGCCAAGGTCACCTGCAGGGGAGTTTTCAGGCCAGACTCTGTAGCTCTCTGGGGCCACTGGGGTCTTTTTGTGACTCTTCCCATCCCCACCAATTCCTGTGCCACATATCTTGGTTGATTCTGTCCTTCCCGGCCTGCACTTCCCCTTCAGTCCTCCACCTCCTGTGCTGGTGCCCAAGTTCACAGCAGGACTTGCCCTCAAGTCTAGAGCCAGCATGGTACAGCTCTCCTTTACTCTTGAATTTGGGCATTTTATGACTATTGGGACCCCACCTGAATCCTGAGCTTTTCTGCAATTCGCTCTTCCAGGTAGATGGGCACGATAGGAAGAGAGGTGATGGTGGAGACTCAGTAGTAACAGCCTCACGCCCACTCCTTCCTTCCCTCCTGCCCCTCCTCACGGGCTAGCTCCCCTCAAGACCTAGGGGGTAGTGGGCAGCAAGACTCAGGCCTGGCGGACACACACACACACACACACACACACACACACACACACACTTATCTAGGGCTGGGCTGCAGTGGGTGGTTGGTGTCATGGTGGTCAAAGGCCTGCTGAGCATGAGCATGTGGGTGGCCCTGGGTCCATCCCGAGCACCACAAATGAAAACAAAACAAGCTGCTCAGTTCTAGAGTTTGGAATGCTTTATTCCAGAAAGCAGGAAAGTATTCCCTGTGTTCCTGTCTTACTTATACCAAGTGCTTTCTTTTCCCTGCTGGGTTCATTATGCAGTTTCCTTTTAAAATTATTTTATTTAAGAAAAGAAACATTGGATTTAAAGAAGGAAGTCATCGCACGAGGCTATGCGGGCATGCACATGGGAGCTGGTGGCACAATTGCTTCAGCTGACCTCCAAAAGTCCCACCTCCAGATCTCATCACGCTGGAGCCTCGAACATTGAGAGGCAAAGACAATACCCACAGTTCTTACCTGGGCTGGCTTTGGTGACTGTACCGGGCAGAGAGAATTTGTATGGGTCTCGTGCGCTGCTCCTGAGTCCACGAACCACAGGGCAGCCATGTTCACCCCATGTTCAGTCCTGGGTCTAGGATTCACTCAAACACAGGTGTGTGTGTAGTGTGAGTCTGGAGCCAGCACGTTCCTCTGCAGCTGCTCAGGAGGGAGGAGAAAGTCCCCGCACACTCAGGACTGAGCCCCGAGGCCACCCTTCCCCACTGACCTCACACGCTGGGTCTGTTTCTTCCTTAGAGACCATTGCTGAGCCCAGTGACATGAAGGAAGCCATGGAGATTATGCCCCAGACACTGGAGTATGGAATCCTAAATGCTCACACGCTCCACTTCCTGAGGGACGTCATCTGTGAGGCGAGTGTGGACAGAGGAGGGACCTCAGCACTTCTAAGAAGAAGGGCATCTGCTCTGTGTGTCCCACAGACAGGACGTGGCAGGCACTGTCGTGGGCACTGGCCAGCAGCAGGGCAGCTGACGTCCCCACACTTTGGGAACGTATAAAGGAAAGGACATAGCACACACACACAAGAAGACATCAGGGACAAGAAGACAGGGGACACAAGGAAACGGGTTGAGTGTGTGTACCGGGGGTGGTGGGAAGGGGTGACCTTAGTGATGGGGGTGACAGCTGAGCTTTCTTTAAGAATCAGTAAATTTGGGGAGGCTGAGGTAGGAGAATTGCAAATTCAAGGTCAGCCTGGGCTATATAGAGAGACCCTGTCTCAAAAAAATCACCCCTCCCAAGTACCAGACGATTCATAAACAGGTCAGTTTTTGCCAGTTATTAGGGAAAGACTGAGAACCGAGGGGGTGGTGCTGGATTGAGTCCCAAATGAGATGAGGGCACCAGGCCCGTGGGAAAACCCTGGGGTTGAACAAACTCAGGTCAGGGACTGAGCATGGCCGGGCCAGCCTGGCTGGCGAGAAGCAAGGGTCCAAGCAGGGGGATAACAAGGTCTGGTGTGCATTTTCCCTCCACTGCAGTGTGAAAACACGCCATGGGGTGGGAGAAGAGGTGAAGGGAAGAGAAGACCCCTAGGAGGTGTGGGGTGCTGGTGCGGGGGTTGGGGGCTACTTAGGTCCCAGGGTTCAACCAGGATGGGGAGGGAGAGGCAGAAGCATCAAGGATGCTTTGGGATAGCGTCAGCGGGGCTTGCCCTGAGAGAGAGAGGTGGCCCCTGGGGTTCAGACCTGAGAACGAGGTGGGGTCTCTGCTGAGATGGGGTGAGGGGGAGGAACAGATCTGCAGGGGATCCTGTGCTAAGCTTGAGAGGCCAGTGAGACATTGAGACTTGGGGTGGGACGAGCAAGTTTATGGAAGGCTCAGGCATCATCCAGGGGGTGTTTGTTGAATGACTTCCATATCCCATAGTGGTGGTCAACTCAGAGGTGGTCTCTGCCTCACGGAGCCCATAGCCGAGCAGGAAGAGTTACATTAACGGGATAAGGAGAAAGTGTACATAATGACACAGGTTAAGGAGAAACATGAAGCCAGCTAGGACAAATGGGAAATAGAGAAATAAGGGCAGGAGGGGTGGGAAAAGTTAGTAGGTGGGAAGTGGGGCTTGGATTATTGGATAGGGTAGCCAGAAAGACCTCACGGACAGGGTGGACTTTTGTCAAAACCATTGCAATATTTTTTGCTTGGACCTTTGCAGTAGTCTCCCACACCACATCTTCCACATGACATCCAGGGTGATCCTTTGCAAGGTGGGTGCTGATGGCACAGGGAGGCATAAGACCAAGTCCATGGATGAACGGCAGAGCGAGAGGAGGTAGACGAAGGGATGGAAGTAGGTGGGGCACTAGGGGTGGCCAGCTGTGCCAGTCGTGGGCAAAGAAGGGCTGGTGGTTCGGCAGCGGTGACTCCATGTGAACAGTTCCTGCAGAGGTCAGTGGAAGTCAGCTGAGGAGTGGCCAGGGAGGTGTCACGGAACACACATGGCTCTGTCCACTGGGCAGACTGGACACCCCCTGCTGTGCTGGCCACACATGAGATTCCCCAGGGTGCTGTCCTTCACGCAAGGACTTCGTCCCACAGCATGACTTCAGAGCAGTCAGGAACACTGGCCACTTTCTTGAACAAATCAAACTTCTCAAACCAGAGTAACACCAGAACATGCCATAATTAATTCTACCTGTTTGCACAGGTTAAGTAACCAGCAATCGAACTTTCTCTCCTTTCTGTTACTTTAATGCAGTAAAAACAAAACAAAAGTAAAACGTTGCTTTTGAGACAGGGTGTCACTCTTTGCCCAGGCTGGTCTCAAATTTTCCATCCTCCTTCCTCAGACTCCTAAGTGCTGGGATTTCAGGTATAATCCCTTTAAAATTCTCTTTTTTTTTTTTTGAGAGGTGGTGCACCGTTCCTGGAGTTACTGTAGTACCAGGTCGATGTGTGGAGTGGATGGAGCAAATCCTGTTCCATCTCCGTGTTCTAAAAATCCATTTAATATATTGTCCTCGGAGAGAGGACATATGAGCTATTAAACTGATAAGAACAGATACTGCACTTCATCTTAGCCAAAAGGCCAAGAAGTGATTAAAATTCTTTTTAAATTCAATTAAATTAATTAATTTTGGAGACAAGGTCTTGCTATGTATCCCAGAATCCTCCTGCCTCAGCCTCCTGAGTGCTGGGATTACAGCGGTGCACCATCACTCTTGGCGTAAATTCTTTTTTAGCTTCAAAATCCATATGCTCATTATGAAAGCTCAAACATTCCAGAAACACAAAAAGGAGACAGTGGAATTCCCACAAATGCCCTCAGTCCACCAGAGACACCCTGCTAGCATCATACAGATGTCCTGCCACATTGGTTGGGCGGGTCTCTGCTGCCATGTCCACCACTGAGACTTTGCACAGTCACGTGGGTCCATCTGAAGAGACCCGCACCTGCTGGCCACACGGCTGTTACCTTCAATAAGGACAACGGGTGCCCTGGAATGAAATCCATCAGATAGCTTCAAGTCCATAAGTTCCTGATGACGCTTAACGATCACAGAGAGGCACTTTGAGAGGACTCGGGATTCGGTTCATTAATTTGACAGTTGAAGAGGAGAGAGGCATTTACACCGCCTTCCTTCTCCAAAATGTGCCCATCACCCAGTGGTAGTGGAGAGGGGTGATTCTGTGCAAAGTGTTTCAGCTAACAGGAAGAAATTTGAGAGTTTTAGAAGACCAGAAGCCTGATTTTATAATAATCCTGTAGTATATTGTAATTGATGTGATAGCTTATACCCTAATAAGAATATCTCAAATTTTAGAATGCTTAGAATAGAGACTATTTGAATTTGGTTTTAGATCCATGGATTAATGGATCTAGATTTTGAGCATCAGTGGATAAAACAGAAAGAGAGGGAGTCAGAGAGAGAGGGAGAGAAAAAGAGGGAGAGAGAGAAACAGAGGGCTGGGGCATGGCTAAAGCAGTAGAGCACCTGCCTGGCAAGCATGGGGCCCTGAGTTCAAACCCATCACAGTCTCCCCCTCCCAAAAAAAAGAGAGAAAGCAAGAGACAAGAGGAACAATTATTTGTGTCCTGATTCAGACATCAGCGATGTTGGTGAAGGTGTATTTTGGGTGTCTTTGCAGCTCTGGGATGGAACCCAGGGCCTCACCTGGGCTAGGCCTGCGGAGGCACAGAGGGCCAGGCCCACGGTGCCACAGCGCGAGGCCAGCAAGATCCATGCAAGCTCCAAGATCCAAAGGCAGCATCCTGATTGCAGGAAATAGATTAAAACGGTCTTAAAAATATATCCAAATTTTAAGGAAAAAAAAAAAAAGAGCAAGCTAAAAACCAGAACCACAGCTGGACCAATCAAATCAACCCATGTGATTTGCATATCACGTTTTGTGTACGTGAGGGGAAGTTGTTTTGGAATTGTGTTCAGGTGATGTTACCAATACATGCTTCTGTTCCCAGCTAAGTGTCAAAAAGCCGGCGGCCTCAGGACTCTCTTTGTTTCTCTGTGGTCTTAGCATGGCACTGACTGTGGGTGACACAGTGTCTCACTCCCCAGGCCTCAGTGTTTAATGTCCGCATTACTGATGGCATCCCTGAAGACATGCAGGGTTGGTTTCTAGGCTGTTAAAATTCTTACCATTGGGCCATTTTAAGCTGTACTCTGGCTTTGAATAGTTTTTCTCTTTGCATACCTTTTCTTCTCTTGCAGTGCTGGGAATTGAACCCAGGGCCTTGCACATGCTAGGCAAGCGCTCCACCACTGAGCTCCACCTCCAGCCCATGGACTTTCGAGACAGGGTCTCACTATGTAGCCATGCTGGCCTGGACCTTGCTGTGCAGCCCAGGCCCTGGAGCTATCACCTGGCTCCCTTGTGCACAACCTGACAGGACACTGAAGGCTGGGTGGCATAATCGTGTGAGTTGTTGAAATGATGTCAGTGACTTGTCCGTGAACTTGGTCTTGCAGGTTTTCTTGCCGGCCCTGTCCTTTAACCAGCACAAGGCGGACACAGGCCTGGGAGCCTCATCTGCGGATGTCCCTGAGATGGCTGAGCACGAGCCGGAGCAGCCCAGCACACACGCAGAGGCCGTGGAGTACCACAGTGCGCAGCTGATCCGTGACGAGTTCCTGATGAACATTCAGAAATTTGAGGGCAGCATCCAGAGGACCATACAGCAGCTGGAAGGTCGGTCCCCATCTATGAATGACCGATTCACCCAAGGAAGGCCATGCAAGAGCTTGGGAGGGGTTTTCTTTGTTTGTTTGTTTGGTTGGTTTTTTACTTTTTTGTGGTACTGGGGTTTGAACTCAGGGCCTTCACCTTGAGCCACTCCACCAACCCTTTTTTGTGATGGTTTTTTTCAAGGTAGGGTCTCATGAACTATTCACCTGGACTGGCTTCAAACTGAGATCCTCCTGATGTCTGCCTCCTGAGTAGCTAGGATTACAGGCGTGACCATGGGCACCTGGCTGTTTATTTTTAATTTGTGATAATTCTTGCTTACATGCTCAGGGGATGAAAGACACTGACCCCATCATTATAAGAGACTCAAGAAGGAGCCTGGCACCGTGGTGTGCACCTGTCCCCCCAGCTATGCAGGAGGCATAAATAGGGGAATTGTGGTCCAGGCTGGCCCGGGCATAAGTGTGAGGCCTTATTTAAAAATAATTAAAGCAAAAGGGGCTGGGGCATGGCTCAAGTGGTAGAGTGCCTGCCTAGCAGGTTCAGGACCCCTAGCTGGGTAAGCCAGGTATGGTGGTACACACCTGTAGTCCCAGTTACTCAGGAGGCTTAAAGTTGAGACCAGCCTGGGCAACACAGCAAGAACCCCGTCTTCTTCCAAAAATAAATAAGCAAATAAATAAAAAATTGTGAAGATGTTTGAAAGAATGTTGCTTATTAATCGTAAAAGCTCTGTTACCCTTTTTCTGCAACATTCATAAATGTTGCAGAAATGTTCCAGAGTGAGTTTTTTTATTTCTTAATTATTTTATCTTTTGATGATACTGGAGTTTTTTATATGTTTTTTTTTTCACAGTACTGAGATTTGAACTCAGGTCCTCATGCTCACTAGGCAGGCACTCTACCACCCGAGCCACTCCACCAGCCCTGTTTTGTGATGGGTTTTTTCAAGATGGGGCTCAAGAACTATTTGGTGGAGACTGGCCTTGAACCTTGATCCTCCTGATCTCTGCCTCCTGAGTAGGATACTGGAATTTTGAACTCAGGGTTTTGTGCTTGTGAGACAGGTACTGCAGCCTGCAGAGTGCATCTCTAATATAAACATACTATATTTTATATACTTAGAGCAAACATATTAAAAATGTCAATAAACACATGCATGTATTAAATTTATTATAGTGATAAACACATGAAATTTAAAACACTGGTAAAGTAACAGATACTAACTGAAGACTGACCGTGCTGTAACTTCTATTTCTAGAAGCTTCTATTCTTTTAGAAGAAGATGGGTGCCTGTAGCTTCTATTTCTTTTCTTTTGTTTCCCGTCTTTTTGGCTTTGTATTTTATTTTGATAAAATGTTCTTTAACTTTTATCTTCTCAACCTGGAGTTTTCATATCACTTATTACATTTTTAATTGTTAGAGTTCTTATTCTCCAATGGTACTTTTTTCATTGCGTTCTGTTCTTGATTCATGGTTTCCGTATCATCTCAAATCTCCGAGACAAATAGTTGGGATTTAAAAAATTCTTCTTTTCCTTATAATCACCTCAGTTTCCTATGAAGTGATTTTTTTTTTTTGTTTATCCTTGTTTCATGCTCGAGGCTTTTTAAAATAGCTATTGAACTCTGTGTGTTCAACTTTTAAAAATTGAACTCACTAGGTTTTAAATTCAGGAACATCTTAAATAACTCATTTTGATTAAACTCACCACTGAAACAAGTACCTAAAACATTTTAATTAAATTTTCTTCTCCTTTTTTTTTTTCTTTTGTGGTGCTGGGGCTTGAACCCAGAGTCTTGGGCCTAGTAGGCAAGTATTCCTCAGCCAAAAGAATGTTTTTGGGGGGCTGGTACTGGGATTTGAACTCAGGGCCTTGCACTTGCTAGTGGTACTTTACCACTTGAGCCACACTCCCAGCAGTTTTTGCTTTAAGTATTTTTCCAATAGGGTCTCAGCCTGGCCTGGATCTGGATCCTTCTGTTTACACTTCCTGCATAGTTGGAATGACAGCTGTTCACTGCCAGCTTCAAAAACTTTTTTTTTGTTTTTGGTGGGACTGGAGTTTGAACTCAGGGCTTCACTTTTGCAAAGCAGGAGCTCCACTATAGTCCATTTTGCTCTGGTTATTTTGGAGATGGGGTTTGTCAAACTATTTGCCCAGCCTGACCTCAAACCTTGATCCTCCCAATCTCAGCCTCTCAAATAGCTAGATTTACAGACATGAGCTACTGGTGCCTGGAAACAAATTTTTTTTTTTGAGATGAGGGTCTCCCTGTGTTGGCCTTGAATTTGTGGTCTTTCTGCCTCAGCCTCCTGAGTGGCACGTGCCACTGTGTCCAACTGAATTACAGTCTGATAGAGAGACTTCCCTAGGGACCAATGAAGGCAAGGGGTGAGATAGCAGCCTTTCCCTCACTGGTGCTGGAGGAGGAGCCAGCTGGCCACCTTGAATGCTATTGTTTGGAACCGTCTTCCCTAAACTAGCAGCTGACTGACCGTTGTCCTTCTGCCAGGTGAGATCAAGCTGGAAATGCCAACCGTCAGCGTGGAGGGGGAGGTGTCCGAGCTGGCAGCGAACCCAGAAATCATGGAGGCCTTGGAGCAGTGTGTGATCAACTGGCTAAATCAGATATCAGCTGCTGTGGAGGGCCAGCTGAAGAAGACACCCCAGGTGACTGTGCCAGGCTTTTCAGGATCCTTGTTCATACTAAGCACCTGAGAAAGAGCTGGGAGTCTGGGAACCAGACTGAGATGGTTTCTTCCCTTACTGTTTTGTGACTTCCTTATGCAGGCTCAATAAATGCACCTGAGGTGTCACTCCTGGGCTTTGTGGGTTCAGTGTACAACCAGATTACTGCCTTGGTTGAGAGACATAATTCTGACATGATTCTGAGTATCAGCCAGGATGCCCAATCAGGAAACCCAACTCAACTGGCTTCAACAAGAAAGAGACTTTCTTGGCTTGTATACCTGAGAAGTCCAGAGGCAATGCCAGCTTCAGGTCTGGTTTGATCCAGGACTCTGGCTGTGTGTCCCTGTGACTCCCTTGGTGGAGGCTTCCTCTCAGGCTGGCCTCCTTCATAGTAGCAAGTTGCAGAAGTTTCTGCCCCACACCGCATACCACATTGTCCAGGGGAAGGCTGTATCTCTGTCTGAAATTCTTAGATTCACACGCCCATCCCTCAAGACCCAGTGTGGACTGGCGCCTGTACAGATTTGGAGAAGTGAAGAGAAATGACCACCCTGCACTAACACGCTGAGAACTGCTTGTGTGTTCGTGTCCCTTCCCAGGGTAATGGCCCTCTGGCTGAAATCGAATTCTGGCGGGAGCGAAACGCAACCTTAAGCGCGCTGCATGAACAAACCAAGCTTCCCACAGTCAGGAAAGTCTTGGACGTGATCAGGGAAGCAGATTCCATGCTGGTGGCCAACGCACAGCCCGTCCTCACCGAGCTGTTCAGGTTCCACACAGAGGCCTCAGACAACGTGCGCTTCCTGTCCACCGTGGAGCGCCACTTCAAGGTACACCTGGCGTGGGGAAGCCAGCGCCGAGGGCGGGCGCACGGGTGTCGTGTTTGGAAGCCTGGGCCTCGTGCCTGGTGGGCCAGTGCTCCCCCACTGAGTTCCACCCCAGCTTAATTCAGTGTTTAAAATTCATTGTCATATTTGTCATTTCGTCCACTTCTAAGTGACCAGTCCGCTGGTATTAAAGAGACGCAGGGTGTGTGCCTGTCACCGTGGTCTCTACCCAAAATGTGTCACCCCCAGCTGAAACTCCTAAGCCTCCCTTTCTTCTTCTTCTAAGCTCCTGGTGACCTCTACTCTACCTATTTTTTTTTTGGCAGTACTGAGGTTTGAACTTAGGCCTCATACTTGCTAAGCAGGTGCTCTACCACTTGCCAGTCCTTTTGAGTTTGTTTATTTTTTTGCAGATAGGTTCTTGTGTTTTTGCTGGGCTGGCCTTGGCCACAATCCTCCTACCTGTCTGTCCTGAGAGCTGGGATTAGAGGTGTGCACCACCATACCTGCCTCTCAGGTTAGCTTTTGTGTGGTCGGGCACGCCTGTAATCCCAGCACTCAGGAGGCTGAGGCAGGAGGATTGCAAGTTTGAATTAGTGACACCCTATCTCAGAAAAAAAAAAAAAGAACAGAGAGAGAAGAGGGGGTCTAAGGATGTGTGTAGGTTCTGTGCATACAGTGCCCCATCTTGTAGAAGGGAATTGTGCAGCCACAGATTTGGGAATGGAGGGTCCTGGCACCAAACCCCAAGGGTACTGAATGACGACTGTACATCTGTGTCCTCTGTGTGCATACTTGCACAGTACTACTCCACCGCTATGTTGACTTTTTTTTTTTTGTGGCACTGGGATTTGAACTCAGGGCCTAGCACTTGCCAGGCGGGATCCCCTCAGTCATCCCCGTGTTGCCTTTCGCTGTCCTCCTGTACCAGCGTGGACAGCCCATTGCTGGTCAATCACTCTCCTCCGTGACATCATTCCCTTGTGAGTTATCTGACCTGTTGGTGGCGCTGGGATTTGAACCTGCAGAACCTCACACACGGTGCCAGCTTCCGCGTGGTGCTGGACACCATCCCGTCCATGATGAGCGCGCTGAGAATGGTGTGGATCATTTCGCGCCACTACAACAGGGATGAGCGCATGGTCCCGCTCATGGAACGCATCGCCTGGGAGATCGCCGAGCGCGTGTGCAGGGTGGTCAGCCTGCGCACGCTCTTCAAGTGAGTGGCTGAGGCGGGTACAGCAGTGTCCCCACCCCCACCCAGGCCCCGGAGCCCTGCACAGGGCCTTTTGTGATCATCACGTTTTCAAGGCTCGTCACATCATGGATGTGTCAGTGCTCCGTTCCTTTTTATGGCTGAATAATATTCCTTTGCTCATATACACACAGGCACATATACACTATTCACCAATGAATATTATATTCTAATTGTGCAAGTGGAATATATATGTATAGTTCCACATATTACATACATAGTTATATATTTATATATGTATTTAAAATTTAAGCTGTGACTTTCTGCCCTGGTATACTTTTACACTTGGAGACAGAAAGGCCGAGGGTCAGGGAATCCCTAAGCCCCCTTGGGTGGAGCAGCACTTTGGATGTTGTGGTGGCGGGGGCGGGGGGCAATGGAGACTTTTTTCTTCCATTTTTTTTCCTTTGGCGCTGGGGATGGAGCCTAGGGTCCCTCCACGCTAAGCACACCTCCAGCCCCTTTTCACTTGCTTAGAGCAAATCTCTATAGGTACCATTGTCTTGGCTGTGTCATTTGGCTCCAGGGTTGCAGGTGGCTTGATGACCTGTGGTCTGGGGGGCCTCGGCCACCTGTCCCCCCCTTACCTAGCAGGGAGGCACATGTTTGGGCCTGGTTTGGGCAGTTGTGGGGAAGGCCAGCCTGGCCTGGCCTACCTGGGGACCCCCTGGTTTCCCTTGGGAGCTGATGAGACTTCTCCCAGGACACCCGCTGCCCTGGGTTTGGGCTTGGATGGTCATCCCCTCAGGTCCCGACTCTTCCTCTCCCAGGGAGAACCGAGCCAGCGCGCAGCACAAGATCTTGGAGGCCAAGCAGACCCTCACCCTGTGGAAGAAGGCCTACTTCGACATCCGGGCCAAGATCGAGGCCTCGGGCCGAGAGGCGCGCTGGGAGTTCGACCGGAAGCGGCTGTTTGAAAGGACAGACTACATGGCCTCCATCTGTCAGGACCTGTACGACATCCTGCAGGTGGGCACCATGTCCTCCCTGAGGCACTCGGGGGAGATCAGAGTTGGCCTTTCCCTGCCAGGACCCGTCATGGCAGCTAGAAGCTGGGGTCTGAAAGGGCTTGGCAAGGGAGAAACTCTTGAAGGAAGAACTTCTAGCATCTTCTGGAATGTTCCAGAATGTCCCACTGCACAGCAGACCCTTTCCTTGTCTTCTGTGATGTCCCTCGCCCCGTCAGCTGCTCCTTCTGTGTCTTTTGTCAGCTCGGTGCCCGAGCCGAGCCATCATGGTCTGCATGTTGTTGTGGATGCAACTCGCTCACCCATGCTGACTTTGAGTCTTTCTGTTAAACGCTGGGGCTCCCCCGAGGCCTTCTGTCCTCAAGCCATGTCCTCCGTGTGGATCTGGTCCCAGCCACTCTTGGGTGGGTAACAACAGTGCTTGGTGTCTGGCAGAATGAACTGGTCACAGCCATTGGTTCAATCCGTCCATCCATCCATCCTCAATATCCCTGGAGAACTCACCAGGGCCAGGTGTGCGTGGCCACTGCCAGGGAGACAGCATGAGTGACACCAGGGCCGGTCCATCATGGCAGAGATGCAGGCCCCTTGTTTATAAACCAGACAAAACATGAATTATTTTCTTCCCATGCCTGTCTTCTTGTCACGGCTTTTCCGGTTTGTCATGGCAGTAGCAGAGGAAAGAAAAGAAAGTGAAGAAACATGAAGCTTTTAAATTGCTAGTATTTTTTTGGTGGTACTTAGATTTGAACTCAGGGCCTCAAGCACTCTCCACTTGAGCCACGCCTCCAGGCCTTTTGCTCTTTGTTTGCAAAAAGGTCTGCTTTTGTCCAGACTGGCCTCCTAGTGCAATCCTCCTCCTCCTCCCTCCCAAGTAGCTGGGATTATAGGCATAAGCCACATGCCCAGCCCCTGGTAACATGATTTTTGTACATCATCTTTATACGGTGTGAGGTGCGTTTAAAATGCACACAGTCCAAATGCAGACTTGCTGAAGGGACAGTTCGGATTTTGTAGCATGCACAGATCTTTGCTCTTTTTATGTCACTTCTGGCTGCTTGCCATCTTCCCAACACTCTCCCCTTCAGCCTACGGCTGGGGTGGGAAGGACTGAAGGGAAGCCTCTGGCTGCCCTGTCTTGGATGCTGTCATTTCCAGCAAAGGTAAGGCTGGTTAACAGGGGAGGTCCCAGAAGGGAGAAAGAACAGGGCAGGGTTCCTTGGTCACATGTGTTTCTTTGGTTCCATTTTTTTTTGGGGGTGGGGGGCAGAACTGGGGTTTGAACTCAGGGCCTCATGCTTGCTAGGCAGGTGTTCTACCTCTTGAACCCTGGGTATTTTCCAGACAGGGTCTCATGAACTATTTGCCCGGCTGGCTTCAAACTGCAGTCCTCCTGATCGCTGTCTCTGGAGTAGCTAGGATCACAGGCGTGAGCCCGGCTCTTCGGTTCCATTTGAACCGAGCTCAGGTCCGGATGGAAATGTGGCCCCCAGCTGCCAGTACCCTGCGTGCTTGCCATAGACGCAGTGTGGAGACCTACACGGTCTCTGTGGGAAGTCCCTGCTGGTGGCGGCATCACGGTGCTGTGTGTGAGTGAGTGGGACGGTAAAGACCCGCAGCCAGGCAGGTTCCTCTCACCTCTGCTCACACATTCCATCAGACTTCATTCACAAAAACAAATCCAGGGATAGAATCACTGCTGCCATCATCAGAGCCGTAAGCCCAGCCCAGGGCCCGTCTGGGTATCTGGTCCTGTGCTCCTGTCTGGCTCAAATGCCCAGCAAGTGTTGGGCACAGGGAAGTGGTGTTTAGTGTTGGGTAGGAGCTAGTGAGGCCCTTTGACCTGCAGGTGCAAAGGCCCTGAGGCAGGACGGATGAGAAACTGGAGGAGGGCCGGGTGTCTGCAAGGCTGCGGGGGGGGGGGGGGGGTCAGTATGGTAAGAGGGACGTCCTGGCCTTGTAAGTTGTCTTTGCACCTTGCCAGTCCCTCAGTGGGCTTGGTACCAGCAGTCTCAGAGGGTGGAGTCTTACTCATATGACATGATTCTTGCCTCTGTAAATCTAGCCGTGACTTCCATCTGTAGCTATCATATCCACCAGGACGCAGAAATGTCGCCCTTCATTGTCCTGTTGGATCACACAGGTTTTGGAGGAATTCTACAACATATTTGGTCCTGACTAAAGGCCGTGACGGGAGACCCCAAGCGCATCGATGATGTCCTTGGCAGAGTGGACAGCCTGGTCACCCCCATGGAAAGCCTGTCCTTTGACCCCTTCTGCATCACATCCTCCCAGTACTGGAAATATGTGATGGACGACTTCAAGATCGAAGTTTTGGCAAGTAACACACCATCCATCCCACCGTGGCGGTGGAGGACACACTTCCCTGGAGTTAGCTTTGGTTCTTAGCTTTTGAATTGTTTAGTGATGTTTACAGGGTTTTTGTTTTGTTTTGTTTTTGATTTTTTTTAAATCGCAAAAAGTGGTACCTGTTGGGCGCCGGTGGCTCACACCTGTAATCCTAGCTGCTTGGGAGGCTGAGATCAGCAGGACTGTAGTTGGAGGCCAGCCCAGTGAATAGTTTATGAGATCCCATCTCCAAAATAACCAGGGCAAAATGGACTGGAGGTGTGGCTCAAGTGGTAGAGCGCCTGCTTTGCTACGTGAAGCCCTGAGTTCAAACCCCAGACCCACAAAAAAAAAAAACCCAAAAAAACCCCAAAAAGCAAAAACAAAACTGCTGGAGTGGCTCGAGTGGTAGAGTGCCTGCCTAGCAAGCGTGAGGCCCTGAGTTCAAACCCCAGTGCCACCAAATAAAATAAAATGACACTTAAACAAAACAAAAAGTAATACCTTTGATTCATAAAAAAAATAGAGCCAATAGAAGACTGTGTAAGGTATAAGTGACAATTCCCTGTGGTCTCCTCTGGCTTTTATTCCCTAGGAAGAATAAGTTCTTGTTGTTTTTTTTTGTCCTCTCAGTACTGGGGTTTGAGCCACTCCACCAGCCCTTTTTTGTGCTGGGTTTTTTGAGATAGGATCTCATGGAACTATTTGTCGGGCCTGGCTTTGAACTTCAGTCCTCCTGATCTCTGCCTCCTGAGTAGCTGGGATTACAGGCATGAGCCACTGGCGCTAGGCTGATAAATTTTCACTAAGGGGACACAGTACCATCCCACAGAGTTGTGCTGATACAATGTAACTCCTCCGGCTTTTGAATCAAGGACAAATAAACTCTGTAACCAAGCCGCGCCAGGCTGACCTGTCTTCTGTCCCCTGGTCTCATGTCCTCTTTTCTGTTGACTCCTTTGTTTTTCTGGAGCACATTTCTCAGTAGTTTCTTCAGAAAGGTCTCCCCAGACACACATAGGTGTTGGGTGTCAAAGGCATGAACTGTGAAATAACAGTCAGGTAGAGAATTTAAGGTTGGAAATAACTTTTCTTCAGACAGTTGACCACATTCTTCATCAGCTTGTGGCTTTCAGTGCAATTAGTCTACTCTGACTTATTTTTTCTACAGCGAACTCTGCTTTTTCATAGGGTGGAGCGGGATGGGAGGACGGGAAGGATGGGGACACCCTCTTCCCTCATCTCCCTCCACCCCTCCTGCTCCTCGCCACAGCCTCCAAATGCTCAGAGCAAAAAGAGGCTCACTTGTAACTCTGTAGTCTGTGAAATTAGTTGCTCTGCTTCTGAATCTCTTCCTGCTGTTGTACCCTCTTCCATGGGATTTTTTTTTTAATATGACTTAACACTTAAAAAAATTTTTTTATTTTGGCAATACTGGAGTTTGAACTCAGGGCCTCATGCTTGCTAGGCCAGTGCTCTCCACTTAAGCCACGCCTCCAGCCCTTTTCCTTTAGTTATTTTTCAGATAGGTTCTTGAGTTTTTACCTGGGGCTGTCTTGGGACCACAATCCTCCTACATTCAGCTTTCTAAATAGCAGGGATTATAGCTAGACATGACTCACCACACCTGGCATATTGGTTGAGACGGGGTCTTGCTAACTTTTTGCCTAGGCTGGCTTTGAGCAGAGATCCTCCCAATGTTCACCTCCTGAGTAGCTGGGATTATAGATGTGAAGCTCTGGCTTGACTTCATATTTTTATTTCCTTCCCCCTTGTTTGGAAGTGGTTGGTGACAGATTAAAAAAAAAATCATGGCAGTCAATCTACTAATTTTAATCAGGTAGACGTGCAATAGGAATTTGTCTCAAGACACTGAATTTTTTTCATTTCTGGCTACTTTGTTCCTGCAGGATAATTACAGGAATTTTAATTTTAATTTTAACTTTTAAAATTTTTTTGTAGGTTATTGAGAAAGAAGCAAAAAATTTTATTGATGAATCTTTTAAGACGCTTCGCTCGGCTGAAGCGGCATTTGACATGCTTTTGAAATTCAAGCACATCCGGTCACGGGAGGCCATCAACCGACAAATGATGATGAAGTTCAATGACATTCTCGCACAGTACTGCAAAGAGGTGACTGACAAACCGCTGGGCGAGGGGACACCTGGCAAATGAGCCGAGTCACGCTGGTACCTCCCGTCCCACCCAAATGCAGAGGCTCTGGCAAGTCCCCGAGTAAGCGTGGCACAGAGTATCGGTAGCGAGGTGGGTTTGTTTATCTAGTGGAGGAATTTGATACGAGTGTATCGAGTGTGGTGTTACATACCTCGCATCGGGGTAGGTCTGTGCATACTCATAGTGTAGGGTCATGCCTACCCTTGTCCAGGGGCTTATAATTAATTCAGAAAAATGCATCTGACACTTCCACAGTCCATGGAATGGTGTTGGGCACAGAGATTGTGAGATTAACAAACATCAGGTTCTGCCTTTAAAGAAATCAGTATCTTGGTAGCTCACACCTGTAATCCTAGCTACTTGGGAGGCTGAGGATCATGGTTGGAGGCCAGCCTAGGAAAATAGTTTGAGAGACCCCCATCTCCAAAATAACCAGAGCAAAATGGACAGGAGGTGTGGCTCAAGTGGTAGAGCACTTGTTTTGCAAGCAGGAAGCCCTAAGTTCAAACCCCAGTCCCATCAAAAAAGAAAACAAATCAGTATCTTGTGGAATAAACCGACAAAAATGAATATATTCATACTCAGATGAAATGAGGGCAGGGGAACAGATTAGGCCCCCCTCCATGGGGTAGGGTGACCAGGTAGGATGACAAAAGCCTGCACTGATGTCAGGTATCGGCCCCTGACTGTCCCTGTAACAAGCCACCATCATGGAGAGCTTAAACGGCACAGGTTTATAATCCGCCGTACTGGAGGCCAGAAGTCTGTCGCGGTCTCACTGTTAATGCGGGTGTCAGCAGGGCTGCCTTCCCTCCTGGAACCTCCAGTCACCCCCTCCGCCTGCGGCTCCCTCTGCCCTCTTTGCCTCCCTTGAATGCTTTAAGGACCTTGTCATTACAGGGGGCTGGCCAAAAAATCCAGGTGTCTGTCTGTCCCAAGCTCAGATGACTGGCTAAGCTTAATTGCATCTGCATCCCAGACTTCCCCTTGTCACAAAACATTACACAGTCACAGGTTTTGGAGATTAGAGGTGGACATCTTGAGGGGTCATTGTTGTGCTACTGCTCAGACATTCTCCTCCTCCTCCTCTTCTACCTCCTCCTCCTTGCTTTCCTTCTTCCCTTCTTCAAGGTGCTAAGGATCAAACTCAGGCCCTTGCAAGTGCTCTGCCATTGAGCTACATCCTAGCCAAGAAACACTTCTAAAATGCAGGTTTGGGAGTGGGTGTGGTCAGGCATGTCTGTAATCCCAGCTATTCAGGAGGTAGAGATTGGGAGGATCCTGGTTAGAGGCCAGCCCAGGTAAGTTAGCGAAACACCATCTCAATAACAGGCTAGGCATCGTGGTGTGTCCTTGTGATCCCAGCTACACCAGAGCCCGCCATGCCTCATGCTTGCTGGGCAGCCTCTCTACCACTGGAGCCATGTGCCCAGATAGTCTCACACTGACTTTGCCTGGGCTGGCCTCGAACCATGATCTTCCTACCTCTACCTCCAGAATATCTGGGATTATAGGCATGCACCACCATTCCCGGCTCTTGATTTCTAACTTGTGTTTCTTCAAAGATTCGAACCTCAACTTACATCTTTCTCTGTGGCTGACAGAATATCTCTGATTGCTTTTCAGATCGACATAGTCAATAAGATCTTCGTCCAGAACCTGGAGAGCCCACTTCTGTACAAGAACCACCCTCCAGTGGCGGGTGCCATATACTGGGAGCGGTCACTGTTCTACAGGATCAAACACACCATTCTCCGCTTCCAGGAGGTGGAGGAGATACTGGACAGTGAGCGGGGCCAGGAGGTTGGTCTCCTGCAGGACCCGAGCTGGGACCCCAGCTGAGGCCTCCCGTAGCAGGGAATCGCTAGGTTTCAGTGCTCGCTACCACAGCAGGCTGAGTGGAGAAACAGCTGGACTCCAAACCCATGCCTGCACCCCCCACGGCCTCCCCTGGGGTCCTCGATTTGGGGCTCATACTCCAAACTGCCTCCTGGCTTCTCTCTCTCTGGCACCTTAATACACAGGACCCCTTCTGGGAGCAAGTGGGCATCTCCTCGCACTCGACTTTGTTTTTCTTTTTGTCACTGGCCATCCCTGCAGCCCATTTCTGTATGTTATATTGTAGAGGTTTCTTTTTTTTTTTGGTGGCACTACAGTTTGAATTCAGGGCAGGCTCTCTACTGCTTGAGCCTCAGCCTTGTTTGCTTTGGTTATTTTTTGAATAGGTTTTCGAATTTACGCCCAGGCTGGCCTGGCCCACAGTCTTCCTATTTATGCTTCCTGTGTGGCTGGGATGACAGGCACACACCACCACACCCAGATTTTATTGATTGAGATGGGAGTCTCTCAACCTTTTTGCCAAGATTGGCCTTGAACCATGATCTTCCTGATCTCTGCCTCCCAAGTAGCTAGAATGAGAGGCATGAGCCACTGTGCCCATTTTTAAAATTATCATTAATTTTTTATTTGGAATATTCACTACACAGGGGGTTCATATGAGATTCCCATTAGGCTCATATTGTACATTACTTACATTGCCCAGCCTTTTGCCTCTTTTTTTCATGTAAAATATATCTATTTTGTCCTTTAAAAGGGCTGGGGGTCTGGATTTTTTTTTTTTGTTTTGTTTTTTGTTTTTCCCCTGCAGTACTGGGGTTTGAACTCAGGGTCTCATGATTGCCAGGCAGGTGCTCTACCACTTGAGTCACTCCTCCAGCCTGGGGTTCTGGTTTTAAATCAGGCTGCCAGCCTTGCACCAGTCAGTCTGACATTGCTCTCCTTGTCAACCTGGCTCCTGCTCACAGTGCTTCATTAAGTCCAAAAGAAAAAATATTGTTTGAATTTCAGGAAAAAAAATAGCACACTTTCTCTTTAAAGACCCGTTATAAACATTTCAAGCATTTGTGGGTTGCAACTCAGGAGGCAGAGATCAGGAGGCTCGAGGTTTGAGGCCAGCCAGGCAATAGTTCACCCATCTCAACCAATAAAAGCTGGGTGTTGTAGTGCAGGCCTGTCATCCCAACTATGCGGGATAAGTAGCATAAATAGGAGGATCGTGTTCCAGGGCGGCCTGGGCATAAAACTGCCTAGCAAGTGCAAGGCCCTGAGTTCAAATCCCAGTACCACCAAAAAATAAAATAAAAACAAAGTATTATTTCCAAGGACAAAATGGCAATTGTTTGAATTCTTTGACAGGTAAAACAAAAATATTTGGCAGTAGGTAGGACCATGAAAGAGTACGAAGATCGAAAGTATGAGCACTGGAAGGAGGCCACGGAGCAGGTCCTCCCGAACCTCATGAAGAAGAGTTTGCTCACTAAGGTGCGCCCCCTCCCTGCCATGGCGTCCTTCTCTCGAGGTGTGATGTGTGTGCCCTTCTGAGGTCAGTAGGGAAGAGATCGCAGACAGCATGCTGTGGGGTCAGGAACAGGGCTGGAACTGGCAGCCCCAGCATTTTTGTGGGCACAGTGCTTAACTTTGAGCCTCAGTTTCCCTGTTTGTGAAGTGGACTGGACAACATGACATAAGCACGCAAAGTATCATTGTGTAGGAATCGGCAGACGGGTGGCAGTTTTAACCTGCAGAGCCGCCCTTTTGTGTGACCCACTGCCTCTCCAGCTGTTCAGAAGAGAGACCCAGTCCTGGCAGTCTTAGGTCTTTGGTTCCTGAAACTCTGCCGAATTGTTCAAGTCTACCAGCATGAGGGGACAGGGCCAGGCAGGACCGACAGGGACCTGGATGGCTCAGGTCCTCCAAAGAGACAGCTCTGCTCAACTCCAGCCTATTCTCACCAGATGCCATTAGGTGTCCCCATGACAAAGGGAAGCCAGATTTCTTGATTTTTATGTATTTTCAAATATTGGTGACTAAGTTGAATTCTTTAAAAACTCTGTTCCCCTGCCAGTGGCTCACACCTGTAATCCTATCTACTTGGGAGGCTGAGATCAGAAGGATTGAGGTTTGAGGCCAGCCTGGGAAAACAGTTCTGGAGACCCCATCTCCAAAATAACCAGAACAAACTGGACTGGAGGTGTGGCTCAAGCGGTAGAGCACTGCTTTGCAAGCATGAAACCCTGAGTTCAAACCCCAGTTCCACAAAAACCCAACCAAACAAAACCAAAATCACTGTGTTCCCCAAACAGAATGCAGATTCCAGCCAGTTGCAGCCAGCTCCCCAGCATTTTGGGGAAAGGCCCTGCATCCACCCTTTCCAAATCAAGGCTCAGGCTGCCCTGGTTGGACCTGATTGTTCTCGGACTCCTCCCAAGCCTTTCTCTCCACAGACTTTGACCAGCAAGGAGACCACCACGGTGGAGAGGGGAGCCGTGTTTGCCATCAACTTTTCTCCTGCTCTCAGGGAGATCATAAACGAAGCCAAGTACATGGAGCAGCTGGGCTTCGCTGTCCCTGAGTTAGCAAGGAATGTAGCTCTTCAGGAGGACAAGTTCCTCAGGTAAAAGACGCTTCTCGCTATCTTTTTTTAGGTTGTGGGGACAGACTCCGGGGCCTGGGCATGCCAGGCAAGCGCTCTGCCCCAGCCCCAAAAGACTTTTTCTAAATCAGTTGGGAAGTCTTGGGTCTTAGGACCCCCTTTATGCTCTTAAAAATGGTTGGAGACCCCACTCTGGTGTTATGAGTTATAACTACCAATCTCAACCCGTTAGAAATTAAAACTATCTATGTATGAATTTTTTTACCAATCTAAAAAGCCAATAGAAAACTTATTTCACATATTCATGCAAATAACACTTTGTTTTGCTGGTGCTGGGGACAGAACCCTGTGCCTTATCCATGCTAGGCAAGCACTCTGCCACTGAGGCCCGCTCCAGCTCTCTGAAAATCTCTCTCTCTCTCTCTCTCTTTCTCTTTTTGGTGGCACTAGGCTTTGAACTCAAGGCTTCATATTTGCAAAGCAGGAGCTGTACCGCTTGAATCACTCCTCCAGTCCATTTTGCTCTGCTTATTTTTGGAGATGGGGATCTCTTGAACTATTTTCCCAGGCTGGGCTCAAACCATAATCCTGATCTCAGCCTCCCAGGGAGCTGGGATTACAGGCGTGTATCACTGTACCCAGCTCTGCAAATCTTTTGATCCCCATTGCAGGCTGGGTTGTGGTCTTTGGTAACCTGTGGATGTGGTCCTTGAGCTTCCTGTGTCCTGTCCCTATGTCTTTTGCCACCCTCCTTGTGACGCAGGTACACAGATGGGATGCAGCGTATGCTGGACCATTACCACGCACTCGTCAGCACGCTGAACGAGGCGGAGACGATCCTCTTGGATGACCATTCCCAGGAGCTCATCAGAGTGTTCCGGTCTGGGTACAAGAGGCTGAACTGGAACTCTCTAGGTACAGTGGGCTCTGTAGTCTCGGCTTTCCCTGGGTGGGGGTGGGGGACAGAGACAGGATGAGAGCCATTCTGACACTCATTGACCTCTCTCTAGCTTCCCAAAATAGAGCAGCCTTTACCTTTTTTAAATTAAACATTTGACTTGGAGACAATTTATATATTCATTTGCAGTTGTAAGGGTTAATATAGAAAAGTCTGGCGCTGGGTGGCTCACACTGTAATCCTAGCTACTTGGGAGGCTCAGATTGGGAGGATTGAGTTTCGAGGCTAGCTAGTGCAAATAATTTGTGAGATCCCATCTCCAAAATAACCAGAGGAAAATGGACTGGAGGGGTGGCTTAAGAGGTAGAGCGCTTGCTGGAGAGAAGAAGGAGGAATGAGAAGGGGAGGAGGGAGAAGAGGAGGAGGGGAAGATCCTCACAACTTGAGGAACACCTGGGTTGTTTCCAGTTGGGGGCTGTTGTGACTAAGGCTGTCATGAACGATTATGTGCAGGGTTTTATGAGCACGAGGCGCCTTCTTTCCTGGGACAAATGCTCAGGTGTTCAACTGTACAGCAGCTGCATGTTTAATTTTTACAAACCTGTCCGGTCTTGTTCTCCAGGGTGGCTGGGCCATTTACATGTCCACCGTCAGTGTCTGAGCGAGCTCATTTTGCGACTCCTCATGCCACTATTTTTATTTTGACTCTGATAGCTGTGTAATGATAACTCCTGTGCTTTTGGTTTGCATTTCTGTAAAGGCTGATGTGCGATACCTTCTCATGCTCACTTGCCATCTGTGGGTCTCCTTTTGTGGGATGTTCGTGCCTTTTCCTTCCCTCCTTCCTTCCTTCCTTCCTTCCCTTCCTTCTTCCTTCCTTCCTTCCTTCCTTTCCTCCTTCCTTCCTTCCTTCCTTCCTTTCCTCCTTCCTTCCTTCCTTCCTTCCCTCCCTCTCTCCCTTCCTCCCTCCCTCCCTTCCTTCCTTCCCTCCTTCCTTTCTTCCTCCCTTTCTTCCTTCCTTCCCTCCCTCCCTCCCTCTTTCCTTCCTTCCCTCTTCCTTCCTTCCTTCCCTCCCTCTCTCTTTCCCTCCTTCCCTCCTTCCTTCCTTCCTTCCTTCCTTCCCTTGCTGTCCTCTTCCCTTCCCTCCCTCCCCCTCCCCTCCTCTCCATTACCTCCCAAGTGGCTGGGATTACAACTGTGTACCATAATGCCTGGTCTTTCACTTATTTTCCAATGAGGTCATTTACTTTTCTTACTGCTGACTTTTTTTTCTCGTGGTGCTGGGGGTGGAACCCAGAGTCTGCTCATGCTAGGCTGGCACTTCTGCTGAGCTGCAGTTGAGCTGTGGGAATCTGTTGTGTACTCGGACCCCGGACCCTTGTTGGACTGTGGTTCCCACACATTTCCTCCCACTCCGTAGCTTCTCTTAGTGTTGCATCTTTGAGCAAAAGTTTGACGATTTGTCCAATTTGTCAATTTTCCCTTTAATGGGTCATGCTTCTGGTATCAAGTCTAGGAATCACTGAGGAGCCCCAAGGCTGAAAGCGCTTCTCCTGTTTCCTTTTTGTCTAAAATTACTGCAGTGTTGTGTTTTACGCTTCAGCTGAGGGGTCTGTGTAGCGTGGGACTGGTTGTAAGCGCTTAACTTTAACTCTTCACCTGCTCACTTCTTACCTTTCTAAGCTGGGGCCAGAGGAGACGTGGCGGGTGGATCTGGGCAGTGGAGGATGCAGGGTTGGACCCATGCTCTGTCCCTGTGACTTGTCAAACATGACTATGCTAAGACGCCAACCGAGGAAACCCACACCGGTCACGATCTTCTACACAAACATAAACTGAATACACTCATACGTATTTCTGTGAACAGAATAAAATCATTCTTTCTTAATGACCTCGGCTGATTTGGGGTGCAGGCCTCCTGGTTGCCATCCCTTAGATGGCCGAGTGGATCTTTGCCACCTCACAGAGTCAGGGTCTTCCCTAAGAAGGGTGCAGACCGTGGCGGGAGGGATGGCAGGAGAGGGGGAGCCCAACACCTTTCTCTTTTTCTCCCAAGGCATTGCGGACTACATAACCCGGTGCAAACAGGCCATTGGGAAGTTTGAGACTCTTGTCCACCAGATTCATAAGAACGCAGACGACATTTCCTCCAGGCTGGCATTAATCGAGGCCATCAACCTTTTCAAGTATCCGATGCCCAAGAACGAGGAAGAGCTTCCAGGTGGGTCCAGCTTCTTCTTTTTCCAGTTTTGGGATGTGTGACAAACCTCTGAGCATGAGTTCATATCTAAGATAGATATAATATATAAAATATAAGTGGATATAAAGTATTTGTCTATACTCCGTGGGTATGTGTCTATGTAGAGCTAGCTCTGTGAAATGTGTAGGCATCTGTACTCTGATGGATAAACCACTCCTAATGAGCTCGCCATTTACTTGAGAAGACTGTGGATATGCCTGCATTTTTGCCATGTTTTATGTATACTTTAAATGATTTTATAAATTATCATTATTATTATTTGTGTTGGGGAACTGAACCCAGGGCCTCTCACACACTAGGCAAGTGCTTTACCACTGAGCTGTACCCTCAGCCCTACAAGTTCTTGAATTTTTGAAAATCAGTTTTTGTCAATAACTTTGTAAAAGTAAAGTAAATTATTATTTTTTTTTTAGTAGCGCTGGGATTTGAACTCAGGGCTTTGCTTTTGCTAGGTAGGTGCTCTACTGCTTGGGCCACAACTCTGGCCCAGAAACTATGTTTTTATGGACTCCCATTACTTGCTCACGTGAGGTATTTTAGGTGGTCTTAGACTAGTCAACAAGGAATTTAAGAGAAACAAGACAGCCCAAAGTCAGCCAAAGCCACACACCGTGCGGAGTGCGCCTCAGCACATACAGTGGGCCTCCCTGTTATGTGGCTGTTGGGTTTTGCCCAGGCTGGGTTTGACTTCGGCCATTGACTCATTTCCTGCTTCAGATCAGCCTGTGCCATGGTCATGGCCAACTGTGATGTAGTCCATCTTCCTCTGCAGGTGTGAAGGAATTCTTTGAGCACATTGAGCGAGAGAGGGCCAAAGACGTGGACCTCATGGTTAGGTGGTATATGGCCATCGGGCCTCTGCTGACCAAGGTGGAGGGTCTGGTAATCCACACAAACACAGGCAAGGCCCCCAAACTGGCCTCCTACTATGAGTACTGGGAAGGCAAGATCTATGACGTCCTGACCAAGCTTATCCTCAAGTAAGTTGGCCTTGGCTACATAGCATGTGTGGAGCCCAGCCTGCTCCATGTTTAACCATTGGGGGTGTGGCAGGGGACAGGTTAGTGTCAGCTGGATGGGAAGTCTGCTTTTTCTGGCCATAGGCCTGGGAGGAAGGTGACCTTCCGTTTGGGATCCCGCTCGTTCTCAGCATTCACTGAAGCTGATTGTCTCTCTTTCTGCCTCACTGGTGGAAGCCAGAGTATGTCTCTGTCTAGCTGGCAGCAGAGATATGCTGTCGCTCAAATCCCAGAGAACTCCTCACTCATAATAGAGACCATTCAAAGGATAGATGATAATAATGAATGCCTTCATCCATTCATACAGTCATTGATCCATCCATCTAACCGTCATTCATCCAGTCATCTCATCTGTCCATCCATCCTTCCATCCATCCTTCAATCCATCTAATTATCCGTCCATCCATTCTTTATCCATCCATGCATCCATCTAGTCATCTGTCCATCTATCCATCCATCCATACATCCATCCAGTCATCTGTGCATCCATCCATCCATCCATCCATCCACTCACCCATCCATCTATCCTTGCTTTTATCCATCCATTCATTCATCATTCATTCATTCATTTATTTGTTCGTTTAGGATATCAGAGTCTCCTGCATGCCAGACACTGGACTAGACCCCAACCCCAGATAAGGCCCTTCACCTGCTGGGCTTCATCCTCACAGGGGAGAGGCAGGACAGAGAAAGGAACATGAATGAGGTGTTTCTATGAGTGACATAAGGCAGATATTTGTTCTGAGGAGGCAATGGAGGGCTGCTGTGATGGGGTGGCCATGGAAGGCCACAGAAAGGCCATGTTCTAACCAAGACCAGAGGGTGAGGAGCCAGCTGGAAGAAGGGGCGGGCCATGTGAAGATCAAAGGTCAGCTTTTGACCAGGAAGGAAGGAGCAAAGAGATTTGGAGCTGAGTCAGGTCACAAAGGCCTGGGTGGCTGCCATCAGGAGCTTCCCTGCTACCCTGAGAGCAATGGGAGTCCCAGAGTGTCCTCAGCGGGAGATTTTATCCCAGAAAGGAGAGAGCAGGAGGGCAAATGGCCCAGGGATGGGACTATTCACGACTTTTGGAGGTGTCCTAATTAACTCCCACCAGTAGCTATTCTACTCCCCCAAAGCAGAAATGGACTCAGCATGTAGATTTAGGGCTCATCCCCCACTGTGCCCCACAACTCTCTGTGAGTCCGTCCTTGAGCACACCATCTGTGCCACCTTCGTGACTCTAGTCATTCCCGTCAATTGCTTAGGGACATGTCACTCACTCTCGTGAGCCCTGACTTTCTTCCACTCGCCCCTTGTAGGAATCTGCAGTCTTTCAATTCTTTAATCCTGGGACGCATCCCTCTGTTCCAAGCGGAAACAATTTTGACAGCTCCGGAGATCATCTTACACCCCAACGCCAATGAGATCGACAAGATGTGTGTGCACTGTGCCCGCAACTGCGTGGAGGTCACCAAGGTAAGGACTGGGCACGTTGAGTGAGAGAGGGCCAAAGACATGTGAACTCTTTGCCCAGGCTGGCTTTGAACCGTGATCCTCCTGATCTCTGCCTCCTGAGTAGCTAGGACTATAGGCAAGAGCCACCAGCACCTGGGTTCTGCTTCTCTTCCTGTGCCTTCCTGCCTCCTCCTCTGGAAAGCACTAACATTTGGACCTGGGTCCCTTTTCTTCTCTCTTCGTCCCCTCTCTGTAATGTGACAAGCTGTGGCTTTGGACCTCACCATCATGGAGGTGACCACATTAGCGTTAGAGAACCCTCTGCCACGCACCACAGTCTCCTGCTTATTGCCTGTTAATGTCACCTCCCTTGGGCCTTGGACTTGTGTGCCCACCAAGACACCTCCAGTCTCCCCACTCCAGGACACAGTGCCAACATCCATCCACTGCTCAAGCTACCAACCTGGGTGCCATCCCTGACCCTTTGCCTCTCACCTGCCCACGTCTAGCCTGTTAGCTGGCTGGTCTGCCGGGATCCCCAAGACCTTCCAGCCTATCCCCTTCCTTCCCATGCTGCCAGCCTATCACCAGGACTGTCACAGGGACATCACTGCTCACCAGGACTATCACAGTGCCATTCCTCCACCACAGCAGGATCAAACCACCCTTTAAATGTGCAAATCCGTAGCAGGCCTTACCTGCTCCAGCTTGCCACTTTTGGTCCCTGAAGAGGGTGCCTCAGCTTCCTCCTGGAGCAGCAGTCCTACCTGACCTCTGTCCCCAACTGACTCAGCTGTTCTATCACCCATCGGTCTTCCTCATGCCACCTATTGTCATCCTGCTGTTCCAGGTTTTTCACTGATTCATTTCTCTACTAACTGTCTCAGGCCTTTCTTAAGTGAATGTCTGTTGGCAAATAGCTCAAAGTTTAGGCCGGGCGTGGTTATGTGTACTTGTAATTCCAGCTACACAGGAGGTGTAAATAGGGTTTTGTTCTGAGGCCAGCTGGGGCAAAATCACCTATCCCCAAAATAACTAAAAAATAACTAAAGCAAAAAGGGTTGAAGGTGGGTCAAGTGGTAGAGGTGGTAGAGCACCTGCTTAGCAAGGATGAGGCTCTGAGTTCAAATCCCAATGCCACCTCTGCCACAAAATAGTCTAAAGTTTATACCTTCCAGTGGTGGGAAAAACAGGACAATTTCTTGGACGGGCTGGGGGATGCCACTGATATTTTTGTCTTCGCTCTGGATTTTCTAGCAAGCCAGACATGTTTTTTAGCATAAAAATAAGTCTGCATACTACAAATGTGGAATTTCATTTCACTCTGCTTGGAAATCGATAAATAAACTGTACTTATTTTTCGAGCCTGTGCTAATACAGTATTTATTAGCCTCTGTTGGACGAACTCTCTTACCTGTAGACGTTACATTACTGAATCTTTGTGCAGGGAGACAACCATTTCCAGAGGGGTAAAGGAGCAGGACGGACGCCCTCTACAGCATTTCATGTACTTTAATTTTCCTTCTTACTAACTGATGGAGGTGAGGCTTTGGGGGTGTAGCCTGCATTATTTTTTCTTTTGAATGCTTATTTATTTTGGCATTACTAGGATTTGAACTCAGGGTCTTACACTTGCTAGGCAGGTGCTCTACCACTTGAGCCACACCTCTAGTCCTTTTTTTTTTTTTTTTTTTTTGCTGGTACTGGAGTCTTGTGCTTACTGGGCAGGAACTCTCATGCTTGAGCTGTACTTCTAGCTCTGTTTTGGTTATTTTTCAGCTAGGGTGTCAAGTTCATGTACAGGCTAGCCTGGATCCCAATCCTATTTACACTTCCCACACAGTTGGGATGACAGGCGTGTGCAGTCACACCCATCCCTCGAACTGTTTGCCTGGGCGGGACTCAAAGTTCAGCCTTTCTGATCTCAGCCCCCTCCCCCCCCAGAAGGTAGGATTACAGGCGTGAGCTACCATACTCTGCTCATAAATGTTTTCTTTTAAACAAAATGTTAGAAATGTATTTCATGAACAAATCTCCACAAATAAACATGTCTGTGTAGGTCACTCAGTATGGTTTAACCACAACCTCTTCTTGACCTTTGGGGTTTTTATTTCACAGCTGAGAAAAGGGACCAAATGTTTTTTAAGCAGGATTGGAATGCCTGAGTGTGTTAAGTGAAATCATGCTTCTGTCCAGCTGGGAGGATCCAGATAGGAAACTCAGCACACAGCCTGGCGAGTCTGAGCTCTAAATGAACGTCAGATGTCTTAGTAATGAACGTGCAGCATTATCGCTGGAAGTGGTAATGGTGGTTGTGATTCTGAAACCAGAGTTCGAGACCCCAGGCCCAAACTTCTGGATATCAACATGTCAGGCCCAGCTACTCACTCCTATAGGCCAAATAAAGGGACACAGTGAAGGACAGAGAAAGGAGGTTTATTGCGTGACTGGGGCAGTCTCAGGGAGATGGCACTTCAGTCATCTTCGGTCACCTTTGGGGTACAGGAATGAGCTTTTGGTTTAAATAGACAAAGAATTAGGGCAGGGGACAGAAGTCTGCATAACTACAAAACACTACCAGTCACAGGTGTGCTGGTGGTCAGAGCTGGTGACAGGTAGCTGACAGCTCTTTGTCCTGGGATGGGTCAGATGTGGCCTGGTGGGTCATTGTCATTGTCTCCTATCTGGTTCTGTGAGGGGTTCCAGAAAAGTTGATATGGTTGTCACACTTGAGGGGAGCCATCTGGTTCCTGTGAGATGACTGCTCCTGCTCTGGGCAATTGCCCTCATTTCTGGGGTGGTCTGCCCTACGAGGCTCACTTTGCCTGGGGGAAGTTTCAGTCCCTTGTCATAAAAATGTTGTAAAGCAGTCCTATCCTTCTTGGAGCCCCAGGCGATAGCAGTAGAGAATGAGCAAGAGCACAGATTCAAAACGGAGGCCTGGATGTCAAGCTCTCCTGCTTTTAGCTAACTCCCAGGCCCAAGTAAGGGGTCCACACTTCTCAGCAAAAGCAGTTTAAGCGCCTCTGATAATTGCTGCTTAACAGATAGCTCAGGGCAGGTGTGTGCTCGAATCATGCTTAATAATATAAACACGGCACAGTGGTGTGGGCCTGTCATCGCTGACAGGTGTGTGTGTCGGGGGATCGAGAGTTCAAAACCAGCTCGGCTATATAGTGAGGCCAACCACCAACACTGGATGGTTGATTTGCCTAACCCTGGGTTTCTTGGTGTGCCCAGAAACAGGGAAGCCCTTCTACCCACCACAGCAGACACTAAAGCACTGTCCCCCCGCCCCCTGTTCTTGTGTTACCAGCATTTTGTCCGGTGGATGAACGGCAGCTGCATAGAGTGTCGCCCGCAGAAGGGGGAGGAAGAGGAGCTGGTGACAGTGAACTTCTACAGTGACATCTCCCTGAACCCCCAGATCACGGACCAAGCCGTCATGATCCCCCAGAACGTGCACAGACTCCTGGTCAACCTGATGAAATACCTGCAGAGATGGAAGCGCTACCGCCCCCTCTGGAAGCTGGACAAGGCCATCGTGATGGAGAAGTTCGCTGCCAAAAAGCCACCTTGCGTGGCCTACGACGAGAAGCTGCAGTTCTACTCCAAGATCTCCTGCGACGTGATGCGCCACCCGCTGGTCAAGGATGAGCACTGCATCCGGCTGCAGCTAGGACCGCTGGCCAGCACCGTGCAGGAAAATGCAAAGTCCTGGGTGGTCTCCCTTGGAAAACTCCTCAATGAGTCGGCCAAGGAGGAGCTCTACAGCCTCCAAGAAGAGATAGAGGTACCTGGTACTATCTCTCGTACCAGGTACAAGTTTTACTTCTTGTACCTGGTACAAGTAAAACTACCCTTTGTGGGGCTGGGGTGGGCCAGGCCCTGGGTTCCTTTTCCAGTACCAAAACCAAAACAAAACAGCCAGGTGAAGTAGCTCACACCTGTAATCCCAGGGACTCAGGAGGTGGAGATAGGGAGGAGCAGGTTTGAGACCATCCCAGGCAAAATGTTCTAGAGACCCCCATCTCAACCAAAGAGCTGGACACAGTGGCACACGTCCGTCATTCCAGCTACTCAGGAAGTGTAAACAGGAGGATCACAGTCCAGACCAGCCTGGGCATAAAGCTGAGACCCCATCTCAAAAACAACCAAAGCAAAAAAGTGCCAGCAGCATGGCTCAAGTGGTAGAGCACCTGCCTAGCAAGCACAAAGCCCTGAGTTCAAACCTCAGTACTGCTCAAACAAAACAAAACAAAAATAAAAAACAAAACAAAAACAAAGATGAGTCTGCATTTGTTCTATTACTATTCATTTCCTCCACTAAGTGGCCTTTGAACATTTGGTTTTTTTGGTAGGAAATGGCCAAAAATCTTAAGAAGAGCCCCAGTACCCTGGAGGATCTCAAGTTCGTTCTGGCCACGATCGCCAACATCAGGACTAAGTCTTTAGTCATGGAGCTTAGGTACAAGGACGTCCAGGAGCGGTACCGCACCCTGGCCATGTACAACATCCTGGTGAGCAGGCTTCCGCCTGGGACATTGGATGGTGGGGGTGGGGTTGGCCACTAAGACCCTGTCCAGAAAAGCTTAGGCATCAATACACTGCCGTCAGTATACATGCAAGTGACTGCCAGTGACAAACGTGAACGCACAATGACCCTGTGAAAATTTAGAATCAACCCGAGATTATTCCTGGGTCTTGTTTGGCTTACATGATGTTTCTGTAGATGAGTCAGTGGCTGTACCTCATCTCACTTCTACCCTCCCTCCCTCCCTCCCTTCCTTCTTCCTTCTTTCCTTTCTCCCTCCCTTCCTCCCTCCCTCCCTTCATCTCTCTCTCTCTCTCTCTCTCTCTCTCTCCCCTTCCCTCCCTCTTTCCGTTCCTTTCGTCTTCTCTTTCTTTTTTGGCGTTCATTTTCTTTAATAAATACTTTTACATTTGGAGGGAGGGAGAGAATAAAGGAAACTGGCAGAAGATGGTTCACTTGTTTCTTCTCTGTTAAGCTCTTGGAAGTCTGGGTTCCCTGATGTTGTAGTGAGGTCTCACAGGCCCTGTGTTTTCTGTGGGTGACGGTGTCTTTGACGATGGCATGTGTGTCTGCCTTTATAAGGATGCTTGATTACTGACTCAGTTTTTTAAGATGGCTCCAGGACTCTCCAGGCCTTCTTCCTCTTGTCCTTTGGTTGGAAGGAAGGTGATTTGTTATTGTTTTTAAAGAATTGTATTATCTCATCTCAAGTTTCAAATTTACTTAATAACAAAGATCATATTCTCTCATTATCTCTCTGATGGCTGTCTGATATTCTCATGTTCATTCCTGGTATGGGCTATTTGTGGCTTTTTTTTTTTTTTGGTGGTACTGGGGTTTGATCTCAGGACTTTGTGTGTATCAGGCAGATGTTCTACCACTTGGGCCACTCCACCAACCCTTTTAGCTTTAGTTATTTTTCTGATAGGGTCTTGTGTTTTTACCTGGGGCTGACCTCAGACCTCAATCTCCTACCTGTGTCTCCTGTGTAGCCAGAACCACAGACATGCACAACCGTGCCCTGCTTATTCATTGAGATGCGGTCTCGCTAACTGTTACACTGGCTTCAAACTGCAACCCTTCCCATCTCTGCCTCCCTCTTTTTTTTTTTTCTTGATCAGACTCACTGGATATTTATCAGTTTGATTAGTTTTTTAACCTTTATCAACACTTAACATACATACAGAGAACAGTATAAATCACAAATATATAGCTTGATAAATTTCCACAACATAAACACCCATGGAGGCAACACACAGATTAACAGAATCAACATCCCACAAGCCCCTCCCATTGTCCCTTCCAGGCACTATCTCTTTGTAAAGGTAACTTTTACCTGGATTTCTAACCACTATTGATATTTGGCTGCTTTTGAATCTTATATAAATTGAATAATCAAGTATGTATTCTTTTGTGTCTGTCATCCAATTTTGGTTTTTTTTTGAGATATCACCCACTGTCACTGCACATAGCCGCAGTTCATTTTTCTTTGCCGTCTAATATTCTACCGCACAACTATCTCATGAAAGGATATTTGGAGTGTCTCCAGAGCTTGGATGCTATGAGCATTGCTGCTCTCACCACGCCAACACTCACTGCTGGTGTGCCCAGGAGGCATGGCTCTCTGGTGGGTATAACAAGCCCAGGCATGGAATTGCTGGGTTACAGTGAATTCATGTCTAGCTCTACTATGTCTGTTGGTTTCCAAAGTGAGGGTGAGGATTTAATTTGCATCATTGTGTGCGAGGGTTCTGGTGTGTTTCATCTCAGTCATTTTGAGACATCTTTTGGTTTTCTTGGTCCTCTGTGTGGGTACAATTCCATCATCTTATGACTTCATTGTTTTCACGGGGTGGTTAGTGGTTGTCTTCCGTGGCTCCAGGTGACGCAGGGTGGCCTGGCTGTCCTTGGAAAGTATCCCTGATGACATTTCTCTGTGTTTGGTTTTTGGAAGCTGTAATGTCATGCAACTAGGTTTTTATTATTTATTTATTGTTTTTTAATTTTTTTATTATTGTGTTTTTATTATTTTTATTATTAGGTTTTTGAAGAGCTCCAAGGCTAGAGTACCTGTTCCTAGCGAGTGTGAGGTCCTGAGTTCAAAATCCAGTATCGCAAAAAAGAAAATCTGAATTGGGTTTTGTAGTACTTTAAAAATTAGCAGGTTGATACCTTTATCTACTTTTGGAAAATGAACACGGCTTGCTTCATCTCTTATTCTGGGATGAATTCCACGCATGTTTGACCTCTTTGCGATTCACAGCCATCTCAGTCTTTTCTTCCTGTGGCTTGTTCTGAATGCTTCACTCTAACCTTTCAGTCCATTGATCTTCTATTTGATTCTTTCCTTCCTTGGTCTCGGCCTCCTATGGTCAGGTGTGTAGCAGTCCATCCCGGAATTTCCACTCTGAAAATGACTTCCTCCCCTCCGCCCAGCTTCTCAGTTTTGTCTTCTGTTTCCTTTGCTGTAGTAAGGGCAGCTATTTTCAGTTCTGCATCTTCTGACGCTGATGTGGTCTGCGAATGCCTTGGTTTCATCTAAGCCTTTGTGTGTTTATTTGCTCAGGGTTTCTGACTGAGCTCTGGTCATTGTACATGACAAACTCTGGAGAGGACTGGAGGCACTGGATGACATTACATTTTTTTAGAGAAGATTTATTTTTGCTTCTGAAGCCAAGGTAACCTTACTCTGATCAGAGATTAAGTTGATTGAAAGTCAGGTTTTATTTTATGATGGGCTTATCTCTCTTGGTTGACTCAGTCCATCTATTTATTGTTTAAAGTTACTTTATCCTGTTTGTTTTTTCAAGGTACTGGGGTTTGAACTCAGGGTTTCATGCTTGATGCCAGGTGCTCTTCTGCTTGAGCCATGCCTCCAGCTCTGGTTATTTTGGAGATAAAGTCTTGCTTTTTGGCTGGGCTGGCTTGGACCCCTATCTTCTTTTATGCTTCCATCTGTAGCTAGGACAACAGGTGTGAGCCACCATGCCCAACTTTTGGTGGAGATGGGGTTTTGTGTAGGCTGGCTTCAAACTGAAATTCTCCCGATTTCAGCTCCCCAAGTAGCTAGGATTAGAGGTATGTGCCACTGGCACCTGTTTTTTGTTTTTGTTTTGTATGTTTTTGAGACAGGGTCTTGTTATGTAGCTTGGGTAGGCTTGGAACTTGCTTTGTAGCCTAGGCTGACCTGAAACTCATGATCCTCTTGCCTCAGTCTCCTGAGTGCTGGGATTACAGGCATGCTGTACCTCCTCTGGCTCTGATTTCATTGTGATGGTTAGAAGACAATTTTAATACTTAAACCACATTTTCAATGAGCTCAGAAGATCTAGGCTGGTGTCCCCAGAAGCATGAGTCCCCAGGAAGCAGCTGTGACCTGGAATTTCAATCCCACATTGCTGGTAGCCTCTTGTCTGCCTGCTTTTTTTTTTTATTTTTATTTTTTCATTTTTCTTTTATTATTCATATGTGCATACAAAGCTTGGTTCATTTCTCCCCCCTGCCCCCACCCCCTTTTTTTTTTTTTTAATTAGACCTCTGAAGCAGAGAAAGAGCTGGTTGAGAAGATTGAGAGCATGTGGTTAAACCTCTTCAATGAGTCCCTGAATGTGGAGCACTCTCTGGGGGGCATCAAGAGAACTTTCACCGAGGTGAGGCACCTCTCATACTCTGCTCTCTGTGTCAAGATACTGGAAATAGCCGGCTCCACTAACATCACCTGTGTTCCTCAGATCACCCGTGGTGAAATAATGAGCTACAGATCTGAGATAGAGGACTTTGCAAAGCGTTTTTACAGTGAAGGCCCGGGATCTGTGGGTGAAGACCTCGATAAAGGTAAGATTGTCTAACTGAACTGGCTGGGTGTGTTTTGCTTAAAAAGTTTTGGCCTGGTGCAGTGGCTCACATCTATAATCTTAGCTACTCTAGAAGTCGAGATTGGAGAATCATGGTTCCAGGCCAGCCCAGGCAGTTTCTTGGTTGAGACCCCATCTCAACCAATGGCCAGGCAAGGTGACACGTGCCTGTCATCCCAGTTATGTGGGAAAGCACAATGTCATGCCCACCGTTTTGGCCAATGGTGTCTGGTGGAAAATTGAAAGTAAAGAACACGAGGCCATTGCCTATAGGCAGCTTTATTCTAAGCAACAACACAGCAGACTGCAGGAGGGAAGGAGAGACGGGGGAACCTGCCATCCCTGCCTCTTAAAACCCCAAAAAACAGTTTACATGGCAGCCTGGGCTCATGAACACATACCCTGTTACATAAGTGTGCTTTGGTAACCAGTGGGTCCTGATGGCCCAAGGTTGTTTCTGTGGTTACACCTTCAGGGTCACATTCCTGAGACAGTATTCCCAGAGCTGTGCCCCCTCCCTCCAAGGTCACACCTGCATGACTGAGAACATGGTCTCCACCACAAATAGGATGATTCCAGTCCAGACTGGCCTGGTATAAAGAGAAACCCTATCTCAAAAATAATCAAAGCAAAAAGGACTGGTGACCTAACTCAAGGCACCTGCCTAGCAAGTGTGAGGACCTGAGTTCAAACTCCAGGGCTGCCAAAAATAAATAAATAAAACCAAAAAACCCACAACAGCTTGATAAGTATGATTTAAAAAAGTTATGGGAAGTAGTAATTGTCCTATGACTTAAAAATCCACTTTTTCCTCAAATGCTTTTTTCACAATGGCTTTAGTACCTATACTGGAAAAGCTGCGTCATTACAGCCACTGAGTGCTGAGAAGGTTTTGGGAAGAGCCGGAGAGCGGAGGCCATTAGAGGAGAGGCTATGGAAGTCCACGAGGAGGGGTGGCTTGGACAGCTGAGCCACCAGCATCTGCCCTACAAACAGCTGGTTTCCCTCCAGCCCCAGCCACCTCACTCCTCTTGAATTCACCTTTGGACTTAGATCCTAGACCACGTTGCGTTTGTCTCCTGCTGTGTTAGTCATTTTTTCATGGCTGTGACAAATGCCCATGAGAAGAACTTAAACAAAGAGAGATTTTTATTTCTTGGCTTCAGAAGTTTCAGTTCAGGGCCACCGGGCTCCAGTGCCATGGGCCTGTGGTGAGGCGGAGTGTCATGGCAGCAGGAAGGGTAGGTGAAGGAGGCCACTCACCTCATGGCAGGCAGGAAGCAGAGAGAGAGAGAGAAAGAGAGAGAGAGGGAGGAAGAGGGAGAGACCAGGCCGGCATGCACACCCTAGTGACCTGCCTCCCCCAACCAGGCCCCATGTCCCAGATTCCACTCCTCGCACAATGCGTCTGATTACGGACCCATCAGTGGATTAATCCATTGGTGAAGTCAGAGCCTCACAATCCAGTCACGTCTCGGTGATAGGAGTCAGCTGGGGCCTGAGCCTTCAATACATGAGCCTTTAGGGGATACGTCATATCCAAACCATATTGCCTGCCCTTCAAATAACACAGGCCAAAATTGTGACAAGCTCAAAACACTACAATTCAAAACAAGTTGATGACTCCCGTGAGACTGGGACAAACCAAAGACTGCTAGGAATGAAAAAGAAACAGGTCATGGCCAGGCACAGTGGCTCAAACCTGTAATCCCTGCTACTCTGGAGTAGAGATCAGAAGGATTGTGGTTCAAGGCCAGCCTGGGCAAAATGTTCACCAGACCCCCATCTCAACCAATAGCTGGGCACAGTGTAGTGCACACCTGTGATCCCAGCTACACAGGAAACATAAATAGGAGGATTGGGGGTCTACACTTATTGGGGCAAAAGTAAGACTCTGTTACTATAATAAAGAAAGCAAAAAAAGAGCTGGTGGAGTGGCTCAAGTGTTAGAGTGCTGTACAGCAAGTGCAAGGCCCCGAGTTCAAGCCCCAGTTCTGCTGATTTAAAAAAAAAAGGCATTTGAAATGTGGAATTTGGATGGGTGATTAGCGATGTAGTGACATAGATGGCTATGGAATTGTGGGAGAAGTGTAGAATAAGGAAGGCGGAGTATTAAGATGACAAAGGTCATCAAAGGTCAGGTGACACTGACCATGACGGAGGACGGCCACCTCCCTCACCACAGCCTCCCTCCTTGCATCCCTAAGGTGCAACAGTCAGAATCTTCCAGCTGGAAGGACTGACAGATGCAATAGGGCCTGTGCTTTTAGTGAGAGTGGCATCATTATAAAATCTGGTAACTCTGCCTTTATTTTTTTGATCTGTTTTGGCCATCCTGGGGTTTGAACTCAGGGCTTCAGTCGCTCTACTGCTTGAGCCACGCCTCCAGCTAAAATCTGGTATTTCTAAATTCGTCTCCCCACATGCCGTATGTGGACAAAATGATAATTTGCACACATTGTCCTGATTCTTTGTCCCATTTTACCCTCCTTGAGGTGACATTTATTCACTTATCCAATGCATTTTATTTCCAGGAGTAGAACTTCTGGGCAACTTTGAAAAAGAGCTAGCGAAGCACGAGAAGAACCGGCAGGAGCTGGCGAACGCGGAGAAGCTCTTCGACCTTCCGATCACCATGTACCCACAGCTGCTCAAGGTGCAGAAGGAGATGAGCGGGCTGAGGCTGATCTATGACATCTACCAGGACCTGAAGGTGCACGGCTCCCTGGAGGGATGTGGGGATCCCCAGGACTGTGGACCCTGGGGCCACAAAAGTGCTTTGTGTCTTTGGTATTAATTTGAGACAAACCAGACACATCCATCCAGCTTAAACGAAGTCACTTTGTCCTGATTGGTCTATAAGCCCCCTCCCTCCCACCCAAATCTTGGGACCCACCACCTAGGACATGCTTCTGTCACAAATCCCCCGGCACACCGCCTGTGGTGTGGTCCCTGATCTGTGGCCCATGGCTGGGTGCTGAGATTGGATGTCACCAGGATGGTGGTTTGGCCTGTTCCCTCCATGGGGAATCTGTAGGCAGAGGTGCTGAGGGTGGAGGGAGGAAGGTGGGGCTGAGCCAGGTTCAGGACCCAGGAGAGACCTTGGATCCTTAGCATTTCCTCTGCTGTGCTAGTTGTAACATTCCTACAAAAGGAGGCAGTGAGTCAAGGAATTCAGCTAAATAAAATCCAAAGTGGTTTGTGGTCTGTCCTTCCTCCCTGCCTCCTTCCCTCCCTCCCTCTGTCTCTTCCTATCTTCCTTCCTTCCTCCCCCTCTGTTGTCCAGGCTGGCCTTGAACCCTTGGGCTCAAATAGTCCTGCTTCGGCCTCCTGAGTAGCTGGGACCACAGGTGCAGGCACCAACTTCAGCCTTCTATATCTTTAGAGAAAACAAAGAAAGGAAGAGAAATGAAAAAAAGTACATATGTCATTTGAAAGTTAAAAAGACACCCTAAGCTCATGCCATCAATGAACACAATTTCCCGTCAGATACCGTTCACGATCGTAGCAATTTTGTCAAGCTCACATTAGCGTTTGCAAGTGTAAACAATCCAAGATGATAAGTTTTACGTAAGAAAGCACTTGTACATGTAAATGCAGGGAAATATAATAGAGAAAATCTTCTCTTTATGATAATCAAATAGGATCATAATCAATTCTTACTTTTTTTTTGGTGGAACTGGGGTTTGAACTCAGGGCCTTGAGCTTGCTAGGCAGGTGTTCTACCACTTGAGCCAGTCCACCAGTCATTTCTTTTTGTGTGTGTGTGTGTGTGTGTTGAGTATTTTCAAGATAGGGTCTCTCAAACTGTTTGCCCGGGTTAGCTTTGAACCTTGAAGACCCTCCTGATCTCTGCCTCCTGAGTAGCTAGGATTACAGGTGTGAGCCAGTGGTGCCCAGCCCTACTCATGTCATAAGGGGAGGAAGCCATGTTTTTGGGTTTCCCACATCCTCAGATACAGCATTATTTGGGGGAGGGCTTAGAGAAGTTGGAACCCTTCTGCTTTGGTGATAGATCCTTGCAGTCCACCCTTTGTGAACTTGAGGTTGCTGTGGACAGATGGGCAGTGATATTTTAAGAGAGCTGAGCATGACACTACAACAGGAGCTCGGTCTCCCGATCAGGTGATCTGTGCATGTCCAAAGGGGTCTTAACAATGGACGGTTTCTTGTCTGTTTTCAGGTTGCTAAAGAAGAGTGGTCACAGACGCTCTGGGTCAACCTGAACGTCCAGTTTCTCCAGGAGGGAATTGAAGGCTTCCTGAAGAGCCTGCGTAAGCTGCCCCGGCCAGTCCGCAGCTTGTCGGTGGCTTTCCACTTGGAGGCCACAATGAAGGCGTTCAAAGAGTCCATTCCTCTGCTGCTGGACTTGAAACACGAGGCTCTGAGAGACAGGTGCGTTCTGTGCTCTGCCAGCCATGGGATCGAGTGGACGAGCTTTTAGTTGAAATCCTGTCCCTGCTTGGATCTGATGACAAAAACCAGGTCTCTGTGATGAGGCAGGGCCATAAATGTGCTAGAGGTGCTTGTGTAAGACCACTCCTATAAAATTATCAATCCCAAGGATTCTTTTAAAGACAAAGTTCCATCAGGTGTAAAAAAGGTCTTTGCATTTGCTTCATTCAGAAATTAAAGAAAAATAGTCGGGTGTAGTGGTTCATACCTGTAATCCCAGTGGGATGTGCAAATAGGATTACAGTTTGAGGCCAGCCCTGGCAAAAAGTTAGTGAGGCCCCATCTCAACCAGTAAGCTGGGCGTGCCTGTGACCCTAGCTATGTGGGAGGCATAAGTTGTTGGATTGTGGTCTGAGGCTGGCCCTGGGTGAAGGTGAGACCCTATCCCCTAAAAAGAGGGGAAAGGCTGGCGGAATAGCTCAAGTGGCAGAATCTAGTGAGTGTGAGGCCCCGAGTTCAAATCCCAGTGCCACCCAAAATAAAATAAAATAGTAAGAGGCCTTGGTCAGCCCCATTCAGGAGAAATAAAATGGGACTCACACATGTAACTTATAATTTTCTTGAAATGGGTGGTTAACTTTAACGACATATTCTAATTAACTCAGTATATCCCAGACACTATTTCAGCATGTCACCAATATGTAGCACCTGTACCCTGGTGTCAAGTAGCCTGGCCTCTGGGTTTGTGTAACTTTATTCTGCGACGTTTTCATGAAGACAAGATTTTTGCCTGATCAAGTGTTCTGCAGAATCCCTCCCAGTTGTTAAGTGATGCAGGACTGTATTTAATTTATAATTTGTCTTATTGCTCAATGACCATCTTCCCCAGGAGGTGGCTGGATCCCTGAGGCCGGGAGCTGTGATCCTGACACCCTTTCCTACCCCCCAGTCACTGCTGGGTCAATGCTCCAACCATGGAGACTCAGAGTGCATGGCAGCGGGTGACGGGTGGGGTATGGGTGGCAGGGGTTGAGTTCACAGGTGCCAGGCGATGGCAGATGAGGTTTATCATTATGAGAAGCTGTGTGTTTTGTGGGACCTCCAGTGGCAACTGGCTAGATGCGGGTTCCTGATTTAATGCTGGCAGTTTTGGGAAACGTCAAGATTATGATTCTGGTGACATCCCATATTTCAGAATTCTGTCCCAGGGTCCCAGGAGGTCGTCCGGAAGGGATTTGTCCTGTGATTGAGGTGGGTGCCTGGAGCTCATGGCCATGGTCAAGGGCATGGAGGGTTTGCATTCCTGTGCTTCCAGGCACTGGAAGGAGCTCATGGAAAAGACCGGTGTCTTTTTCGAGATGACTGAGACCTTCACCTTGGAAAACATGTTTGCCATGGAGCTGCACAAACACACGGACGTCCTCAATGAGATCGTCACCGCAGCCGTCAAGGAAGTCGCCATCGAGAAGGTAGGAAACTCAGGAGAGAGAGTGGTCTTTTTTTTTTTTTAAATCAGTGCTGGGAATCAAACCTGGGGACTTGCACATGCTGGGCAGGCGCTCCACTGCTGAGCCGCACCATAGCCCTTGTTTTTTTGAGACAAGGTCTTGCTAGGTAGCCATGGTAGGCTCAAGTTCGTGATCCTCCTGCCTTCCCCTCTGAGTGCTGGGATTACAGGTGTGTACCACCATGCCTGGTGAGAACTGTCGTTTCATTCTAGAGAAAGCACACTTCTCTAGTATCTCTTATGTTTGGATAGGGACGAATCATTTGTTCTAGAAATGGAACCTCTACCTCAACTGGCTTTGTTGTCACTTCTGTCGTGTTGACACTTCTGTCACTTTCTATTGACTTAATAGAGAAGTGATGAGTGTTCATGTTAAAAAAATTAAAGAAGGAAACAAACCACCCGTCATCCTGTCACCTGAGGATATTATTTCTGACTGTCTCAGAAAAATGCATGCACAGTGATCAAAGTACATTGTATGCGTTATAAAAATGTCCCAGTGAAACCCACTGTTGTTGTACACTTAACCAAAAAATTTAAAAACATATGGGCACACATGTATGCATATACACCTATACTTATAATACCTGCCCGACCTACATCCGTGCACACACACCCATGAATGCACACACACACAGGTGCACGCAATCCACATGTACGTGCTGTCCGAGGGTCTGTGGGTCCAGGAAGCCTGCCGTTAAGAACAGACCATGTGTGCTCAGGACGTACGGCAGGCAGTCCTCTAAAGTTGCTCACATTTCCCCACACTGAGCAGCCAGAACTGGAAACCACACGGAGCAGGCTGCGTGACTGTCACAAAATCGCTGTTGTATGCATTAATTCTGCTCACCTAACACCAGATCTGACTTCACACTCTGAGTCTCGAGGACCGAGCGTGCTTTGGTCACACACCACCCCACTGCCATGTGAGACATTCTGCCTTTCAACGCACCTCCAGCCTCCACTTTCTTACTTCGGTCATGCGCCTCATGTACCCTTTGTTGGCTTGGGGACAGTGCCGTAACGTTTACCTTGCTCCTGGGCTCCCTTTGCTTTTTGGGAGGCATACTGTATTTTCGCAAAATGAAGGTAGAGAAGCAGTTAGCAGATCACACAGCGATCTGTGTGTCACACAGGTGACAATAACGCAGGACTGGCTGAGAGCTCCCCACTGGGAATTAAAACTTTTTGTTTTTGATACTTCTTTTTATTCTTTTATCTATTATTTTTTGGCCATGCTTGATCGAACTTCATGTAAAAAATCCACAAATAAGGAGGCTTACTGTATACAAACACACAGAAAAGATGCACACATGTACACACAGTGCATGCCCATACGCACATACGTGAACATAACACACACAAATACACGTCTATCAATATACATATTGATAAGGGGTTTTTTCAGAAAATGGAATTGTCATTGGCACATTATTTGTAATTTGATTTTCCTTTTTTTTTTTGCTGGGACTGGGGTTTGAACTCAGGGCTTTGTGCTTGCAAAGCAGCTGCTGCACCGCTTGAGCCCCTTCCCCAGCCCTTGGCATTTGATTTTCTTGTTGACAATGTCGTGAGCACAGGGCAGGACTCCATTCCCATATGGATTCAGGGGGTGGACTATAGACTTGAGCCTCTGGTTCCAGTCCTCAGAAGCCAGTGGACCTGACCTGCTGCCTTGCCTCTTGGAGCCCAGGCTCTCCCACAGTAGGGCTTTGGGGACTAAATGGGTCATGCCTGTGACTTGCTTGCCTGGCACCGAGCAAAGGCTTGAGAAGTGATGACTGTTCTTACCGTAACGAGCCTGGCTTTCCGGACGACAGACAGGACCGGGGAGGAGCTGCTGGCCGAGGGCTGCTGCTGGGCGGGATTCTGTTTTGCCAGTGTTTGGGTCGCAACCATTCTCTTTCTGCTCCTGACCAGGCTGTGAAGGAAATCCTCGACACGTGGGAAAACATGAAATTCACAGTTGTCAAGTATTACAAGGGCACACAGGAGCGAGGCTACATCTTGGGGTCTGTGGACGAAATTACCCAGTGCCTCGATGACAGCACGGCCAACCTGCAGAGCATCTCGGGAAGCAGATTCGTGGGGCCTTTCCTGCAAACCGTCCACAAGTGGGAGCAAACGCTGTCCCTCATCGGGGAGGTCATCGAGGTGAGAGCAAGGACCCGGAAATGACGGGGGGAACAATCTGTGGCCCAAACCGCCATGCCTGTGACAGAACTTAATTTATGAATGAAGCACCATAACTTCGAATGACCACAGTTGGCCACAGATAACAGGAATCACAGAAACCACGGATAAGGGGGGCGTCCACATTTTTGGAGTGGAGGAGATGATGGCCATGTCTTTGCTCATCTCTCTGTCAGCACCACGAGGTCCTGGGGCTGAGGGGACATGGGTCTGTCCTGGGTCAGTGTAGGGTCACGCTGTGCCATTAATTAACACCTGCCTTTTCAGATTTGGATGTTGGTTCAGAGAAAATGGATGTATCTTGAGAGCATTTTCATTGGTGGGGACATAAGAGCACAACTTCCGGATGAGGCAAAAAAGTTTGACAACATCGACCGAATATTCAAAAGGGCAAGTGACAAGCGCCTGTGTCACTGTGGGGAGTGGGGGACGCTGCTGTGAGGTGCTGTGATACTTGCACAGACTTTTCTCCCCATTTGTAGCTTCTATTTCATAAAATTTTCTGTCTGATCATTAGTTGCTGGCAAGAAACTTTTCATGTCTGTATTTATTATAAAGGTAATATTTGTTTAAAACAATTTGAAAATGTAGAAAAGTAGAACAAATGTCTCCCATGGTCGCACCACCTCAGGGGGGCTGAGCATCTGTAACCTGCAAATCCCAAATCCAAAACGTGCTTGAGCAGCAGCCTGATGCTGCAAGTGGAAAATTGCACACCATGGAACTTTGATTCACACACGGAACGCTAAAAAGTACTTTGTAAAAGATCCCACAGCGTGTGTAAGCTGCCGATGTAGCCAGATGAGCTTTACGCTTGGATTTGGGTCCTCTCCCACTCTATCTGTGCAAATATTCCAGAACCCAGAGCTGAAGCACTTGTGGGCACAGGCACCTGGGTGAGGGACACCAACCATGACCATCTCTTTGACCTTTCCCTGGTGCGCATTGGTTTATAAGCTGCAATTAAGGTCACATTGCACACAATTTTTCTAAAAATTTCTCTTAGTTATATGTGAAGCATTTCATAGAATGACGCCACCTGAGAAAGGACCTTAAGGGCTTTGTGAGGTATCTCAGCGAGAGGTCTGACATGGGTATACTCGGTCCTTCTCGAGTGAGCGGTGTTTTGTTGGGACTGAAATCTTCCTGTCACAAAGCATGGCTTTGTACCTAATCTTCCGTCCGCATTTAGAGGAAGATCTTAACACAGGTGTCAACCCCGAGAGGGTTTGCTCCAGTTAAGCCCTTCGCAGGTGGGGCTGTGCTAGCTGTCCGGCCGCAGGTGACAAGGGTGGGTTTGTCCCAGGGCTCCACTGCCCTCAGTGCTTGGGGTTTCTGCTACTTAGCTGTGCGTGGGCTTCTTCATCTGGGGCCACCTTGTGCTTTGGGCTCCTTTATCCACTAGAGTTTGGAAACCTTTTTCTCTGTTGGCATAGCTCCTTTTTAAAATTAGAAAAAATTGTACTCCAAATGTCTAAATTCATTGGAGAAGGATTTAGAATTAAAAATAAAGCAAAAAAAAAAAAAAAAAAAGAAAGAAAAGGAAAAAAAATACCACCAATCCTCTCACCCAAGATAACCCTTTTAACAGTCGAGGGTGTATCTTTCTGGAATATTTACTCCTTTGGAAGCACATACAGAGATACAGATAAATAAATACAGTAACAGGAACGTTCCCACTGATACAATTGGCTCCTTTCACTTCACATCTTTGAACTATTTCCATAAATATCTGAATTATCACTTAGGACAACTTATTTACTTGTATCCCTTCATTGGACATTCAGACAGTTTCTTTCTCTCCTTCCCTCCCTACCTCCTGTTCTCCTTTGTCTGTCTCTCTTTCTGTCTCTGTCTTATCTGTCTGTCTCTGTCTCTCCTTCCCCCTTTTCTCTGCCCCCTCCTTTTTTGCCATGAGATGCTATGGGATATATTCTGTGAGTGTGGGTTGCTCAGTGGTATGACTTTGAGTGCCTACTGTGTGCAGCACTGCTGAAGTTGTGTGGACCACCATGACAGAAATAGGCAGGAATCCCCCCGCCCCTGGGCAGCAGCCTCCTGGTGGGAGATGGCAAAAGGATAAAAATGAGTGAGTTGGGTATGGGTGCAGTGTGTTAGAAGGCACCAGGACACATCTGGATGTGGACTCCCAGGGTGTGGGGCTGGGTTCTTGGTCTGTTTTTGGGTCCTGGTCAACTGCTGTTCTGGGATTGTAAGGCCAGGCCCTCTGCCAGCCTCGGGTGACGGCTCTCTTCCCGTCTGCGTTCAGATCATGGGTGAGACCTTGAAGGACCCAGTGATCAAACGGTGCTGTGAGGCCCCAAACCGCCTCAGCGACCTGCAGAACATCAGCGAGGGCCTGGAGAAGTGTCAGAAGAGCCTGAATGACTACCTGGACTCCAAGAGGAATGCCTTCCCCCGCTTCTTCTTCATCTCCGATGACGAGCTGCTCAGCATCCTGGGCAGCAGCGACCCGCTGTGCGTCCAGGAGCACATGATCAAGGTTAGGGGACACAGTCAAGGTCATAAGAGTATACAACCAAGGTCAGGGGACATGGTCAAGGTCAGAAGAGCTAAGGATCAAGGCCAGAAGAGCTGAGGGTTAAGGCCAGAGCATAAGATCAAGGTCACAACCTGGGGTCCAGGTCAGAGCACAGGGTCAAGGTCAGGGCCCTGAGCTCATGCAGGGAGCTCTTGGGGTCAGCTTTCTGTCTTTGCAGTGAGTCCCTAGCCAGAGGTTTACAACTGTGAAATGCTGCTGGCGTTTTTATTTGAATCACAAGTCTGATGACATTCTCTAGTGTGAAAAACACCAGAACTCACAGTCTAAAAAGTTTTCTCTTTTTGAGAAATTAAAAAAAATGCAGAAAGGCATATTATAAACAAACAATAGAGAGAAGTAGTTTAGTACATGGATTCTGGAACCAGATTGCGGGGGTTCAAATCCACCATTACTTGCGGTGTGACTTTTGGGAAGTTACTTAACTTCTCTAGAGGGGCATCGGTTTTCTCACCCGTAAACGGACAGCCTTGTAAGTGCCGGCACGATGTTTTCACTCTAGGCTGAGGGAGGAGACGCACTTTGCCTGGATCCACCTTCTTGGACACTGGGGGAGCTAAGACTGCACCCCACCTCTTTAACTCCCCAGCCTGTTCAGTCCCTGCTCTGCCTCCTCCATGTTCAACTCCAACCCTGGCCTCTGTGAGGGACACCGCGGCTGTGCGTCCTTCCTCAGGGTCACCTCTCCCGCTGTCTTGCAGATGTATGACAACATAGCTCTGCTGAAGTTCAACGACGGAGACAGTGGAGAGAAGCTGGTGTCTGCCATGATCTCGGCAGAGGGAGAGGTCATGGACTTCCGGAGGGTCATCCGTGCGGAGGGGCGCGTGGAGGACTGGATGACAGCCGTGCTAAACGAGATGAGAAGGACCAACAGGCTCATCACCAAGGAGGCCATCTTCAGATACTGCGAGGACCGGAGCAGGTGAGGCACGCATGGGCATGGGGTGGCACTGTCCTCACGGTGGGTTCGTTTCCCGGTACGGAGGACGAGGTGGGCAGACACTCCTGGGGATTGAACCCACGGCCTCACGCTTGCTAGGCAGGTGCTCTACCACCTGACCTACATACACTCTAGTCCTTTTGGTTTTGTTTTTCTTTTCTTTCTGAGATAGAGTCATGCTAACTTTGCCCGAGTTGGCCTTGAACTCACCATCCTCCTGCCTCTGCCTCCCGAGTAGCTGGGATTGTAGGAGTCCACCCTCATTCCCTCAAGTGAGGTTTTCTGTTCTTGCCATAAGGAATCAGCTGACATCACCATCTTGAAATGATGCATACTTCTGTGCGCGACCTTGGGATTTAGTGGGTGCAGGGCCCAGCAAACTCGAGCTCTGGTGTGGCGCGGTGGCACAGGGCTTGCTTAGCATGTACCAGGGGCTGGCTTCGATCCCAGCACCCACTAAATAAAAAAAAGTCAAATTCTTGGCTCCCATCCCCCAACCCGGGCAGCAGGAACACTGGGGCTGCTGCCCAGGGGATTTGTGGTCTCCCATGACCCTGGGGCTCCTGAGCCAGCGTCGTTGTGAGAATGGCTGCCCAGGGCCAGGCTGGCAGAAGCTGGGTGTTCTGTGGGACTGCCTGTGGGGTGGGTGGGCTGTGGGGCGCAGGTGTTTCTGAGGGGCATGAAGCCCTGAGTTCAAGCCCTGGTACTGCCAGAAGAGCTTTTTTGTTTGCACGTTTCCATAACTAGGTATATGTAGCTCTATTCCCTGGTAAGCCAGCTCTGGAAAAAAATTAAAGAGGCTTTGACTTCGAGCATGTGCCGGTTTCCATGGCGTAAATATTCCAGAGGTGGAAGAGGCTTAATGGTTAGCCTGTGAATTCCTGAGCTCGGACCCTTGGCCCTCCTGAGCTGGCAGAGGTGGCCCTCCAGTGTACCTGGGCGTTGACCTTGGGGCAAGTCCATGAGAACTACTAAGAGAGAAAAGCGAGGTGCAGACTTGAATCACTCGATGCCATTTTGGGGGAACCCCCCTTCCATATGCTTCCCTGTAACTCAGGCTAGGTCTGGACAGAGGGGAGGGGCAGCAGAGTCTGTAACTTCAGAAGCTGGAACAAGGCCTGGGCAGAGGCCATTCAGTTCCTTGCTGGGATTTTTTCTTTTTACAATAAGCCTAAATAATACTAAGTGATTTTGAAAACCCTTGAAGAAATGTTTTTAAAGGGAGTCAGCCTCTTTCTATGTAGTCAGACACCAGCACGGTTTTGAGAGGAGATGTCACTGGTCCAGTGTCTTGCTATGTGGCCAAAGAAACTTTGTCTGTCATTTGCTTGTCTAAACTTTTTACTTTGCTTCCGTTAATCCACATCAAAGAAATACTTTTTTTTTTTTGGTGGTTCTGGGGTTTGAACTCAGGGCCTTATGCTTGCTAGGCAGGCACTTGAGCCACTCTGCCAGCCCTTTTTGGTGATGGGTTTTTTTGAGATAGGGTCTACCTTTGTGCTTTAGTTATTTCTTTGGATAGGGTCTCCCATTTTTGCCTAGGGCTGCCTCAGACCATGATCCTTCTACCTGTGGCCTCCCATGGAGCTCAGATTATAGGCGTATGCCATCGTGCCTGGTTTATTTGTTGAGACTGGGTCTTGCTAACTTTCCACCTGGCCTGGCCTCAAACACTGATCCTTCTAGTCTCCACCTCCTGAGTAGCTGGGATTGCAGGTGTGAGCCACCACACAGGCCCCAAAGAAGTAAATACCTAGTGGGACCATTTTCCAAACCTGTCCCAGGGTCGGTCCAAGTCTGATGGGTGCACATTTTCCCTAGAGTGGACTGGATGCTCCTATATCAAGGCATGGTGGTGCTGGCCGCCAACCAGGTGTGGTGGACCTGGGAGGTGGAGGACGTCTTCCATAAGGTGCAGAAAGGGGACAAGCAGGCCATGAAGAACTATGGCAAGAAGATGCACCAGCAGATAGACAACCTGGTCACACGCATCACCCTACCATTGAGCAAAAATGACAGGAAGAAGTTTAACACTGTCCTCATCATCGACGTGCATGCCAGGGACATTGTGGACTCTTTCATCAGAGGCAGGTGAGCCCCGGTCAAGGCCATGGGTGACTCAGAACGGACGCCCGTCCCTCGGCGGTGTCCCCAGAGCCCCGCCCTGCTTCCTCTCACCGCCCCCCTGTCCCCCAGCATCCTGGAGGCCCAGGAATTCGAGTGGGAAAGCCAGCTGCGGTTTTACTGGGACCGGGAGCCTGACGAACTCAACATCCGCCAGTGCACGGGGACCTTTGGCTATGGGTACGAGTACATGGGCCTCAACGGGAGGCTGGTCATCACGCCCCTCACGGACCGCATCTACCTGACGCTCACACAGGTGACTGCCCGGCCGGACGGCACGGCTGCTTCCGGGTCCTGCATTGTCCCCTTCACATGGCTCTGTGGATGACATAGTAAGAGGGGCAGGGGACCCTGCTTCGAACTCGGACTCAGGAGATGATGGGTCATCTCCATGTGGGATGGAGAAGGCTGTGAGTGTCATCTCTGGAAGCTCTGGGTGTCACCAGGAACCAGTTTCTATCTTGGGACATTGGTCCCTGTGTAAGGGCGGGAGGTCAGTAGAGGTCAGTGGGAAAACACAACAATGTGAAAGGTGGTGGCCATCACAAGGTGAGCGTGTCCTGTGCCTGCACATCCCGGGATGGCTTTTATTCCAGGTTATGCGTGAGGGAGCAGTTTACACGACGAGATAGCAGGGTGTGGCAGCTCACACCTGTAATCCCAGCTGCTCGGAAAAATAAGTACAGCAAAATGGGCTGGCAGTGTGCATCAAGTGGTAGAGCACCTGCCTAGCAAGTGTGAGAGTCTGGGTTCAAACCCCAGTACTGCCAACAGAGTCCCAAAACAACAACAGAAAAAGATGAAGATGAGAGAGTGTCTCTCCCAGGACAGGGAGCCAGGTCATGACAGTCCAGGATAAAGAGGACAGGTCATTAAGTCACATTTGCAAGTGGCATGCTTGTGACATGGCGCCTTGGCCGAGACACAGACCCACTGTGTGTGCAGTGTACACCTGGGCCTGACTCCATGTCACCATATGGGACTTGGGGGGATGAGAAGAGGGAAAGTGTGAGAATACAGATCCTATGCTGCCTACCGGGCTGTGAGCATTGACATCCTTTGTTCGTCTTATTTATTTTTATTTTTGGGGGGCAGTGGGGTTTGAACTCAGGGCCTCATGCTTGCTAGGCAGCCACTCTACCACTTGAGCCACTCCACCATCCCTTTTTTGTGTGATGGGTTTTTTTCAAGATGGGGACTATTTGCCTGGGCTGGCCTCGAACTGTGATCCTCCTGATCTCTGCCTCCTGAGTAGCTAGGATTACAGGCGTGAGCCACTGGTGCAAGAGTGTGACCTTGTCTGTATTCATCAGGGTTCCCCAGAGAAACAGAGTCAGCAGGAGGTCACCTAGCAGATGTTGGTAATCGTGGGTCACCTCTCTGCGCTGAGAGCCAGGTCAGCCAGAGCTGGGTCTGAGGCCTGGGACCAGGAGCACAGGGCTGGATGGCCAATGTCCCACCTTGAGCAGCCATCCTTGGCCTCTGCCCATTCTGTCCCCAGTGGACACCGCGATGCCACCCCCACTGGGGACATGCTCCTTTGTTTATGCAGCCACCAGTCCAGATGCTCACCTCATCCCCAGACATCCTCATGGATGTGCCACGAGGTGGTACTGGAGTTTGAACACAGGGCCTCACTCTACCATGTGAGCCTCACCTCAATCCTTTATTGCTAAAGCTGTTTTTCAGGTGAGGCCTTGTGCTTTTGCCCAGGCTGTCCTCAGACTGTGCTCCTCCTAGCTCTGCTTCCCAAGTAGCTGGAACTATAGGCGTGCATGACCACACCCTGCTTGTTTTTGAGATAGAGTCTTGCTAACTTTTGCCTGGGCTGGCCTTGCTCCTAACTCACCTCCTGAGTGGGTGGGATTATAGGTGTGGGACACTGAGCCTGGCCTGTCTGGACACCTCTTGACCCAGTCAAGTTCACATAAGCCATTAAACATCGCACTGTCACAGGGATAGATTTTGAAATGACAGTTTGTTCTGGCTACGAATCAGAAGATGTCTGTTTTGCATTTTGCTTACAACAGGCCCTGTCCATGTACCTGGGTGGGGCCCCCGCTGGCCCAGCAGGCACCGGTAAAACTGAGACCACCAAGGACCTGGCGAAGGCCCTGGGCCTGCTGTGTGTTGTCACCAACTGTGGCGAAGGCATGGACTACAAAGTAAGGGCTCCACATTGCTTGTGCCACTGCTTCATTCTGCCGAGAGTGGCAGGTGGGCGATAGCGGGGGGTGGTGTCACTTCATGAAGAGCATGAAGGTGACAGCTGGAAGGACATGGTCTCAGAACTAAAATGTGCCACTCTGCTGGCAGCTGATGGGCGAGAGTCCCAAGCTCACCTGCCTACCAGGGCCAGGGAGGTATGGTAAATAAGTAAGAGACAGTAGGGAGTGGTAGGGACTGTGACCAAGTGGAGAAACTGGCTCTAATGTCCAGAGGCCACCACCAGGCAGCTTTGGTCCCTTATCACCACGTGGGAGCGTGGACCCATGGTTGCCAGGTCCTCCCGCATTTTAAGGGAAGCCAGAAACCTGGAGTTTTACACACACACATCATGATTTGTAAATCCCGAATAGGAGTTGGCCCCGAGAAGCCTTGGAAGTCTTGCCAGCCGCTCGCCCACCCATCTGGCAGTTTAATTTAGAAAATGTTGGGCTGGCAGAGTGGCTCGAGTTTGTAGAGCTCCTGCCTAGCAAGTGCGAGTCTCTGAGTTTAAACCTCAGTACCACTAAAAAAAAAAAAAAAATCCAAAAACAAAACAACAAAGAAAACATGAGCAGCTTCGAGGAGGACAGGACTGTCCGGACATTTCTGTCACCCTAGGCCATTGGGAAGATCTTCTCTGGCCTGGCCCAGTGCGGGGCGTGGGGCTGCTTCGATGAGTTTAACCGGATCGACGCCTCTGTGCTGTCCGTCATCTCCTCGCAGATCCAAACCATCCGAAACGCGCTGATACACCAGCTGACCACCTTCCAGGTGGGGACAGGGCGAGGGGGTGCGGGGGAACCCCCCATCACGTCCTGGGATGGACGCTTTCTGCACAACCTGTGACACACTTGTTGGAGGGAGTCAGCCTCAGACCTGGCTTCTTGTAGACAATGATGTCTTCCAGACTTTTGTTTTTCAGTTGAGATGGTCTGATTCTCCAAATTAGTTATCTTTGTTAACTCAAACCAGTCCCGAACAGATAACTGACAGCTATGGATGGACAGGGCAGTGGCCTCAAGGGACTCACAGAGGCACTGAGAAGGAAAAAATATTATTGGTGACATCCCAAGTTTGAAGTTAAAAGGTTACTATTTCAGCTGGGTGTGGTGGCTCACGCCTGTAATCCCAGTTACTCAGGAGGGAAGGGTAGGAGGATCTCTGTCGGAGACTGGCCCAGGCAAACTTAGCTCAGCCCTGAAGAAGCAAAGGAGCTGGAGCATGGTTCAAGTGGCCAGCTTCTGGCCCTGGGTTCAAATCCCAGTACTGCCAAAAGAAAAAAGAAAAGACGGCCCATGGAGACAGGGAAGGCTGCTGGCTGCCCCCTTGTCAACCGTGCCAAGCATTTCCGTCTTCTGTCTGGCAGACAATGAAATAGGTGGCAAAACCTCCATAGAGGGGAAGTTCACCTCATAGAGAGACTTTCGCGGTTGTTGGTACCGGGGCAGCGGGAGGGGGCTGAGGGCCTTTAGGGTGGGCTGTGGGCTGAGTCAGGCACCCAGGCCTGGTGGAGCTGGAAGCTGGGACAGCAGAAGGAAGAAGACTAGATGTCAGTGTCATGGGACATAAGTCAGACTGGCTGATGTCACCTGTTACAGTCATCCTACTGCCACAACTGTGCCATGAGACACGCTGTGTTCCTGTTGTGCAGGGAAGGAAACTGAGGCTCAGAGAGGTTAAGTAGTCACCTGAGGTCACCCAGCGCCGACTACCAGCCCCAGGCTGTTGCTTCCCCCGTGTTGGCCACTCTCCCGGGGACACCCGTGCTCCAGAGCAGTGTGTGGGGTCGGCCAGGCTCAAGCCAGGCTGAACACTTAGACCCACACGGCCGCCCGCGCCTCCGTTCCCCGGGTGGAGGGCTGGGAGCGGCCCGCGTGTCACCGTCCCTCTGTCCTGTCGCCCCAGTTCGAAGGGCAGGAGATCTCCCTGGACTCTCGGATGGGCATCTTCATCACCATGAACCCCGGCTACGCGGGCCGCACGGAGCTGCCCGAGTCGGTGAAGGCGCTCTTCCGGCCCGTGGTGGTCATCGTGCCGGACTTGCAGCAGATCTGCGAGATCATGCTCTTCTCTGAGGGCTTCCTGTGGGCCAAGGTGGGCGCTGGCCGTGCGTGGGGGATGGGTGGGGCGCCTGGACCTTGAAGCCCTGTCCCTGCTCCCTCCTGCTCCCTCTGAAATCCTAACTTAATTTGGGATGCTGTAAGACCCCCAGGAGGGGGGACACTAGTGACAGAGTTCCCACTGCCCTTCCCCAGGGGTGGTGTCTCCCGAAGGCACTGTTGGAACCAGCAGACAAGCAGGTTCAAGGCAGCCGACTCAGGCGCCATGTTCTCTCTCTCTCTCTCTCTCTCTCTCTCTCTTTCTCTCTCTCCCTCCCTCCCTCTCTCCTCCCACCCCCTCATTTCATGTGTGGATGGATGGAGTGATTGGCCTTGTAGTCAGCACCCAGAACTGTCCCATGGCTCCCTCATGTCACCCCTTCCCAACCCTAATCCTGGCAACCCTGCTATCTGTCCCTCGTCACTGGGACCCTCATTCAAAACATCTCTATAAAGGCATAGATGCTGCGTGCAGTGGCTCGTGCCTGTAATCCCAGCTATGCTGGAGGCAGAGATCAGTAGGATCACAGTGGATCACCTCAGGAGGCCAGTTTAGGTCAAAAGTTCTCGAGACCCCCATCTCAAGCAAAAATATCTGGGTGTGATGGTGCACGCCTGTCACCCCAGATTGGGGGGGAAGCCTAAATAGGATTGTGGTCCAGGCTGGCCTGGGCGCAAAGCGAGACCCTATTCAAAACGAACCTAAAGCACACTCCTAAAACGAACCTAAAGCACACTGGCGGAGTGGCTCAAGTGGAAGAGCACCTGCCAGGCAAGTGTGAGGTCCTGAGTTCAAACCCCAGTGCTGCCAGAAAAACAAAAACAAAAAACCTTCTAAAACTATAAAAGCATGTGCACAGCTCTGTCTGGAAGGTTCTGGAAGAGCAGAATGCAGGGCATACTCGTCACGTGAGTCTCCTTTAAAGGGTCCAGCTGTCCTAGGCTTCGGGGTTCTGGTTCTCCTGATGGCGTCTTGTCTGTTTGTGACCAAATTCCCACCCCAGCCTCGGGCCCGCGGGCTGGACTGCTTGGTGGCTGCGCTGTCCTCAAATTGGGCTCAGGGGACCCTGAGGGACGGGTTTAGGTCAGAACAAAGAAGCAGCGTCTTTCTAAACATGGTCCGGTCACTGTGCCGGACCCTGTCCTGCCGATCAGGGCAGTGAAGTCACCCCTTGCTCTGCAGTTGTCACTTGAGTCTGGTTCCTGAGGTGCCGTTAGTCACACATGCAGCCCAGCCTCCCAGGGCGCCTGCCTCAGTTTCCCCGTGTTTGCACCGGGGACAGTCCCTTGCTTCTGCGTCGTTAACTTCCTGTATCTTGCTCTGTCCTGTCTGCATGGGAAGACGCTGGCCAAGAAGATGACCGTCCTGTACAAGCTGGCGCGGGAGCAGCTGTCCAAGCAGCACCACTATGACTTTGGGCTCCGCGCACTCAAGTCCGTGCTGGTCATGGCAGGCGAGCTGAAGCGGGGCTCCGCTGACCTGCCCGAGGTAGGGCCACCACCTCCGCCGCGGTCCCCGGTCCCTGGTAGCTCTCTCAGGCTTCCGGTTGGTCTGGGCCAGGCGGCCTGGCCTTGGGCGCCTCCCCGTCAGGCTGAGTTCATTGCCACGCCAGCACCAACACTGACTGTGCCTCCATACTGACCAGCAGCCCGTAATTGCAGGATGGTGGGGTGGCAGGGCCACACGTCCTCCTCTAACCGCTGGAACGTGAGCGTATCAGTTTCCACATGCTTGGGATCGTGCGGTGTTTCCATCTGCGCCCACGGTGCACTCGTCAAACCATTTTCTTCTCACAAAAACAACAGAGATGCTCATGCTGCTTTATTTTCTCTTTTTGGCGGCACTAGGATTTGAACTCAGGGCCTTGTGCTTGCCAGGCAGGCACTCTACCACTTGAGCCACTTCCCCAGTCCTTTTTGCTATATAATATTTTTCAGATAGAGTCTTAAATTTTTCACTAGTGCCAGCCTAAACCACAATCCTCATACCTACAACCTGCCTGCATAGCTGGGACTATGGACACATGCTGCCATGTCCAGATTATTTGTTGAGATGGGGTCTTGCTACCTTTTTTTTTTTTGGCCTGGGCTGGCCTTGAACCTTGATCCTCCTGATCTCTGCCTCCTCAGTAGCTGGGCTTATAGGCATCAGCCACCACACCTGGCTTATTATTATTATTATAATAAAAGCATTTTGTTTCATGCTTTGAAGAAGGGTTTGGGGCAGGCACTCACTCCTGCATGTCTGCTGGACTCTGCGTCTCGTCCCCCAGGACGTGGTTCTGATGAGGGCTCTGCGAGACATGAATCTGCCCAAGTTTGTGTTCGAGGATGTCCCTCTTTTCCTGGGCTTGATCTCCGACCTGTTCCCCGGGCTGGACTGCCCTCGCGTGCGTTACCCCGACTTCAACGATGCCGTGGAGCAGGTGCTGGAGGACAGTGGCTATGTGCTTCTGCCCGTGCAGGTGGGTGAGGGGCGTTCCTCGTGTCGCTTTGCTTCAGGCTTTGTGGCTCTTTACAAAAAATTCTGGTAAAATGTTTATAACGTCTTACCATCTTAATCATTTTCTCCCATTAAAAAAATTGTGGGAAAATAAACATAATATAAAATTTATAGCTGGGTGTGGTCAGACACACCTGTAGTCCCAGCACTCTGGAGGCTGAGGCAGGAGGATCATGAGTCTGAGCTACAAAAAGACACCCTGTCCAAAAATTTTTTTAACCTTTTTTTTTTGGAGGGGGGATTTTCGAGACAGGATCTTGCTATTTGATAAGCCCAGGCTGGCCTGAACCTCAGAATCCTCCTGCCTCAGTTTCCCAAGTGCTGGGATTACAGGCGTTCACCACCATGCCTGGCTTGTCTCAACTACTTTGAAGCATACGGTTCGGTGGCTTTGACGTTGTTGTGCAATTATCCCCACCACCCATCTCCAGAAGTCTTTTGATCTTGCAAAAGTGAAACTTCAAACCCACGAACACTAACTCCTCCTCCCTCCTCCCTCCTCCCACCCAGCCCTGGCACCCGCTGTTCTACTTTCTGTCTTCGTGAAATTGAGTGAAATCATATGGTTTTGTCCTTTTGTGTCTGGCTTCTACTCAGCATCACATCTACTCTGTCACCCATGGTGTGGCTGTGTCAGCATTTCATTCCTTTTTAAGGCTGAGTAATATTTCACTATATATGTAATATTTATATAAATATTTATTTGTATCACAATTGTTTGGGGTGCCATATGTTAGATCGCTCTGCACTATTTTGGTTCGGGGCCTAACCATCTAACGTTCTTCCCTACAGCATTGATTTTCCCCCACAGTCACAGTCAAGAAACACTAGCTCTTCCTGGAGTAGGGTCTCCATCATTTGCACCTCTTTGTGTTGTCAGTAACCCCGCTGTCAGATGTCCCATTAGGTGTAACCAGCCAAGCCTGAAGGACCAGGGTGGCTGCCTCGGTCGGGCGCCTCAGGGCCTCAGGCCAGGCAGCAGGCACCACCATGCACATGATTGCTTCAAAAGACTTGTCTTCTGGCAGGATTGTAAGTGACGCAGCCACTCTGGAAAGCGGTGTGGTCGTTCCTCAGCAGGTTAGATTCCCAGTCACCAGGGGACCCAGCAGTTCCATTCTTAGGTGTGGACCCAAGAGAAAAGAGAACGGACGCTCTCTCAGACTTGTTCATGGCACACCGAGAAGCATTACTCCTAGTAGTCAGGAAGTGAAGACAGCGCAGGGTCTGTCATCAGATGAACAAAACGTGGCCTAACTATACCGTGGAATGTTATCCAGCCATAGACAAGGAATGAATCCCCAACGCATGCTACCACGTGGATAAAGCTGAGTGAATGAACAAAGCAGACACAAAAGGACAAAGATGTGACCCCACTGATTGAAATGTCCCCAACGTGCCAAAACATAGGATGTCGATTGGTGGTTGTGAGGGGCGGGGACGGGGCACCAGGGTTGGGAGAGGCAGTAAATGGGTATGAGGTTTGGCAGGGGGGATGACGAGGTGAATAAAAAGTTCTGAAATTGGTGGTAGTGAGGTTTCCACACCTCTGTGAACACACTGAAGAGTCTGGGGAGGTGGCTTGCCCGATGGACGCGTTGGGTTTTGATAGAACAGCTTTGTATGGAGATACGTTTAACCCTGTAGGTGGACAAGGTGGTTCAGATGTTCGAGACCATGATGACCCGTCACACGACGATGGTGGTGGGGCCCACAGGAGGAGGCAAGTCTGTGGTCATCAACACTCTGTGCCAGGCACAGACCAAGTGAGTGTGACTGCACAGAGAGCCCGGATCCCGGTGGCCTTGGGGCAGTGTTTGAACTCAGCACCTCCCAGACCTGCTTTGACGACCGATTTCCCTGGAGGGGACATTTGTCCTGTGCACCCCTTCAGCTCAGTGTCTTTACTTTCTGGTTCTGATGTCGTTTATGCTCCTGTCAATGCAGGGCTTATTGTGAAGTGAGAATTTCACAGAGTAACTTAAATTAAGTCACATTGCCTCAGGGACGGTCAGGAGCCAGCACAGGCAGCAGCAATGGTATCACTGTCTTCTCCCTGGTGCCCACGATCACTTAGCCCTCGGCAGCTGGTGCCCTTGAAGGAGGAGGTGAGCTCGCACTCCTAGTGGACCCTAAACAGTGTGGAAGACCCTGAAGGCGGCAGGAGCTGGAGCCTTACCTGAAAGTGGACTTTCTGAGTTCTGGCTTCTCTCCTCAAGCAGTAATTACACTCCAGGCCATGCTAATATTCCAATAAAAACTCAAAACCAAGCCACACAATCTTTGTGACTTTAACATTTCTAGATAGTCTGTAAGGAGTAAGTGACTTTCATTTCTTCTTCTTCTGATTTTTTTTTTTTGGCAGTACTGGGGTTTGAACTCGGCCTTACACTTGCTAGGCAGGCGCTGTACAGCTTAAGCCCTTCCACCTGCTCTGTTTTGTGTTGGATATTTTCAACATAGGGTCTCAAGCACTATTTGCCTGGGCTGGATTCGAACCATGTTCATCCTGATCTCTGCCTTCCGAGTAGCTATGATTACAGGTGTGAGCTACTGACTGGTGCCCGGTCTCTTCCTGTTTTTGTTTTTGGCAGTCCTGGGGTTTGAACTCAGGACCTCATGCTTTCTAGGCAGGTGCTCTACCTACCTCTTGAGCCACTCTGCCAACCCATTTCTTCTTATTTCCTTACCTGTTGCAGATGAGAAAACTGGGAGCAGGGCTGAATGTGTTTCTTTCTTTTCTTAGTTTACTGTTAGGTAATTCATAGAACTCACATACGGGTATGTGCGCAGTATTGTATGCAGATTGTTTTATTTGCATATTTGTTAATTATGAGCTGTGTATCATGTGAAGTTTCATTTTCTCTAGGTTGATCACTAAGTGTGCTGGAATTTTACAGTCATAGGAAGAAATGCCCTTTCTATTTGACTTATAAAGTCAGCCCCACAGAGTGGACCTCTGTCAGGGAGGATTGAACACCAGCAATTCAAAGGGGCCCTGGTCCACTGTCTGGGATGACTGAGTACTGTCTCTTAACCCTGTTAATGAGGAAGTATTTACTTACAAACATATGCAGTATGCTTGCCAGTCAGCTACCAAGCAGAGATGTGCTTCTGGTTCAGACCTCGTTTGGGCTGGTGCCATGTTTTCAATGAAATATGGTTCACTTACATTTAGTGTACACCACTCACAATGAGTGGAAAGCCTGGTGGAGAGTTTGGCTTGTGTTCCAAGTCTTAGACTGGATTCGAAACCTGGAGTCCCTCACGTGGGCGCCATGTGGGCATCAGGTTGTTTTCCTTGCGTATTTCATCAGCCTGAGCCATGACTGACACCACCCCTCTGATTTAGGCTTGGACTTATGATGAAGTTGTATATCCTGAACCCCAAAGCTGTGAGTGTCATCGAGCTCTATGGCATCCTGGACCCCACCACCCGAGACTGGACGGATGGGGTGCTGTCAAACATCTTCAGAGAAATCAACAGGCCAACCGACAAGAAGGAGCGGAAGTGAGTAGCTCTGTGAGCAAGAAGAACTGGGGTGGCTGATGTCAGTCAGCCGGGCTTGAGGCGCGGTGACCAGGCCAAGCCCAGGCTGTAGTTTCATGCTGGGGCTCCAGCATTCGGAGTCACTGAGGTCCTCCTTATAGATGACAGTGCCATCACAGAGCTTTTTAGGCACGGTCTCATTTGGTCCTCAACAACGCCATGTTGACAGTCCTATGACAGGTAGATAGATATGTCATGGGATTGTCCTCTGGCTCAGCATGGAGGAAACTGAAGCCAAGAGGAGGAAAGGAACTTGTCCCCAGGCCAGGGACTTGGAGACTGAGCCCTCAGTGCAGCCACCCTGCCAGGTGGCCTGGTCCCCCACTATCTGGCCTGACAAGTCAGGGAAGGTAGGCAGCAAAGCATCATGGGGGCTGGAGGCTGCCAGCCTTATCTCTTTCCTGCCTGTAGACGTGGTTGATGAGGTCCTGCTCACCTCTCCCCATGTCCCGGTGAGGGATACTGAGGCTGAGTGTGGAAAGGCCCCAGTGGGGCCTCGGGGAAAAGCTGTAAGCTGTTCCTACTAGACCTCTTTGGGAAACTCAGGAATCAACTCTCATTGATAATTTAAAAAAAAAAGAAAGAAAACCACTGAAATAACAAGAGTCTGAAGTCCCAGCTAATGACTTTCAAACCCTCTTTTTATAAACTGGGCATGATGGCTCACACCTGTAATCCCAGCTTCTAGGGAGGTGGAGATCAGGAGGTTCATTAATCAAGACCAGTAGTCAGGGGTTAAAAAAAGTTAGTGAGGGCCAGAGTGTCTCAAGAGGTAGAGTGGCTGCCTAGCAAGTGCGGCTCTGAGCTCAAACCCCAGTACTGCCAAAAACAAAATTAATAAAAATATTAGCAAAGACCTCATCTCAACAAATAAGCCGGAGGTGGTGGTGCACACTTGTCATCCCAGCTATTGCAGGAAGCAGAAGTAGGAGGATCCTGGGCAAAAAGCAAGATCCTATCTGAAAAATAACTACAGCAAAAAAGGGGTGGGGGCTTGGCTCAAGTGGTAGAGTCCTTGCTTAGCAGGTGTGTGGTTCTGAGTTCAAACCCCAGTATTGCCAAAAAACAAAAACAAACTCCTCCCACCCTTTTTAGTACTCCTCCTCTGATTCAGGACCAACCCAGGATTTCTTGTTGCTCCACTGGCCTTTGCTGTTTGCCATCCGTCAGTTTTGAGCTGTTCTTCAGGGTGTCATTACCTTTTATGACCTTGATGTTTTGGAAGATTCCAGACCAACTGCCTGGTTTTGGCAGTTGTTTTTGTGTGTGTGATTAGATTCTGGCTACACATGTCAGACAGGAATGTCACAGGAGCGATGTGTCCTGCAGAGCACATCACCAGTGTGCATGACACTGGTCATCCCGTTATTGACGGTGTTTACTTTGACCTTTGAGTGATGGCGCCATGGTGACACCTCATGATCTCATGAAAGTCCCATTCCTTTCAAAGCCTCACCCAATAGTTTGAGCACCCATGAATGGGGTCTGGGACACAGACTTTCCACCATGAATGTCAATGAAGACTTTCTTCTTTCTTTTTGGTGGCACTGGGGTTTGAACTCAGGGTTTCATGCTTGCTAGGCAGACAGACACGCTACTGCTTGAACCACACCCCCAGCCCTATTTTGCTGTGGTTATTTTGGGGATGGGGGTCTCACTTTTTGCTCAAGCTGGTCTGGACCTCAATCCTCCTATTTTAAGCTTCCCACTGTAGCTGAGGTGACAGATGCATGCCACCGTGTGCTTTTCCTGTGGATATGGAGTGTCACAAACTTTTTGCCTGGAACCAGCATCCTCCCAATCTCAGCCTCTTGAATAGCTGGGATTATAGGCGTAAGCCACTGGCTCCTGGCAAGTTCCCAGATTCTTATATACTGGTGACTAATGTAGACAGTTTTTATGTACCGTGTGGTCAAGCCTCTGGACCAAGGAGAGATCTCTGTCCAGGTCCTGGCTAGAAAACCCTGGGAAAAGCTGTTGAGCTGGAATGAGACAGCTATGCCAAGTTCACTGACTGGAAGCCCTCCTGAGTCTGGGGTTCACTTTCTCCGGTCACCGCAGGTATATTTTGTTTGATGGTGACGTGGATGCTCTGTGGGTGGAAAACATGAATTCCGTGATGGATGACAACAAGCTGCTGACCTTGGCCAATGGGGAACGCATCCGGCTTCAAGCTCACTGTGCTCTGCTCTTTGAGGTAAGTATTGATGGTGCGTAATCTCGGACATAAGTCTTCTAATTAAAAAAATTAAATTTTTATTAAAATAGTACTAACTACAGATGGTTACTGAAAATACAGAAGAGTTACTATGAGTACAACTCTTTCTCCTTTCTCTGTCCTCATCCCCTCTTTACTCTACCCCAGAGGCAACTGTCTTTACTTGCTTTGAGTTGTTCTTCTGAAAACTGTTAGACTGGAAAACAGAGAGAGATAGACGAGGCAACGGCTCAACGTCAGCATAGGTTTATTCAGAAGAAAACTGCCAAAACTGGCATCCCACAGATGTCACAGTTCACCGCTGCTTACAGACGGGGGTGGGGGGTGGGGGGAGATTTATAGGAGAGGAGGGACCTGGTAAGGGGTGGGGGAGTTTTTTCACTGTGGCTTGTCCATTGTCCATTGTCCATTGAAGTAATCAAGGAGCTAGGTCTTGTGTTCTGGCACAGGTGCTGGGAACCAGGATGCTCCCCTTGGGAGGCCTGTCTCTACTGGGACCAAGCAACTCTAGGGCCACACAGAATTTAGGATGGCATATATGATGTCAAGTTGAGGCCTAACAGTAATTACCCTTGCATCTCTAAGTAATTTGCTTAGTGTGCTCTTTCTTCTATTGAGTGAGCACTATGAGTGAGGATTTATCTCACTCATAATTGGCCTTCCCTGCTCAGACTTGTGCATTGCTGAATTGGTTAACAGTACTCCATATTTACATTATCATGAATGAGGAAATATTTACTGCAGAGCCAACTAGTATACTATAGTTACAGTGACTGTCCTTTATAGCCATTCGCTTTGTCTGGAGTTTGTGGTTGCCTTTCATTTCCCCCACCACCACTACCACTACTTGCTTTTACTTTTCCTCACTGTGTTTTTCAGACTTTCTATCATAGCCAATACTCTACTAAGCCTCCTTTTTCTCTTGGCGGCTATTTCCAAGGTCCTTCATCTTCTGCTGACAGTCGTACCACAGCTGTGGTCCTGGGTCTCACTTTTGCCCCAGGTTGATATTACTGTTGTTTCTATTTTTATCTTGCAAAATTTGTCAGCGCACCGATTAGTCTTTGTAGTCTCTGTTCACATTGTTGTCCAGTGGGCTGAGTGAATGGTATCTTTTTCCTAGGGAGCAATAAGTTTGTTAATTTTGCTGGTTTAACTGTGTGCTTCTTAAGTTTTATGCTACCTGATCCCATTTATGTTTAAAAAAAATAAAAAAGAGTGAAAGGAAAATGCACAAAACAAGACACTTTTCTTCTAGGTGCTGGGATTTAGATGACTTATTTTCTTCTTTACGCTTTTCTATTTTGTCAGCTATTCTACAGTGTTCTAATTTTCATATTCATTTTATAGAAACTTTTAATGGTGTCAGACACAGATAATCTCATTATAAGCCTAGGTGTTCTATTAAAAGCCTCGTAAAGGCTGTGCTAATTGGGTGTGAGTTTTCTGCAGCCGTGAATGCCTTGCAGAGGAAAGGCCCTTGAACAGGAGCCCAGTAGCTCACAGTGGTGGACACAGTGACTTCCTTTCTTTCCTCCAGGTTGGAGATCTGCAGTACGCCTCTCCTGCAACCGTGTCCCGGTGTGGAATGGTTTACGTGGATCCAAAAAACTTGAAATATCAGCCTTACTGGAAGAAATGGGTCAATCAAATACAAAACAAGGTGAGAGTGAGCTCTGAAGTGAGCTGGAAGTGGTCCCTGGTAAGGGTGGCCAGCCCCGGGGGATGTCTGTGGTGGAAGGTTGTGACCTTGACCTTGACTTGCTATTGTCCTCAAGCACAAATCAGATGAAAACATGGCAGACACCCTTATTCGATTTCAGATAATTCACATTGGGGGGATAGACCGGTGATTTTGATGGGCTAGAGCAGGGGGTCCCCAAGCTTGTCCTCAGAAGGGGTGGGTAGTAAGTCGTCTCGGCTTTGTGAGATGTGTGGGTCCTTGTGCACCCTCTCAATTCTGCTGCTGGTGGTGTGAACACAGCCAGACACGATATGTACACAAAGGGACGTGACTGTGTACCCAAAGAAACTTACAGAAACGGGCTGTGGGTCAGGTTCAGCTAATGGGTTGCAGTCCCCGGCCCCCGTGCAGACAAGCCCAGTGACTGAGAGGCTGCAGCTGCCCGATTCTGTGCTTTTGCTCAGTTCCCAAGGGCCATGTTGGAGGACCCGCTCATCCTGTCATTGAGGTTCAGGGGTTCCAGAGTGTGTGTTGTCATCACATGGGCTTCCCTGAAGGCTATGGAGATGGATGTGACAATTAGTGCAGGCTGTGGCTGGGCCACACCCTGGACACGTGACCACAGGTGTATCTCTAAAAGGCCACTGGTAGGGATTTGGAAAGAGGACATAATTACGCTAGAGCAGGGAGACCTAAGGAAACATGACAAGAGCTTTTAAGGCTGTGTTGTATGAGAGGATTGTCCAAGAAACTGCGTGAACCCTGGCGGTCATCCATGCTGTGATATGGGGAGGGCCTCAGCCACTTTTAATCCCTTGTTGGATGACCAGCCATTCCCTCTTATGTCAAATGGGACCTATGCTCTCCTCCCCGCCACTCCCCAGGGGCAGATCGATGGCAGCAGGTAGTAATGAAAATATTATAAATAGCAAGCCTTTCTTCACACGAAGGCTCAGGCACCAGGCCGCCTCACCTGCCAGAGTTATCACTCCTCACATGCTTCTCACCTTTCTTTGGACAAGAAAAATGTCCTGCAAAGTTCCACTTAAATGAACAAATTCTTGCAAACTCTTGGCAATTTTTCTCTTCAAAGGCAGAGCAGAAGGATTTAAATAACCTGTTTGACAAATACGTGCCCTACCTCATTGATCTGATCTTGGAAGGGATTGTGGATGGCAGGCAGGGGGAGAGGCTGAAGACCATCGTTCCTCAGACAGACCTAAATATGGTAAGACACCATGGTGGCTGGGAGCAAACCGAGTCTTTCCTAAAGATGACCCCCCACTGGCTTCTAAGGGCAGCACAGATGCCACATGGGTAAATACAACCCGGCAGGTGAGTTCCTTTATGACTGTCAGTCAAGGTCCTGGACTCCATCTGTCTGAACCAAGATGGTGGACCATATGTTCCCATTTCTGGTTCATCTGGTAGTCCCAGAATTTAGAACAGAGCTGACCCTGTGGGGGCCAGATCTATGGTCTAAGCCAGGTGTTTTCTTGTGGACCAGGTAACCCAGTTAACCAAGATGTTGGATGCATTACTAGAAGGAGAACTAGAGGACCCTGACCTGACGGAGTGCTACTTCCTGGAGGCCCTGTACTGCTCGCTGGGTGCCTCCCTGCTCGAGGATGGAAGGATTAAGTTTGATGACTGCATTAAACGCCTTGCATCTCTGTCCATTGCTGAAACAGAAGGGGTTTGGGCCAGCCCTGGTGAATTGCCAGGTAGGAACCAAGTGTCACCTCTGAGTGCTGCCTTCTTTGGATTGGGCTTGTCAAGGACTTGAACTTGCCATATTTCTGCCTGCACGGGTTTTCCAGCCAGTTTGCTTCTGTAGAGAAGAGCAAATGTCTGAGCACCTGGCAGTGTCCTCAGGGGAAGTTCTAGTGCATGGGCAACTCCAGCAGAAGCCCAGCCCTTCCAGTGCCCTTTCTTGAGAAACCTGCACTTTTTCTCCCCGCAGCTTAAGTCCTTGCTCCCTTGGCTGGGGTTAAGCTCTTTATACCTCTCCCTTGATGCTACCTTCTTCTCCATTATTTAACGTGGCTGCTGTGTTCCTCAGTCTGTGAGCAGAAGACAGTCAAGCATAGATTTGTAACTCATTCCTAGGAAACCATCATGTTAAGAGTTTAAGATCTTGTATGAAAAATATTCATTCTCAAAGAGCTGTAGTGGTGGTCCTGAAATTTCATATTGGTGGAGCCCGAGGCAAGTGGCACTCTAAGGATGAGGTCTGTGGGGGTCCTCCTAGAGGTGGATTTGCATAGCACCCCACCTCATGGTCAGGAATGATGTGGGGAGGGTGGTGATAATTAGGTGGAGCGAGCTTTTTCTCTTGCTCCTTTGTTATTACGGACCGTAGCTGGGCTTAACTGGGAGGTGACAGGAGATTCAGAAAGGACACAGGATAGACAGACAGACAGAAAGTTGGAGTCAGGTGTGTTGGGCACTCTGGTGGAGATGCATAACCCCTCATTGCTTTTTTATCTCTATTAATCTCTTCATTTACTCTGCTTCTTTTCTCTATCTATATTCTTTAAGGCCTTACTGCTTTACAGCTCTTTAAAACCTTGCTTCTAAAGTCTTTCCTTAAAACCTTGCTTTTAAAGTCTTCTTTTCTATTCTTTAAAGTCTCTTTTCTTAGACTCACTCTGTCCCATGTTTTCTCTTAGCTGTTCTTTAGTAAAATCTCTCTTAAAGTCTTTGCCCACAAACTTGCACTGTCCCATTAGACTTGCACTGTCCCATGTTCTCTTTAGCTTAGCTTTTCTAAAGCCTATGTATAAAGTTCTCAGTGCAGACTTTCTATCAACCCTCTTTAGCAATTCCCTTTTAGCAATTCTTTCCCCTTCAGCAGTCTCCCTCTAGCACTTTCCCATTGGCAATTCATTTTCCCTTCAGCAATCCTTTTCCCTTCAGCAATTCTTTTCCCTTCCAAAAGCCTCCCACACCAAAAAGCCAAAAGCCAAAAGCCCAAAAGCCAAAAGCAAAAGCCCCCAAAGCAAAAGCCTTGCATCCTCCTTCAGTGAGTATTTTATACTCAGTGGTAAACAGGGTGGAGCAGCAGTTCTTGAGGAGGGGTGTGACATGGTAACAGGAGAAACCTGCATTCCTGCTTCTCTGAACATAAACAACTTAGGAGAAGCAGCTGTTCTGCATTTTCCTGTGGCCGGGGGCTGTGCCAGCTTGGCCTACAGATAGACATCTTAGGAAAAGCAGCTGAGCTGCATCTCGCCTTGCTTATGTTCTGTTCTCATAGGTGTCTCATAATCCACTCTCCACAATTAGGGACAAGGCTGGGGCTCCCAGGCTGCTGTAATGCCTGTTGCTTTTCCTACCTTTTCCCACCCCATCTTGGTTATATGCGTTCATGGGCCCATCATGCCTGTACTTCCCTCGCAGAATTCAGCAGTCTCCATTGAGGTTTGCCTCTGTTTATTTGCCTCTAATGACCCTCATTTGACCCACCACCAGCTGCAGGGGTGGGGACCTGGGCTGTGCGCCCCACTCTTGTGTTCCCAGGGAAGGGCCTCAGAAGACATTTGTAATGTTGGCTCAAAATACTCAGCGTCTGACCAGTGAGTGAGTGAGTAGCGTTGATTCCAAGTGCCAGCTCAGGAAGTTCTGCCCGTGAAGGTGCACACTGAGCACTGAGTAGCATCTGTCCAGTGGCAGTTCAGTTCAGGTACTGCCAACACCGACCCTGTGTTCCCGCATCGGTGAAGTAAATGCCACCGTGCCTTTCCGCAGGCCAGCTTCCAACCTTGTATGACTTCCATTTTGAGTCCAAGTCCAACAAATGGATCCCATGGAGTAAACTGGTTCCAGAGTACACCCACGACCACAGCAGGAAATTCATCGACATCCTGGGTAAGTGAGAGCCAAGCCTGTGGCTTGGTGTAAGAGCACGTGACCTCATCCTGAGAGGAAGTGAGAAGGATCTGTGGCCTTGCTGAAATGCGAGTCCCACCCAGAGAGCTGGCTGAGAGGAGCCGAGGAGATAGTGAGCCCTGGGTCCTCCGAAGAGGTGTCACCTGGATTCTCTCATGTGCTGCTGGCTCTGACATCTTGAGATGACCGTGACCCTTGGCTCTTCTTCTGTAGTCTGGTCCCCAAGGCTGCCTGGGCGTGGCGGGGGACTGAAGGGATGAAACAAGAACAAACAAGGCAGCATTGGTAGACGGTGTCACCTTGGAAAGTCATGCACTGTGGGCATTTCATGGGGGTGCTGACATATTTGCAATGCATGCTTCTGGTTGTTTAGATAAAACCTGGGTTGAGCACTTCCACAAACCCTGTGTCTGGTTTGGGGCCATTATGCTTATAGAGTGAGACAATCCCACTTCCTCAGGACCCCACTGGCTCTCCTGACTTGGAGGCCCGCCATCCTCCCATCCTTGCTTCTTTCAGTCCATACGGTGGACACGACCCGCACCACCTGGGTATTGGAACAAATGGTGAAAATTAAGCAGCCTATTCTCTTCATCGGTGAATCCGGGACTTCTAAGACGGCCACGACCCAGAACTTCCTCAGAAGTCTGAATGGAGAGACCAGCGTAAGTCAGCATTTGTATTAGGCACCTATTGTTGTGTAACAAGTTACACTCAGTGTAACTCAGTGGCTTTCTACCACAAGTGTCCATGGCCTCACAGGTCCCATGGGTCAGGAATCGGGACTGGCTGGCTCGTGAGATGGCAGTCAAGCCAAACACAGGGCTGTGTTCATCTGAAGGCTCGATGGGGGCTGGAGGAGCCCCCCCTCTTCCAAAGGTGGCACTTCACATGACTGGAGGCCTCTGTTCCTCACTGGGTGGATCTCTCTTGAGGACTGCTGGCCTTGCACTAGTCCATTGCTGTAACAAAATACCCAAGAGCAGGTCATCTAGAGAGAGTGAACGTTTATTTAACTCATGGTTTGGGGGGCTGAAATGAAGACCTTCCTGCTACATTGTGATGTGGCAGAGGGTAACACACCGTGGAACAGAGCCTGCTGCCAGAGAGAGTCCACTTTTATGTGAGAGAGACACTTTCTTGATTACCTATCAGTCCATTAATCCACCAGTGGATCAATCCATTTATGAGGGCAACTCCCTCCAGCTCTCTGCTTCCCAAATCAAATCCCATTTACGTATCACTGAGGGACACGGGGGACATGTGGGATGTACCTAGAAGTGCTCACAAAGAGCAGCTGGCCTAGCCTTAGTGGTCATGTACTGTCACTCTGCTATGTTGTATGGGCTGGACTCTGCTGACAGGATGTAGCAGGGGATGTTCCAGGGCCTGAGAACCTGCAGCTGAGGGTGGCTGAGGACTGTCACATTCTGTGTTCCTTTTATGTCCCGTAGAACGTCATATTTCCTTTTCCTCTGGGAGGGGCTGCTGTGTCTGGGCTCCCAAGCTAGCCAGTGCCATAGGACAAGCCACAGTGAACCAGGCCACTGGGGCTGGCTTTCAAGGGTCTCACAGATGGTGGGGACACTAGGGTGCAATTGGCCCCAGGAACACAAGGCTGGTGGCGCTGTGCACCAAGGCAGCAGGAAGGGAGCTGCCAGGACCCCTCTTCCCATTTGGAGCCACCACACTGGGCCTGCTCCCCACTCACCCTGTCACTCTCCTGGCCTCGACAGTTTTCTTGGCTGTTCTATAACTTCGGAAAGGTTTTCTCCTCCAAGGAACTTCCTGTGATTTTTCAGGAGTGTTTGCCACATCTACTCATCTCAAATCCTTTCCCTTTCCTGCTTGTTCTTCTTTTAAGTTGCTCATTCTTTTTATTGTGGGGGCAATACTGGATTCAAATTCAGGGCCTTTCACTCCAGGCAAACACTCTATCACTTGAGCTACACCCCCAGCCCTTTTGTTTTTTATTTAGTTTTTGAGACAGGGTCTTGCTAACTTTTGCCTGGTCTGGCCTCAAACTGTGATCCTCCTATTTCTGCCTCCAGAGTAGCTGGGATTATAGGCTTGCATCACTGTGTCTGGTCTCTTAAGTCTCCCATTCTTATTTTGGCCTAAATGTGAAGAGAAGTCCTCTGTTTCTTCCCCGATTCTCTTACTCAGTTGTGTGCCTTCCATTCCTAGCTCAGGTCTCAGGGTTGCTTCTGGAAGCCTCAGGGAGCAGGAGGTGCCCAGCTGGATTTTGCATTGGACCTCCTAAAGGACATGGGCAGGACCCAGCTGGAATGCCTGCGGTGGCCACACTCTCTGGGATTGGTGTGGGCAAACATGACACATTTAGCTTTAATGACATCAGTGCAGAGGTCACAGTTCAGAGCCCGAGGGACCTATGGGTCACCAGAGGAGTCAGGCGAAGGGAAGGCAGCTCTGAGCCTCCCCAAGACCGTGGACTGGAGCTCACTTGTCCGGCCAGGCACCTCTGAACACACTGGCCATGGGCAGACACACATCTTCATGTTCCAGTCATGAGCACCTGCCCTGGGGGCACCGTGGTCATGGGGCTGTTTAAAAGGCAGCAGTTCCCAAAGTGGGGTCCCTAGATCGACAGCCTTGGCCTCACCTGAGGTCACCCACTGAGCCGGAAGCTCTGGGTACAGGGTCAGATGCTGTGTGGCCGCGCGCCCTTCTGGTGTGGCTGATGCTTCACCAGGCGTGAAATCCCTGACCAGTGTGCTTAGCCCAGCTAAGGGTGACTGAGAGGCCTGGGGACCAGCGTGAGGGGGACTGGCTCAGGCACCTGTTTCTCTACAACTAGCTCCAACTCTCAGCCTGAGCTTGGTCACCTTTTCTTTAATAAGATGCATCTGCCACCATAGTGTTTCAATGTTGTCACATCAAAAACACCTTCACACGCTGCATCTCACATGGTGTGATCTGGTCCAAGCTGGTGTTCTAAGAGGTTAGATGACTTTTTTGAGGTCCCATAGCTGGATCCCCCAGTCCACATTCTCATATGCCACATGTGCAACTTGTTATGGGCTCAAATAACCAGCCAAAATAAGGAAGCAAGGATCCTCATTGAGTTATAAAAATAGGAGTACAGAGCCAGGTACAGTGGCTCACAGCTGTAATCCCAGCTACTCCAGAAGTGGAGATTCAGAAGATCAGGGTCCTGGGATGGTCCAGGCAAAAGCAAAAAAGACTCTATCTGGAAAATAACTAAAGAGAAACAGAAAAAGATCAATGACTTTGCAAAATTGATGGCAGCTCACTGCCAAATGTTTACTGTGGACACCATGAAGAAAAGGCCAGCACTTGCAGCCCTCTCTTTCTGTTTCAGATCGTGTTAATGGTTAATTTCTCCTCCCGCACCACGTCCCTGGACATCCAAAGAAATTTAGAAGCCAACGTGGAAAAGCGAACCAAAGACACTTACGGGCCACCCATGGGAAAGCGCCTGCTGGTGTTCATGGATGACATGAATATGCCAAAGGTGGCTGGTGGCGAGAGGTGGCGGGAGGGGGCAGGGACAGGGGGATTGTGTTGTCGGCTGTGTGTGCCTGTGAATGCCTGTCTCTTACTCTGCATGGTGCGCACAGCACGCAGGCCCTGGGTGGCTACCGAGGGCAGAGCCTTCCTCCTCACCGAGCGTGCGCTGCTCCTCCAGATCTACAGGGCCTGTGTCTGCATGAGGGTTCTCAGAGAGCCCTCCTTTGGGTAATAATGGTCTTCTCAGCCCCTCTACGTGTGTTAGGACCCGGAATCCTATTCCCCCGAGAGACAGAGAGCCAGGCGTGAATGCAATCAACAAAGCAGAGTTTATTGGGCTGGCTAGCCAGGGTCGAGCTCCCACACGGACACGCAGGACCGGTTAGGAAAACACGACCCTGAGCCTCTTTAGGGGAAATCTTATATAGACTGCGGTGGCGTGCATATTTTCGTTATCAACATTGGGCAAGCAGGCAGAGCACATCTTGCGCGTACCTCACATCTTGCACGTACCTCACATCTTGCACGTACCTCCTGCTCACATTCCTCACATTCTATATGCCCTAACCGCGCCCTGCCGCATTGCTTATCTTATCTACACGGGGTGTTTGGTACTGGTTTCTCCAACAAGGGGGTTGGGGCCCGCTGAGACCTCCTATTCCTTTCATTCCCCCCTTTTTTTACGGCCTAAATTGAGGAATCATTCTCAAGGGGATGAAGAGCCTGATATTGTTGGCGGAGGACCAGAAGTTGGATAGTCTTAATTCGACTTTTGACAAAAGTCATAAGTCGGTTTAGAATCCAGGGTCCTATGGTGACAAGTAATAGGATGATTATTATTGGCCCTGCCAGTGCAGATAAAAGGGTAGCCAACCATGGGGACTGGTTAAACCAAGACTCGAACCAGCTTTCCCCTGCCTCTTTTTCTCGTTTTCTTTGTTCCAGGCTCTTTCGGAGTTTAGACATGGAGTCACGAACAACTCCGGTATGGTCAGCGTAAAAACAACATTCTTCCCCTAGAGCAACGCATAGTCCCCCTTTTTGGAGGAACAACAAGTCCAGACCTCGTCGGTTTTGAAGTACTACCTCAGACAGAGAAGTGAGGGATTTTTCTAGGTGGCTAATGGAGGTTTCTATTCTCTCTATATCTTCGTCTATGGCTGCGCGCAGCGAAGACATCCCTTTATGTTGAGTAGCCAGGGAGGCTATGCCGGTCCCTGCCCCAGCCACCCCTAGGCTAAGTAGGGTAGCAATGGTTAGTGTAGAAATAGGCTCTCTCTTCTTTCTCTCACCTGTTCCTATATTCCAGTATGAATATAGACTTTCCTCCGAATGATAGAGGATGCGGGGCAGCACAACCACTATAACACAGAATTCTTTAGAGCTGTTAAACACCTTAGTTGATAGGCATGGGGTGAGTCCGGACCGCGAGCATAGCCACCACCCATTGTCCTTTGGAATTACCCATTTAATAGCATTTTCCCAGGTAGAACTGGCGTTAATAACAGTACATAAGTCCCGTCTGTTCTTTGGCACTTTTCCTAAGCAGGTTCCTTGGCCGCTTACCTGCTGTATGGTCAGACCTCTCTTACGGTCTCCCCAGGAACATTGAGTAGGGTTTTCCTCAGATGAGGTATCGTGAGTGGTGTTTAGCCCTATTGCCTCATAGAATGGGGGCCTCACATCATAACATAACCAACAGGAGTTAGTCATGTTAGGGTTGGTGTGGTTTAACGTCAGGAAGCAGCACCACTAGTCCCAGAGGGGGTCTTTAGATCCGGTCATGAGACTGGGCCTCACCAGGGAGGGCTGGTTTCTGATGGTCTTGGAGTTGTAACATTAGCCCGAGCTACGGTTGAGGGAAGGTGGTGAGTTGTGGAAGGTTGGGGAGATGGCTTTACATTGGGCGGCCTAAGTACCTTATTAGGGCCTACTGCTGTGGACGGTGGCCCTATGGGCTCAATCTTTAATCTGACCACTATGGTCGAGCCAGCATGTCCACCATATTTATAAAAACAAGTCCCCATACTTACCTTGTATCCACCCAGGGGTGTCCTTCTTGCCAGTTTCAGTGAAAGTGACCTTGATTCTATCTAGATCCGTGGGCTGGCATTTATGGGTGGGTATTGGAATTCTGTGCCCCCTTAATATCCCATTTACAAAGGCAAATTTGACTAGGTCTGATTTTGATATCCCCATTTCCATTCACTATCATTGGATGTGACACATGCCCATGACCTACAGAAGGAGTATTGTATCCCCCCACATTCCTGGTTCTTTTTGTGGCCGGGGCAGGCATAAAACCCATAACGTCGGGCTGACTCCGGGGCAGTAGACTTGTAGGCAGGATTGATGTCTCTGAAGCAGAACTGAAGCTCCGGCCACCAAGTTCCTATGGGGGCAGTGCGAGTAGTCTCGTTGAGGGTGGTATGAGTCTCCCCATCGGTGAGTATCCAGGTTTGCTTATAGGGCTGGTGAGGGTTGGTTTCTGCGAGGCTCCCGCTCTGGGCATTGAGCAAGATCAGAGCGATCAGCCACCCCATCCGTGGCTGCTCCTGAAGGCTCTGCATGTTCCCGGGGCCACAAAAGCTTTAGCTTTAATGGGTTGTCTGGGTGCCGCCGTACAGTCCACTCCTTGACCCCTTCTTGTTTTTGATGATTGGCTCGACGCACGTGGGAGTGGTGGATCCAAGGTCCGATGCCATCAACCTTGAGGGCGGTAGGGGTAGTAAACAGTACAACATAAGGTCCTTTCCATCTAGGCTCTAGGGTTTTGGACTGATGCCTTTTAACCCATACCATGTCACCCGGGACTATGCCATGTTCCGGAGCCGGGTCCCTCTTAACAGCGTGGTATGCTTGAATTAAGGGCCAAATCCGTTGTTGCACTTTAGCTAAAGCCTGCAACATGGTCAGGTAATTTGGGGCCAGATCACCTAGTCTGGGCTTAAGGTCCTCTGAATGATGGGGGGTGGAGCCCCATACAGGATCTCAAAGGGAGTTAGCCCATGGACATAGGGGAGTTCCGGACTCGGAAGATGGCCAAGGGAAGGAGCGTCACCCAATCACCGCCAGTCTCCAGGGCCAATTTGGCTAAAGTCTCCTTTAGTGTCCTATTCATCCTTTCTACTTGCCCTGAGCTCTGGGGGTTATATTCACAATGTAGCTTCCAATTGGCCCCCATAGTCTGGGCTAGTCCCTGCAGGACTTACTAACAAAAGCCGGACCGTTATCTGACCCAATTGCCTCGGGCACCCCATATCTGGGTATGATTTCCTCTAGCAAAGCCTTTGCCACTACCTGACTCGTCTCCTTCTTTGTAGGAAAAGCCTCCACCCAGCCTGAAAAGGTATCTATGAATACCAGCAAATATTTGTACCCAAACTTTCCCGGTTTTACCTCAGTAAAATCCACTTCCCAACTTCTTCCCGGAGCCCTCCCCGTTCCCGAGTACCTGTATGGTGCCCCTCCCTTCGTCCTGGTTTCATGATTGTGCAGCTGGCACAATCTTCCACAATTTGGCGGACTGCTATGGTCTGGTTCGGAAATCGGAGCTGCGCAGATGTCAACAAGTCTAGTAATTTTCTCCGCCCCAAATGGGTGGACTTATGTAAGTTAGCCAACAGGAATCGTCCGAGTTTTTCAGGCAGAATTAACTTGCCTTCCAAGTCGCTTTTCCATCCGTCTTCCCCTTCTCTAAAGGGGGAGTGGGCTCTCATCCAAGTGAAATCCTCTGTGGAGTATTCTGGTCGGGGGGGTAGCGGAGGGAGCTCTGGGACCGGCACGTCTATCGCCGCAACCGTGGAAGGTTGCCCTGTCTCCATGGGAGGACTCACCATTGCTACTCTCTTTGCTTCTTGATCTGCTCTGTTGTTACCGACAGCTTCCGGCGTCTTGGCAGACTGGTGGCCTGGGACATACATCACTGCCACTGCCTTCGGTTTTTCCACTGCCATTAATAGACGCTGGACTTCGGCTAGGTTCTTTAGATGTTTTCCTTCTGCTGTGCGGAATCCTCTTTCGCGATAGATGGCCCCGTGGACATGGATGGTACCGAAAGCATAGCGGCTATCGGTGTAGATATTGACTCGCTTTCCTTTTGCCCTCTCCAGGGCCTCTGCCAAGGCAATTAATTCCGCTTTTTGGGCTGATGTTCCGGGTGGGAGGGCGCTGCTCCATACCGTATTTCCTTCTTGGTCGACTACAGCTGCCCCTGCCCTTCGGGCTCCATCTTGGAAAAAACTGCTTCCATCCGTGTACCAGTTTAATTTGCAGCCGGACAGGGGGGTATCCTTTAGGTCAGCCCGTACCTGTGTAACTTCGGAGAGGAATTCTTTGCAGTTATGGACAGGTGTCTGCAGTTCCGGGTTAGGCAACAAGGTGGCAGGGTTCAGGATTACGGGATCTGTGAATGTGATCCGAGGGGAATCCAACAAGAGCCCTGGTAGTGGGTGAGCCTGGCATTCGTCATCCATTTCCCAGGGGGTTGTTTAAGGATTCCCTCCACCGGGTGAGGGGCCGTTACCCAGAGGGCCTGTCCAAAGGTTAGTTTATCGGCTTCTCTCACCAGCACGGCAATGGCCGCTATGATGCGGAGGCAGGGGGCCATCCTGCCGCTACTGCGTCTAATTTCTTGGAAAAGTATGCCACTGGTCTCTTCCAGGGACCTAGCTGTTGGGTCAAGACTCCTTTGGCTACCCCCTTTTTCTCATCTACAAACAGAGTGAATGGTCTTGTAGGATCTGGCAAGGCTAAGGCAGGGGCCTGCAAAAGAGCGTCTTTTAGCTGATCAAAGGCCTGTTGTTCTCTCTCTCCCCAACTCCAATCTGGAGCTTCTTTGGTGGCCTCATATAGGGGTCTGGCTATTTCCGCAAATCCTGGAATCCAGAGTCTACAGAACCCCGCGGAGCCCAGGAATTCTCTCACCCCCTAGTGGATGTCGGGGATGGGATAGCCAGAATAGTCTGTTTCATGGCATCAGTCAGCCATCTTGCCCCATCTGCA